CAAACCCAAAAAGAACACTGGATAGTAAAAAAAATTACATTGGATAAAACTATAAACAACATTGGATAGTTAAAAAAAATAAAAAAAAAGGGGGGGGGAAACCAAACCCAAACCGGGAAACCAAACCCAACCCCAAACCCAACCCCAAACCCAGTATTTTTGATATATTTATATTTTCAAAATTTTTGTTTCTAATTTCCACTTTCATCTGAACTATTAAATTTAATGAATTTGAGCCATATTATATCAAGTTGTCATAATATGTATTAGAGGAGTATTAGAAATTACAAAAATTCTATGATCTATCTTTCATCCTTTATTTTTTTAATGAGATCTTGTATTGATTGGAATAGTCTATCTTCTTGAAATCATGATCCCTCATTTTTTTTAAAGACATCTATTATTTTTTTAATGTTATTTCAAACCATATACAAATTCTATTCCTAATCAACTTTTTCTAAATTTTTCTTCTTGTTAGAAGTATTATTCTAGATGTATTAGATTTAAATTATCTGAAAGAAATCCTAGACAGTCTTAAATCTTCTTCTTTTTTTTAATTTCAATTATTATTCTAAATATTCTTTCTTCCACACCTTTAACTTTAGCAAAAGTTTCATAGAGATCTTCTTATTATTCATTATTGCTCTTCATTTTCTGTTTTTTTAAAATAATTATTGAATTTATATGACTTTACACTAAAATTTTTCTTTTTCTTTTTTTCAATTATGACCCCAGGCATTGTTTAGGTATAGTTTTGTAAAATGGGCTATCTAGAAGCATATTCAATATTTGCATTAAAAGATTCAAGATAGAATAAAAACTTTTACTAATATAAGTTATGCTATTAATCATTAATATATCTCGTTATTCCTGTTTTAAGCATAAATAAGGATAGTTTTTAGCTAAATATTAAGAGAAGTGAACAGGTCTGAACGCAATCTTGATCACTCCTTAATTATTGTAAAATCTTTATGTGATGACTCTGTGTAAAATTTAACTTTTTTATTTTTTCTTTGATAGATAATTGACTAACTCTGTTAGCGTGTAAATTTTATGCAAAATTAAGGATTTGCAGCCTATTGTAGTGCTAGTATGTGTGTACTTAATATATTATTTTAATAGCAATATTATACCTAATAAATATAAGTATTTTGATCTTTTTTTTAATCCAGAGAAAAATTTAGATTGTGCATATTGTCTATCAGCAGAGAAGTAGGAAGCTTTTGATTTACATTCTTTATTAGGAGTTGATTATCTAAACCGAGATTTTTATGGTCCTTTAGTGGCTTTGAAATTAATTTTACAACAAAATGTACATAATGCCTAAGTGTGAGAAATTTTTTTTTGATGTTTGTAAATGGATCCCAATAAAACAAAAAATCTTGCTAGAGTTACAAATTAATACTTTGATACTCAAAACTTGCAACTGGTTCAAAAAAAAAAGCCTCATGCCCTTTTTTTGTTTACCAAGAATCTTCTTAAGTAACCAAATTTGATAATGATATTTTTACTTATTTAGAATTGAAATCATACTCATAACCCACCAGTTTGGTTAAGATTTGAGGGTCCAAATGATAATCCATAAGATAAATCAGTTTAATACCTAAATTACTGATGGATGCTTCTCGGTCTGTCAATATAACATCAAATAACATTAGTACATCTCAACTATTGTAGTAATTCCTTGATCAATTTGTTTGACATTTATAACAACATCAGCTAACACAAATAATATTTGCGCTATTTATATACCTAATTTCAAACCTATAATTAAAGGAGCATGCTCTTTTTCTGCTAAATAATGATTAATGAAATAAATAGGAGGAATATCTAATATAACTTATGATTTTTGTACTCATAAGTTTTTTCTCTAAACTGCAATTTCAACTAGTGGTGGGTTTCTTGAATGTTAATCTAGCTCCAACTGTACAACATATTTTATTGTGAGAATAATACTGTTGGTTTCTTCTAAACCTAAGAAATATTCATAATTTAAATTTCCTTTATATTTTAATAATTAATTAAATCACAATAAACTCTATTCAAAGTGAGCTCTTAATTTTTATGCTTCTTGATTCATGTCTTCTTCACTTCTTTCTGTTTTTAAATTTTCTGCTTGAGAAATCAAAATCTTTCCTGAATAAGGTATAATATGGCAATGAACACTTGGTATTGTTTACCCAGCATGTATCCCATCTTAAATTGATACATGGCAATTTGTCTAAATTGATCAGATTAATACTTTGTAAATATCAGACATCACTTTTGTAACTTCTTGGACAGTTATCCAAAATTCTACAGTTTCTACTTCTGTCATATCATATAGCCTTTTTACAGGTCTTCTTGAACAAACTAATACATGACCTTTGATGATTTATCAATATAAACCTGGTGCCACTGGTTTTAAATTTACTGTAGCAAATACATGCCTTCTTAAAATGAATAGCTGAGAATATGGTAATTAAACTGGTCCAAATTGAACAAACTATTATATTGGTTTGGGCATTTTTTTAATATATATTATTTTAGTTTATTTCAAATTAGAAAATCTAGATGGCTTTTTTTACTAAAACAAAATCTCAATGATACATAGCGTAGTTTTTAGGTTTGATAAAATGAATAGTACCTAATTAATAATTTTTCGAATTTCTAGAATAAGAAAATGATCACTAATTATTAATCTTCTTTATAAGAATATGAGTGGTTTTGGTATGTATAAAATATTTTCTTATTTGTATTTATAAACTTTTATTAGCATTTATTAAATCAATTAAGATTTAATATGAATTGAGAAAAAAGAAACTTTTTCATTATGAATTTAACTATAATAGTGCTAAAAATTTTTGTTTCTACTTAAATTAAACCAAAATTTGAGTAAACCATGCATATTTTATGAAAGGAAATAGCCATAAATTTAATTTTATTCTTAATATCATTATGTAATTTAGCATTAAGATTTAATTGTTATTATTGTTGCTTATTATTTAATGATTGAATTTAGTTTTGAATTTCAAACCAAAAAAAAATGTAAAATTAAATATGCCTAAAATGCTTCTAAAAATAAACTCCTCTATCCAAAAATATCTATAAAAATGCTCTTAAAAAATTCTGAAGGGGTAAAATAAGACCTTTGAAATGTCATTTATTGCATAAATTATCACTCTTAAACAAAAATTAAATTATACAAAATAGAAAGATTATTTATATGTTTGTAAATAAGAATAAATTGCTAGAAGAAATTAATAACTAATTTAAATTGTTCTAAGATAAATGTGTTTTTTCTATCCAATCATTACAAATTTGTTATACCCTGAGTATTTTGACTCTTGAATTATGATTATAAACATTACTTTACCAAGCAATTCTGAAATTTAATTAAGAAACTTTGTTTACTCGGCTTTAATTTAATCTTATGTGAGCTTGCCTTTAATAAATGCTGTTCTCAATTCAGAGTTGTTGATTTTGACAGATCATTGTCACCCTTTGCAAGTCATTTTTCTGGATGTTCTAATTTACTCTCCCAGTTAAAAAACCAGATCCAAATGGGAGGACAATTTATCCTAATCCAGCTTAAAATTGCAATATAAATTTGGAAATATAATATGGATCAGATTTTTTGTTTGCTTGTAATTCAGCATATTAAAATGTATCTATAGCTTTGGTTGCAGCATCTCCAACATCATCAGAAATCTATATTCAAGATTAACAACTACGTTATATGGAGTTTGCATCATAGCTTCAAAAAGTGTCGTTAGTTATTCTCTATTAAAATTGCTGAGTTAATCGACACTAACTCTCTACAATGTGTCCCAGAAAAGTTCAGATCCTGGTTATTGACAGAAAAATGATGAGCCATATCAGCAATCTCAGCAGGTGTCAATTATTTTGGTTGAAGGGCTAAATATAGATATGAATTAACATGTTTCAATTTATTTTCATTAGTTTGCTGAGGATGTATTTTTAAAAGAAAGGAGTTACAGCAAGAATTCACTGAATATGAAATATTATTTGTTATGAAATTGTTGAGTTGATTTTGGGTTATCAAATTTTAAGTTAGTTGGTGACTATGAAAATATGAAATGACATTAAGTTTATTTGACTAATGATTACATAATAATTAAATTAATATTTGCAGAGTATTCATATGAAACAATTCTCCCTGTAGTGAAGGGTGGAATAATTACAATAAATTTAATTAAAGAAAAAATGAATAATAATTTTCTATCATAACTTCCAATTGTTAAAGTCAAGATAATAAAAAATAGCTAAAGGTTATCAAGCACCTATCAACTTGGTTTCAGTCTCCATAGATTCAATCTGATACAAATAATTAAGCCATTTTATTGTAATAAATAGGATTATTTGCAAATTCCTTAATTTTTGTAAACAACTAGTTTATATCTAATAATTCGTAATTCAACAATGCTGCTCTGTGGTGATTGAGGAAATGTAATACTTATTTTTCATAGATCAAGGCTTTAAAAGGAAGCTCTAGAATAGAGATTTTCCTTGAAAAAAGTAAGTGATGGAATAAATTGCTTAGGAAGTTTTTGAGCATGTTTCAAGAGAGAATGATTACTGACGATTATGAAGTCGTATATGTGAACGAATATATTCCCCAGTATTTCGGAAAAAATATTGGTCATCCATACTGCTATGACAAATTGAGGTTGTTAGGACAATAAAAGAAAAAACAGATTATAAAATAGTTTTAGAATTAAATTTTATGAAGATTACAATACTGTTTTAATTTTAGAACAGTGGAGTGTTATTCAGAACCTTTTAATTATCAAGAAATATATATAACACAACAATATTAAATAAAGTAAAGTAATTTCTGTTATATTCAAAAAAAATTCAAAATGCCAAAAAATTATTACTCATTTAAACAAAGCTAATTTTTTTTCTGTTGCAACTTCCTATTACCAACCATAAAAGATTGCATATATTTAATTGCTAGCAATAAATATTAAAGGAAAATCTCCTATAATTAAAAAAAAAATTTGGGTTACTCATGTAGAATTGACTTAAATAAGTTGAAAAATATTGAACGTTATATCCAAAAACAACTGCAGCCTCTGAATAATTAACTAGTCCATTTATTTTCAATATATTTTTTCGGCTTTTTTTTAGTGATTCTTAGCTTAGAAGATCACTGGATAGAAAAATTTTTGTTGGCAAACAAGTTTGGAATTATTATTATAATTCATAGGGAATGTTTTTCAACCCTTTTGGATTGGAGTATAAATTCAATTCTTCTTCCTGAAGAAATCATGATTGTGGTGATTGCATTATTACTACTGATCTTTCTGATAAATCAATTGCCCTTTCATTAAGATACTTTATCTTTTGAAAATAAATTGAATTAACTTTCTGTAATGACAAGAATGAAAGGATAGTTTTCTGAGATAATAGGTATTTTTCTTTAAAAGTAGAAAGTTATTTATACTCTTATATCAAATATAAAATCATATTTTTCAAATTTAGTGCAATTAAAAAATTATGAAATTTAAATGTTTAATTAATTATAAATAGAAAGAACTTTATATCATTATAAATAAATTGCTGTTGCTCTATATAATTAAACACTTCTCTTACTTTTTANGAGAATGATTACTGACGATTATGAAGTCGTATATGTGAACGAATATATTCCCCAGTATTTCGGAAAAAATATTGGTCATCCATACTGCTATGACAAATTGAGGTTGTTAGGACAATAAAAGAAAAAACAGATTATAAAATAGTTTTAGAATTAAATTTTATGAAGATTACAATACTGTTTTAATTTTAGAACAGTGGAGTGTTATTCAGAACCTTTTAATTATCAAGAAATATATATAACACAACAATATTAAATAAAGTAAAGTAATTTCTGTTATATTCAAAAAAAATTCAAAATGCCAAAAAATTATTACTCATTTAAACAAAGCTAATTTTTTTTCTGTTGCAACTTCCTATTACCAACCATAAAAGATTGCATATATTTAATTGCTAGCAATAAATATTAAAGGAAAATCTCCTATAATTAAAAAAAAAATTTGGGTTACTCATGTAGAATTGACTTAAATAAGTTGAAAAATATTGAACGTTATATCCAAAAACAACTGCAGCCTCTGAATAATTAACTAGTCCATTTATTTTCAATATATTTTTTCGGCTTTTTTTTAGTGATTCTTAGCTTAGAAGATCACTGGATAGAAAAATTTTTGTTGGCAAACAAGTTTGGAATTATTATTATAATTCATAGGGAATGTTTTTCAACCCTTTTGGATTGGAGTATAAATTCAATTCTTCTTCCTGAAGAAATCATGATTGTGGTGATTGCATTATTACTACTGATCTTTCTGATAAATCAATTGCCCTTTCATTAAGATACTTTATCTTTTGAAAATAAATTGAATTAACTTTCTGTAATGACAAGAATGAAAGGATAGTTTTCTGAGATAATAGGTATTTTTCTTTAAAAGTAGAAAGTTATTTATACTCTTATATCAAATATAAAATCATATTTTTCAAATTTAGTGCAATTAAAAAATTATGAAATTTAAATGTTTAATTAATTATAAATAGAAAGAACTTTATATCATTATAAATAAATTGCTGTTGCTCTATATAATTAAACACTTCTCTTACTTTTTATAGTTATTCTGAGTAGATTTGTTTATAAATTCTTAGATGATATTCCCAAAAATTATATAATTTATCTACAAAAGACTTCATCATCAATATTTGTATTAACATTTGTAAAATATTTTGTAAATTATACTTATAAATTAGTTAATTGATTTGATATATATAAAATAGGTAATTTAAAAAATTCAATCAAAATATTCAATTTTTATTTATTTGAATATCTCATCTGCAGAATTAAATTAGAAATATTCGTATTCTTCTCCTCCATAATGTTTAGAAACAATTATATAAAATTAACTTAGTAATGATAAGGAATTTTATATAATTTCTGTAATGTAAATCTTAAATAAATATAAAATTTTACTTAAATTTAATCAAATGTACTTCTATCTAAATAGTTATTGAGTTTAAGATTAATCTCCTAAATGAAATCAATTATATTTTCATAAAATAATGAATAAGATCTTTTAATTGAACTTTGTGATATTAATAAATTGAAATCTTTTTAGGCCTAAACAAATTTCTATTCATCCTTTTCTATTAATTAGATATTAGTTTTTACCTTCTACTAATTTATGTTGTAAATATTAATAATTTCTAATATATTAAATTAATGTTTTCGCAACTATAAAAGTCATGTCTTTAACAAATTAAAAGAGCATTAGATTTTTTTGATTCATAAGATTATTCTTCCAATCAACTTCATATTAGTTGATTTTAGGCATCCCTTTATAGACAAATTAAAAGAAATTAGTAATATAAGTCCATAATTTTTCAGGGGATGTTAATTCTACCCACTATATTTCTGGTCTTAATTATCCTGTTATTAATTAAAGCAAAACTGATTTTGTTTCACTAAAGTCAAGTTCACTTTCCTTTACTATATAATCTCCTCCTAATTATGCCAATCCATCACATAAATAGATTATATTTTTTAAATAAAATATGTAACTATCAAATTTTACCTAATTTCAATATATGTATACATCAAATTGTTCTGCAACTAATTTCAACTAAGAATTGATTTCTCTAAGTGTTTCTCCTGCCAACTATCTAAATATGACTTAATCTACTGATCTTTGCATTTTTGTTATCAGATCTAATCCAAATATTACTGCAGGGTAAAGATCACTTCTTTAGATTTCATAACCTTTTGGAATTGGCTAAGTTTTTAAAAATTTATGAATAGTTAATTTTTATTTTTATCTAATATAATCTTTAGGGGAATATGAGTATATTTTCTATTAAATTTATACTTAAGATGATTGTATGGATTTGTGAATGATATCTAAATTAATTTTCTCTAGAAACAAATTTGTAAAGATATTTAAATAATTCTAAAAGCATTCAACAATTTATGATTGATCCTAAGTATATATATGGATTGAATACTTTTCCTTATGAGATTATTTAAAATATTGGAAATAAATAATCATTTTCATCTAATGAGTTTTCTTTTATTTTCTAAAAGACTTTTGATGTATGATTTTTTAAATATAATAATGATTCACTAATCATGACTAATTAATCTAAATTATATATTTTCTACAAAAATATTCTTACTGTCTAATAATAATTATCAAGAATTCTTGATAAATGTTATTTATCATTTTCTTTAACAATTCTTAAATTTAATCTGAAAAAAATTCTTGAATAAAATGCTTCAATTACTGTAGTTTCAAAAATTATACCACATAATGCTTCAAATACGAGTATTTCTTACTATTTCTATAAGTGCTATTTACTAACTAATTTTTGTTAGATTAGACTTTGATTAATTTTATACAAAATCTAACCTGTTTAATTAAGATTATTGGATTGTTTATTAATTAAATCATTAATTTATTAGTGTAAATTTAATCTATTGTAAAAGTTATATTATAAAAACACATCATTATACAATGAATATAGATCCTAATCTCCTTATATTTAAGACTCAATATAAAGAAAAAGATCTTTCATTTATTCTGTTATGTTGAATTTTTAAAATTCTTCTTCATATTGATAGTTATTTTTTAATTAAACATCCTTTAATTTTAATTATGGAATTAATTATGGGAAAATAATCTATAAAAATTATAGCTTTAATGGGTTAGGTTAAAGGATATTATTCTCATCTGTATTTAAATCATAATAACCAAAAAATCTTGGAGGGTAAAATACACAAATTAAGTCTTTCAATTAGGAAAATTTCTGATTGATAAATTATGATTCTTTGTTTAAAAGTTTCATTAAGGAGCTTTTGCAAGTTCCTAACAATCTTTTCTTCAATTATTAATATTATATAATACATTTATCACTTTGATAATAATTAGGTTTTGAAGAAAAGAATATTATACCTTCTTGAATCTCACTAATTAATACTTAATAATTAATTTCCTTTTTATCATCACTCTCTAAATCTCTAGAAATTTTTTAAATATTATAGTAATATTGAATGTTTTCTTGAATTTGAAATTGGTATTCTAATAATTCTTTTTATTTATTAATATGAATATTGGCTTCTTAATGAAATTGACTTATTTTTTATACAATCTTATCTTTGTCATCATTCAATTTCTTCAACTAATCACAAATTATCTCTAAATTTTATGTTATACTTTAAAGTGATGATAATTTCTATTAATATTATCCTTATATCATTTCTAATCGAAAAAAATCATCATTTTTCTTATCGTGTTTCTTATAAAATTTAAAATTAGTGGGTTTATCTTTTTCTTGAGGTGGTTTTTGCTGTTAACTTTCCATTTAATCTATAAGAGCTTATTCCTCGAGAGTTAAAGCATTGCTTTATTCCCACTAAACAATATTGATTTACATAAATTATTTAAGAATATTTTATATATATATTTATTTAATAGCAAAATTAATTGTTATTTTTATCAATACTTATCTAATGTTTTTTATTTTCAATAATAAATTTATCATCTTATTATTTTGTTAACCTTTAGACTAAATGTTAAAGTAATTTAAAAAGCCAAAAAAAAAAAATATTTGGAATTGATTAGGTAATAATTTATGAAAGTGAAAAAAAAAATTTTAATTTATTTTTTTAATAAGATGATAATTATTCAATTATAGAAACATCTAATGTATTAATTAGATTGTAATTTAAATAAATTTTGGATATTCGATTAAAATCTATAGATTTTCATTAAAAATTGAATAATATAAATATCAACAATCAAGAAATTTCATAAAGCTCATAATTGTTTAAAGGATTCAACTATATTAATAATTAAATTGAATGTTAATTTATTAGATATTTTAATATATTGATTCACTTTGTTCATTATGATAACTTTTATTAAACAGATCTTGGAGTAGTAAGAGTTTTAAATGATATTGGTTTTTATTGCATTTTTGATTTGATGTTATTGCTTATTTAATGACATGTCTTAGCTCCAATATTCCTTGTTGATAATAAGTTGTTATTAAACTTTCTATTATAATTATGATATAGATATTACCTAGATGAACTATCATGAAAAGTTTGTGTCTTGCATACCTTGCAATTTGACTTCGGTGTCATTTTGGATGTACATTAAGTTTTCATATTTCTTGGAGATTTGAAAAAGTTTTCTTTTTTATCTTCGCAAAAATGTACACTCTTAATTTCTCTAGATGGATCTTTATTCTATACTTATATTCTTTTTTTTAATTAAAGCTTTTCGGTTACTCTTTAATGTACTTCATTAAGATAAATAAATTACATTATTCTAATATTTGTTGGTGTTTTAGTTTTGGTTTTGGCAGATCCAACTAGCCACATTAATCAGGATGAATTATTTTTAATTATCTTTTTTAAGAAGTTATCAATGATTTAATATTTTTGATTTTATCATTTGTAAGAAGTTATGATAATTTGAATTCTTTGATTATATTATTATTATCTTATTGTCTTTCAGTTTTTAATTTTTCAATTTTTAAAAGTTATTGATGAATATCATTGTGATTGTTGTTATTTATTTTTCCACGTATTTTTTCTTAATCATGTTTAGAATAAGAAGGAGTATTTTGTAATTCATCAAGTACATTTCCAACAATAATTCCACTTTCAATGGTGTGAGATGGAGGAGTACTTTCAGTTTAGATTGGTTCATCACCAACTATACCTTTTGGAGGCTTCTCTGGATTATTTTTGTTTTCTTCATCAATTATTTTCTAAATTTTGTAATATTCGAGCTTTCTTTTTTAATTATAATATTCATTCAAGATATTTACAATAGAGCTAGAAACAGCCCATCTAGGTAAATCATTGTGAAACTAAGATTTTGATTAAATTTTTACTTTATAAAATTCTGTTAAGACTTCCATTTTATTATCTAAACTATGCGGTTAATATATTTTTTTCATGTATTCAACATCTTCATCCAATAATACTAAATCCTAATTTTAATATTGTAAATAATTACTTTGAATACTATATTAGGTTTAGTTGGTTGGTCTAATATGATTTCATTGATATCCTTGGTAAAATAGTAATTTTGTGATTCAGCATATTTATTATAAAGAGAATTAGTGATCCTCTCTGGTAAGGATACTTTCTTGATAATTAATTTAATTTCAGTCTACCTTTAAACTGCATTTCTTCGAAGTTATTGCCATATAAAGTCTTCCGAATCGGCTAACAGAAAAGACATTTCATTTAATTAAAAAAAATATTAATAATAATTAAAAGTAAAAACAATATATCTTCATTTTCTTATAGCAATGCTATTACTTTTTAACTACTTCTAATTGACTATTTTTCCAGGTTGTCTTAAAATCATTGTGATTGATCTTTCTCTTGTTTATTATACAATAGGTATTTCTTCTTAAGAACTTTATTTGTTAAATGATTATCGAACAATGCAGCCTTGTTTTTGTGGTATCTTAGGTCTAGCTAACATATACAATAGCAATATTACTTGGTGTTTGAATTGTAAAATAAATTATTATTATTATTATTATGAAAACTATTATTATTAGCTCTTCTCTTTTTTGTTAATTAAGATATAAGAGCAGGCAAATCTAATTCTAATAATTCTTGTGTCATAGATTAATTCTAAAAATTATCAATTGATTAATAGTTTCCATTTGTGGCTCTTTTTGGTTAATAAGGTTTCTTGTCTATATAATTATTTATAACAACTATTTACATTGATTAGACTTAATTTATTATTGTTAATAGGATTTCTGTTTTTATAAATACTCAACGCTTTCATTAACATGTTTTTTACTATTTGCTCTTCCTTTTTCTGTTAATTCTGTTGTTGTTGTGCAAGTATTACGATTTCTATTTTCTTTTTCTTATAAATTCCATTTATTTAACTATTTTCTTTCCCCTTCACTAGTATTTAATGTATCAAAAGTAACAGTGTTCTATTTCCTCATTGAATGTGTTGTTTCTGGGATTTTTTGAAACTATTAAGGTGTATCACTGTCGAATAAATTAGGAGCTCTGACACTTAATATCTATAAGAATTTCATATATATTGTACTGAGCTGTTTTATTGATCAATTTTTATGAACTCATCTTCATCTGATGAAGAGCTATTCTCTGGAGAGATATCAAACACTATATTTTGTTACATTTTAAATTAAATATTTATAAAATAGCAGTTAATCCTATAAATATCATTCTTATTTAGTCGTACATATTATTCAATCAATTTCTTGAAATCAATTCTAATCTTTTCTAAATTAATAGTTGTAAAAATATCTATATAAAAAAGCTATGTAAAATAAAACTTGGGATATCATTATTCAAAATTAAATTAGTATTTCTCAGTTTAAATTCTATATATTTCAGATATTATATATTATTTCATAATGTATTTTATTAATTTCATGTTGTAATGAGAATTAATAAAAAAAGTTATGACATAATTTTTCTCTTTTTTGATTCCTTCTGTTATTGATTCTTTATTAATAATTATTTCATATGGAAATGTTTGATGATACAATACTAGAATTATTGAGTAAAAACACGGACATAGCAAAAATTGTTGATTTAGAAAAACTTTCATAACAACCAGGATTTAAGATTGAATAAACTAATAGCTACGTCTATATTGGCTAAGTGTAAAATGGGTTAAAGCATGGAACAGGTAATTTGAATCATATTTACATAGGCATATTAAAACTTTTAGACTCTTTTAGAATTTATGTAGGAGAATGGAAAAATGATAAAAAGAGTGGGCTTGCATATGAAAAATTTTAAAGTGGAGCTGAATATTTTGGCAATTATGATAACAATAAGTAAAATGGGTATGGAGAATATGTATGGGCAAATGGGGAGAGCTATAAAGGGAACTGGATAGATGGGAAGAAGAGTGGATATGGTGAATGGTTTGGATAAAATACTTCCTATAAGGGTGAGTGGAATAATGGCTTTGTTGAAGGAAAGGGAGTTTATTAATCTGAAAATGGTATTTTTTGAGCTCATAAGTCAGGGGATTAGTATACAGGAGACTTTTTATAATCCATGAAGCATGGTTTGGGGGAAGAGTAATTTGCTAACGGAGACAAATATGTGGGCAGTTTTAAGAATGGTAAGCCGGATGGCTATGGGGAATATTATTGGAAAAATGGAAGTTTATATCAAGGTAAAGATAGAGTTGATTATAGGTTTCTTTATGGATGGCATGAGACATGGCCATGGTGTTTGGTAATCTAATACTTAAGGTAAAATAGATAGGTATGAGGGAGCTTATTCTAATGATAAAAAATGTGGATATGGAGAATTTTTATGGTCAAATGGTACAGTTTATAAAGGGAATTATTTTGATGATTATCGGTAGGGTTATGGAGAGATGTATTAAAATGGAGTTATTTTTTACAAAGGAGAGTGGGATAGAGGAATATAAGTTGAAAAATCTAACACAAGATTTTAATTTTAATAGAAGATGAAAACTCAAGAAACTACAGCCAGGAAATGGAAGTTCAATAATATTGATGAAATTTAAGAATTAGAGGAAGAAACAGTAACGTCTGGAGCTGAAGGTAAAAAAGAAAACAATCCTAAAATAACATAAAAGAATTCCCAATAATGTCGAATGAAAACCCTGAATGTAGAGAGCAAACCTTCAAATAGTGATTTTACCCCTATGAAACGAAGTCTTTAATTATAAAAAAAAGCTACTCCTGCAATTCAAACCAGAAGCAGAACTCAATCTATGGGTAATTGTAAAATACCAATTTTATAACAAAAATAAAGATCAAATTCGAATTAAATTAATAACAACTAAAAACTTGAGCAATTGGTTAAATTTTCCCCTTATAAGCAAACGCTTAGAATTGGAAGATTTAAACTATAGAAAATATAACTATGAAGTCAAATCTGATATCATCTTTTGTGAATATAGTAATAAGGTTTTTAACTAATCATTATTATTATAATCTTTATCTACAAACAGGACATGTATCATTTATTTCAGCCCATGGCCGAATACAATCTGAATGAAATACATGATTTGGATTGCAAGTTAATTTAACTATTAGATCATCGTTTTCATAATTTTGTAAACAAATATAACAAGGCTAAAAGGTTTGACCATTTAATTCAGAGAATTTAAATTAAGTTCTTGTTAACCTAAGGGCTTGTTCTTATCTTCTTCTTTCTTCTTCTAACCTTTAGCGATATGCTTTGTATATCAAAAATGGCAATATCAAACATACTGCAAGTAAGCCAAGAGTGATTGTTGCTAAAACTACCCATCCAAATATCAATTGAACAACTAAAATCCATTTACTAAGCAATAAAGTATTTTACAAAAACACAACATTTCCTAAACCGAACATTATAATATAAACAAATTAATTGCATTTGTTTAAAGCTCCGTGATTTCCCTTAACTGCAGCCCAAACATCGATTGAATCATTCAATTATTCTATAAATTATCTTGAACTTTCAGAAATTATTTCTACAGTTTTTTTTATTTGGATTACGCTAAACAGATGAAATGAATATTGTAATAATCTCCAAATCAAGTAAAAAATTGATGCCTTTTAATATTCATACAACCAAGGTAATGAAATATAACTTATGACAATTATCAATTATATATTAAGGTACAATTACATTGAACTTAGTGAGCTTCTAATCTTTTTACACTATTCTTCTATTACTATTATTCTTTCTAAAAGAGTTTAATCATCCATTATATTAAAATATATTAATAATATAAATATTAGTCTAAATATATGAAAAAATAAATTATATTAGATAATATATTTGATTATAAATACTTCAAACAAATTAGAAGTATTTTTGTTAAATCAACTAAAATTATTAATCTGAAATTCAGACGAAAAAATTAGAATTCATTATATTTTACTTAAGGAACTATCAATCATTGTTTATTGATTAAAAATATATTATAAAATGAGGTTAATCTTTCAAGTTCATTTATTTTACTAAAATCTGATGGAAATTAGGTATCTAAGATTTAATATTTTCTATAAATCAAATTATTTTAAATGACATCGAAGTATAAATTTTTAATTTTATTTGGAATACAATCTATGTAAATCATTTCTGAACTTTTAGTTCATTCAATTTTTGCTCGCCTCAATTAACCATTTAGAAATATAGATAAAGAGAAATCTGCTTTGTATATTTCTCTACTCAATATTTAACTTTATATCTTAACATCTAGAAGATATTATCTTTAGCAATTATTTTTAGGAGTAAACAGTATGGTCAATCTAATTGAATGTTAAAATAAAAATAAAATGAAATTAATATATTTAAGATGAAATTGTTGGAAAATGAAATATAAAAGTATCAAATCATTCAACCACTTTTAACAGCTACTCAAAATTATCTTAGAATACTGGTTGCACTCAAACATTTATTTTGTAATTCAATTCATGAATTGCGAAACAATTTACTACTTACTACATGCATTTCTTCTATTTTTGGTAAGAGTAATAATAATTTTTCTAAGTCAGCATCAATTTTTCTTCATAACAACATTCGATTATTAAAGGTCCTAGAATTATAATATGTTATTAAGGTTTGCTCATCATCAGAAGAATTAAAACTGACCTTCTTTAATTTGTATTAAATTCAACTTTGGATTCTGCCATTGTAAAACTAAAAAAGAAATAGGAAATTCTAAAATTTAATGTGTTTTTCTAAATCTGATTTATTTAAATTTATAATCTATAGAATTTATTTAAATAATGGAAAAATATATCTTATAATATTATATCATATTACTATATCATTAATAAATATTTTTATTTGTGAATAGTTTATAATATTATTTTATTTTAAATATTTGCATCCTATGAAAAAACAAGAGGATGATTTTATTAAGAGAATGAAATTATATGAAAATAAATTCATTTTTTTAACTGAACAAGGCAAAGTAGTAATAAAAGAAACAGATTCCTAATTCGAATAATAAATTAATTTTCCAAATCCAGTATATGATGCAATATGCTATAATGATTTACTAATAACATCAATAAGAAATATGCCTGTAATGATATAGAAATAAAATAAGATAGATTGTTATTTATCAGAAAGAAGATGGAGAATGGAAACAATAAATGAGATTACATGATATCAAACCCAATTCTGAATTATTTTTAGCTCCATTAGATATGAAGAGACTAACTGTAAGAATTATCATTATAATTATTTAGGAAAGTAACAATGTAATTGGATGTGGAAAAGGGTTCTTGCATGAATATGATTTATAGAAATTTTCGATCATAAATTACAAATGCATTAAAAATTATGAATATATTTCATGTTTAGATTGTTGTGAATAAAATGAAAATTATGGGATAGCAAAAAATATTTTATTATTGGGTTAATTCAATAAAATTATTAAAATTGTTGATACTTTATAAGATAAACAAATTGGTGAAGCAAAAGTTCACATTGGAGGAATAACCCATTTGAAATTTGATAAGTTGGATTCATTATATTTTTATTCTTGTGCTAGATTTGATGATTACATTTACTAATGGGTATTTTACACTAATAAATTAAGGATTTGAGAAATACGAGTACATTTTTATAATATTTTGAGAGGAAAAATCAGACAAACTAAAGAATGAATTTTGATATAAATCATAAAAGAGAATTGTTAGTGGGGAATGATGATGGAACTGCTTATGTTTATAAAAATGATTTGAAAAAAGTTGAATTTTTAATTTCAAATTCATGTGTCCATTCTAGTATCATTTAGGATGATGGGAAATGTTATGTTAGCTTTGGATAAAGAAATTTTGATGAGAGCAGAACTTTTCAAACAGGAATATAAAACTTCACAATCAACTCATGATATTTGATATTTAAAAATAAAATTTATGTAAAAAAGAAATCATTTCGCAAACATATAGTCTTACCAAAGTTGAGAACTTGCATTAAATTAGTAAAAGATACTCTCTTAGATAAAGCTTAGTTAATATAAAAATGTTTGAAGTTTTTATATTTACTATATTTTAATAGAGGGTATTATGGATAATAGATATGATATAATGTTTTTTTATTTAAATTAATGTATTCCTAATGATTATAAAGTATAACTATAATGATTTATGCACAACAATAAATTATATATATTTTTCTATAAATTATTCTTTTTATTGTCTAAAAAATATATAGAATAAAATTAATAATATATATCAATGTTTAGAGGATCTCATTTTATCTTCCTAAGTTGTATTTTATTGGCTATAGTTTCATGCGAATTCATTCCAACAGATGAAGCAAACTTTGCTTTATTTAATGTCATAAAACAAGCTTATAATAGTGGTAAACATTCAATATATATACAATAGATAATTTTGCACTTATATATCAATAATTGGATGATGAAGTATAGTAAGCATTGTCTTTGAAACAATTTGAAGAAATCCTTGTAACAAAAAAAAGTAAAACTGGATCAATTGAATACTGGTCATATTCTTCTCCAATTCCATAGCATCCAATCTTCATTCTTGGATTCTAAAAAAATTTGGCAGTTGGATCCATTGAATGGGAATATTAAGAAACAAAATTTAAAGTGTTCTTATTAAAAGAATTTGTGGAACCTACATTTGTTGAGTTCTTAAAAAGAAATCCAAGTCGAACCTCTTTATCAGCCAAAACAGATGATATAGAAATACTCAATTATCAAGGAAATAGATAATAAGATTTAATGAGTGTGTTCAAAATCACTGTAGCAATAGAATTTTCAAGATAATCAGCAGAGGGTATTATTGATCCTGATACCTGGGTATCACTTGAAGATGTTAATAAATATTACTTGAAAGATGTTGATACATCTCATACTTAGTTTTTGGAAATTTGGAATCAAATGGGAAAGATTAAAGATGATAAGATCCAATTGATTGAAATAGCAAATGGTATGATTGCACTTAGCTCTAATACTAATACTGAATATTTACAAACAATTTTAACTATGGAATCAATAGAGAAAACGATTTAAACAATGAAATTAGAGTAAACTCAATCATATTATTTATCATCACTCTTTTTAGTATTTTTAAATTACGATAACAAAGATAGAGATGATTATATTAAATAAATTTCTTCATTTACTCCTGAATATGTTTTAGAAAAATCAAATTAAATTCATTCAATTTTAGAATAAGGAGGTTAAGAAGCATAAGATCTATTAGCTAGAGGAAAAGAGGTGTTAGATGGATAAGTTTTAGGAATTTAAGCTTAAACATTCACAAAAGCATCTACTTCAGCTTATGTTAATCTATTAGATAAACTTAATAAATAAGAAATATTCAATAGTAAATTTTATGATATTTTTTATCCTTTAATTGGGTATGTATCTATGAAGAATCCATTCCTTGCTAAAACTTACAAACATGTTGGAGTAAGTTATATATTTATTCTAAGGTTAAAGGTGGTTCTTCATCTTATGAAAAAGATACTCAGTGTGTTTTAAGCATTGCTTAATTTTAAGAATTATACAATCCATTCCCTTATAGTAAAACAACATATGCTTTATTTACTTAAGATCTAGATTATGAAACAGAATATGCTCCTCTGATTACACAATTTAACTATTTCACTGGATTAATAAGCTTAAATGGATATTATTTATAAGCTGTATCGAAAGCTCTAACTTCAATTTCCTTAGATGAGAATATATTTGAACAATGATTATTATATTAATGAAAAATAAATTTATTATAAATTATCCAAAAAAATATACCTTAAAAAATAGATAAAAATTAAATTAATATTTATACAGTAAAAATTTATCAAATCTTTCTACTCTCTATATTTTATCTTATCTATCTATTTTATTATCGTTATCTAAAATATCTAATAAGATTATATACTAATATCTAATTAAATTTTAATCTGATGCATGTCTTTAATAAGTTTCGATTGGATAATAATGGTTGTAATTTACATGAATTTAATTACATTATGGCTAGTATTCTTATTTTGATAGCCTTTCATTAGAAATTAAATTCGAAGATAAAGGTCTAGTCTATTTTGTAGTTGATTAATTTTTATTAATTGCATTAGATTCACTCTGTTTTGTTTTAACAACTCTTGCTTAAACTGGAAATACTTATGATCTTTCTAATTTATGTTACTCTACTCTTGCTGGCTATGCAGATTAAGGATGTTAATATCTATCAGATATTGGTCGTTATTAATGATTTGACGAATAAATTTAAGAGACTGGAGCTGCTGATTATGGAATTTATTATCTCTTCATTGTAATGTTTTCTTAATGAATTATTGGCTAACGTATCTAATGACTTGGATTACTAATATTAATTGATTGACTTATTTAAGGTCTACATTACATTTGACTTTATACTACTCTATTACTAAGAATTTATAATTATAATTACTTATTATATTAAGGTAATTCTACTTTTCTATTTATGGGAGAGTAGGAATGTTTTTAGATTCCATGCTATTATTGATATTATCCATATTATCCATTTTATCTGGTTTAAGATATTGGAGAGATTCTTCTATTTTCAGCAATAAGTTCTTTTGAGGCATCTCGAATTTGTTTTAAATCTCTTAATTCTCGATATTTTGAATCTTGAATTTCTTATTTTCTTAATTCTTAAATTGCTTTAAGTTCATTTTCCCTTTTTATTCTTAGATTTTCAGATTCTTTGATTTTTTAAATTTATGAATTCTTAATATTAGAATCTCCTAATTATGATCCTTTCTCATAATTTTAGTAACGCTATTATGGTTAGGCAGATTTTGGTTTTTCCATTTTTCTTGATGCAGATGGTCTAGGACCTTGAACTAATAAAGGATGCTTATTTTATCTTTCTAAGTAAGCTACACTTTTAGTTATATCAGTAATTTATCTATCTTTAACTTAGCTTAATCTAGAATCTTATTATGTTTTGATGATTTATTATGGAGATCTAAAAGGACTAGATGAATTTTCTGTAGATTTATTTTCAATATTTCTTTCAATACTCAGAATTTCATTATCATATTTAGATTTAGGAAATTGAGAATTTAACTAATCAATTGTTCTTGGGATTTATATTGTTTTTAAAAGTTCTTAATTTTATGGTTAATTATTAATATGAGTTTCAATATCTCTCATTTTATTTTGAATTATAGGCATTTTTAATAATTCGTCACAATTAGGTCTTTATGAAGATTATGTTTTTAATAACAATGAGATGATTAAAGCAAGATCTTTGGAATATTTTGATGGTATTTAATCATAAAAACCTTTTTATACTTTTTAAAAAAGGACATCCATTTCTTTTGCTCTGAATGGTGTTTACAAACAACACATTTCATAAAGAACACAACCCAATGACCTTAAATATAATTAAATTTATATACCAGATATCGCTCTTTATATCGTATGGATCATCTCTCCAAACTTCTGGACTTGCATAATATGGTGTTCCAGTTTAAGTATAAACAAATCCCTACTTTGCTACTTTTGACACATTTAGATCTCCCAATTTGAAAGTTCCATCACTAGAAAGGAAAACATTTGCTGATTTTAAATCTCTATGGACTATCTTCTAATCATGAAGTGTTTTCAATCTAAATTAACTACAAATTCTTACCCTAAGATCATATGAATCAAAGCTATCCATATATCCTATTCTGAAAATTGTGGTCCTCCCTTTAAAGCTTAACAGATTCTACGATATACATCACCTCCAGATAAAAGTTCCATTACAGTACATAAACATTTAGATTCATCATCAAAAAATGCTTCCTATTTTTAGTATTATTTATGTTTACTTTGTAGGCTACAATGTATTTGTTATTTATTGAAGCCAATAGTCTGACTTCATTTAGTGCATTCTCTTTTTCTTTTTATTTTAAAGATCCTAATTTCACTTTCTTTAATGCATATTCTTAACCATCTGCTATTCTTTTCACCTGAATGTTTAATATCAAAATACCTTGTAAACTGTACTAAATGACCCCTTTCCTAACTCTTAAATTATTTAAAAGTCTTTAAGTGAAGATGTTTTAGTTTATTAAACGTTCATATTTTATTAATTTATATAATAATGCAAAAACTATCAAACCTATAAGGGATCATCGCTTCTAGTCTGTCTGTTACTCAACTCCAAAAAGGTTTTATGCTCTATTTATTTTTCTTCAGCAATTTTAATCAAATTTGAAATGAATATTACATAAACAACAATAATTCCAGTTTATTTTATATAACTCATACTTGATCGTTCATATTAATAAACTTTCACTATAGTGTTAATAATAAGACCTAAACAAGCTATAACAGAAAATCTGAAATAGTCAAAAATTACAGTTTCATTATTATTTTCATTTTATATTGTGTCTGTTAATTCATCATCAAAGGGATCATGCTATTTATAATTGACATTAGTTTTCTAATTTCTGATTTCATTCTATTTTATATACAAACCATATTAGACAAGAAATACTATTCCATAAAGTAACTCTAATCCTAAAAGAACTTGATATTCTCTTTCTTTTTAGAATATCTAAAATATAGATCAAATAGAATTTACTATTCGATTTATAATCTCTAAACCTGAATTAATTGGGTAACCAAAACAAAAAAGTACTTTAAAAATAGAAATAATCTTGATAGATTATTAATCCACATTATCTTTTTTTAAATTTTACTCAAACATCACCAACCAAGTGTAAAATAAGATTGTTTGATTTATTAATTCAGTATATTCTCGATAAACTTATTGATATTGGTCACCTAATATATTTTCTAATGGTAAACAATTTAACATTAAAGTCAATAAAAGTAGCTTGGTTAATGTCTATCTTCATTCTTTAGATATATTTATACATTTAATTAGACTTTTTACAATATGTTTTAATAAACTTTGATAGATAATAATATGATAATAAACAACTTACTAAATAAATAGCCTAATCTAATCATATTTATACATTTAGAGAATATTCTATTCTTTTACCAAAATCCATAGTATTTTAAACTGAAAATAATAGAGTGTAGAGAGCAAATTAAACCACACTTCTCAATTTATTATCCATTAATATTAAATTTGATTTCTCTTAACAAATATTTATTAAATTAAATTAAATTATAAGAGGCATTGTTATATAATGAATAAAATAATCAAAATCAAGCACCAGGTATATTCAATACATCAATATGACAATATGGACATTTTTAACCTACTTAACATGATTCTTTGCTGAAAACAGATTCACAAGCCTTACATCTTAGACAATCAACCTTAGATATGCATAACAATTTAAATTGACAAATTAAAAAGTCTTTATTACATTTATTACATTTCTTTATTCCTTTAAAAGGAAAATGACTTTTACAATTTGGACATGTTAACTTATATAATCCGGAATTCTTTTTATCTTGTATTTTACTTAACTTTGATTCACACTCCTTTAATAATTAATCATCTTCTTCTGTAAGTTTTACTTTATCTAAGCTCTATTTCAATTAATTAAGTAATGTTTCTGCAAGTGCTGTATTTTCATATTCAATGCAAATAAATATTGATTAAATAATCCAATGTAATTTATGACTTGGAATAATATTTTGATGTATCAATATCAAATGCATATAAATTTCTTTCTTAAAATTACCTTTCTCATGCATTTAATTTATTCCAATAAGCAATTAAAAAGCAAATCTATATTAAGCACAATGGACAATAAATTTTTAAATCTAAATTATAAAATTAAGTTTATACTCTTTATAGCTTATCTTTATTTCCTTATAAATATTCATTCAACTTTAAAAAGGCCTTGGTCAGATTCTCAACTCCTTCTTTTGTTTATTTTAATCCAAAATGTTTTACAGCTTAATCAACAATCTGTTGAATTTCTTGAATTGAATTCTTTTGAGGTATTTATTATAATGATTATTATTATTGTTATTATTATTATTATTATTATTGTTATTATGATTATTATTATTATTATTATTATTATTATTATTATTATTATTATTATTATTATTATTATTATTATGACTATTATTTCTCAATTTATTGAGGAACTGATTATTATTATTAAACCTTTAATTATTCTTATTTCTACTTTTATTATTATTATTACTTTGGCTCTTCTTTATTTTTCTACTATGGCTATGTTTATTGAAATTATTAAGGGTCACTTACAAAAGTAGAAAAATCATTTTTCAAAGAGTTATTTGCAGATTTAGATTAGGTTTAATCAAAAGTTGCAAATTCGTTAAAGTCACTTCCCCACTCTCCTTATTAAACTTAAGGAACAGCTGCTTAAGCAAAAGCATTGAAATTGCTATCAAATTCAAAATTATTGGGATTCTAAGATTAATTTGGCTATGATCCTCCAAACCAGCCAAAATCAGAATTGGATTGTTCTATTTATTAAACATTTTATCCATCATCTTCTTGTTAAACTTCTTTAATTGGCTTTTCCTCAATTGGTTCTAATGCAAAATCTAATTTCAATCCTTGAAATGCATTTAATCCAGTAGTAGGTTTAGGTTTAAATTCTTATTTAATATCAATTTTTATTTCTTTTTATTTCTCATGAACAATAGGCAAAGGTTATCTATAACCATCTCTAACTTCTTTTAGTTAAAATTTTTATTTCCAAAATCTGAATTCAGTTATCATACACTTGATAATAGGATATTTGGGATTAGGTTCTTATGATGCTTGTCCCAAAATTAAATTTTTATTCTTAAAAAGTTCATTAGAAATTTCAAGCTCCTGACAACTAAATTAATATTTAGCTGCTATGTATAAATATAATACAGATGCTGATTATTCGTATGATAAACAAATATGATTCCAAAAATTGACTTTAATTTATGGTTAATTCATTGGATTATATTCATCATTTTCATCAATATTGAATTATACAATTGAACCATCAACAATAACTTCAATATTCAACTCATTAATATTAAGTATTAAATTTTAATCAACTTGTAATATTTATCCAGATGATTATAATGGTTTAATCCACATTTCAATTGTAAAATCTGACAGTTTATTCTTTTTCCAATAATTCTTTTTTCTTGTTTAAATTCCTGCTTAAGGACCTAATTCAAAACCCTATTATGCATTACAAACATTTCCCCAAAGATCTTAGTAATCCATTGGATCACTTTCTTCTAATTTTTCCCATAAATTTTCTGTTTCTGAACTTATTTCTTTATTTACATATATATCACCAACACAATTGTAATTTCCATAATCTCCTATTTTATTTCCTTTACCTTCATCTATTCTCCAATATATTAAAAGTTCTTAGAATTCTTTAGTACTATTATCATTGAAATCATATTATTAATCTTATTTTTATTTATCATCATCATTTTTAGCATCAAAAATATTATTTACTTATTAAGATTAAGGTTGTCCACCTACACCTAAAAAGAATCCAATAGTATCATAAGTCAATCTATCAAATATTCTTATAACCTTATTATCAACAACTGATTCCTCTTCATCTTCATCATTTCTGATATCCTCATAAATTAAATTGAATTTATCCTTTCCAAATTCAACTTTACATTATAAGGATTTCATATTTTATATTTATTATAATTTATCCAATAAGTAATCAGTAAAATAATAAGAAGGTAGCATATTTTGCATATCTTAATTATTTTTAATCTATTGTTATTATTGAGTCAAAAATTCTATTAGTTATTTAATATTATCTCGAAAGAACATATTGCCTTAATTTTAGACTTTGTGTGCCAATTAAATTGCTTCATCATGTGTAGTATATTCTTTAGTCAAATATTAATCAATTTTATCTATTTATTTCTATCTTTTTAAGATTTAAATAATAAAATTAGGTTATTTATTAAGAATGGCATCTATTTCTGCAGCTATCCTATATTAAAATGTCATAAGATAGAATTATTTTGCTTATTAAAGTAAAATTTATAAGTATTCAAATCTTCTATCCTTAATTTTTTTGATTAATTGCTATTACAAATCATCATTATTTACAATTCCCCCACTACCAAACAATGTCTCATTTAAATTTTCATGATCTAAGGTATTCATGAAAAATTTAGCTTTTTAATGTTTTGTAAATTAATTGCAATCATCTAGTTAAATAATAAACTTGGCACATGAAACGAATCTTTATGATAATGTGTTATTTTTACTATTCTAAATCTTTAATGAGTGAATAATCTATATTTGGATTTGCAAATGTCAATAACAATTTTGTAATAGTAGATTCATCAACTTCTTAATTAAAAAATCTTTTATTATGTATGTATCCTTATATAATAGGTTATAGGATATTGATCGATTTAGTTTTGATTTCAATATTATTTTATTTTTTAGAATGACTATTGATATAATAATTCATTTACCTTTAACATAATAAAATCATTCTATCCCATAACAAAGCAGAAAGTACATTCTTTTCCTCATAATTATCAATTGATTAAATAGAAGCACAAGTTCCATTGAGTAAAACATAAAGAATATGAAATTTTGTTTATAAAATTAAAGTTTAAGCCATCCAATATGTAAGAAGAATTCGATTTCTAATTTATATGATTATTGTACTTACTTTTTATTAACTTGTGGTTGAAGTGATATTAATTTCAGAGTACTCAAACTATCATCTACTATATAAACATTATGAATTGTAACTATAGCTCCTATATTTTGATCCTTCTACCAAACTAGATCTGTTACTTATTCATCATTTCCAAATTTGAAACTCATTTCAGAACCACTTTACATGAGTAAATCTAAGAGATTATTGTCTGAATTTCTATTTCTACTAAATTTTAAAATATTCTCATTCATTGGTTAATATATTACAACAAAACCTGATCTCAAAGGTGTCCAAAACATTCTTTAAACTTTTAAATTTAATGATTGTTTCATTTAATTTTGTAATTTATCTTTATCTTATTTATTCAATAATTTTAACATATCTTCCTCTTAAGGTAATGTATCTTCAAATATTATACTATAACTTGATCTATCCTCATACAATAAAAATAATGGAGGATTAGACCAACATTCTTAACCTAAGAACATAGAAAATCGAGCAGGATATTCTTTTAAATTATCTGATAATACTCCATCATTAGACATTACTGTACAACATCTATATGTAGTTTCAATTTTATAACTCAAGAGAAATTATGTTCTTTAAGCAAATTTAAGAGAGTTTGGTCTTACACTTAATTAATAGAAGATAGGATTTTCTACTAAAATCATCTAACGTAAATTAGCAATTGATTTTAATATTCCTTTAGCTAAACAATATTATTTTATTTCCATTGTGTGTTAATCAATATAATAAAGATATCTTTAGGTTAAGATTCTATTTTTATCATCTGGAAAGAGTTCTTAAAAGGAATATTAATATTATTATGAACAGACTGGATATTCAGCTAAGAGATTAGTATTATCATTGAGTAGAATAATCTATGTTTTATATTAATAGAATATTTAGCTTTGTAGAGTTTAATCTGGTAATGTCTTGATGGAATTAAGACTAACAAAATTTGCATAAGGATGTATTTATATGAATTTAGATAATCCAATATTTGGTTATTATCTTTATGCATTGTATTTTAGATCATTTTTAATGGATTATAGATTTTAAATTTCTTTAATACTTCCAAAAAGTTCTTATTTTTTTGATTTAGATACTTTCTGATCTCTGATCATATCTTAAGGTACAAGTAATTTGATATTCAATAATTTGATATTTCCATCATAGAGATAAGCCAAAAATTAATTACAATTAATAGCTCCATTATAATTTACCCAATGTAAACATAATATACCATTATTATGATTCTATTCTAATTAATAAATAGCTAATAATATATTTCTATCTCCTAAAGTTTTAGCATCATAACATAAAATCTAATATTTATTAATAATTAATACTTTTCCATTATCACATCCACATAACAACTTTTAACCATCCTATTAAAATGAAAGTGATATTATAATATTATGTTCATCTTGTATACTATTTAATTAAGTATAAGTAGTTTAATTCCATACTCTTACTAATCCATCTGAACATGCACTGCATATTTTATAATCAGTAGGATGGCATTTCAAATCATTAACATTAACTCGTTCAGGTAATCTCAATTTACTTAATATTAATTCAGGTCCATTAGATTAGATTGTGTCATCAATATTTGCACAATAAATATTTCTTTGATCTATAGCGCTGAAGAAGAGAATACCCTTTTTAAGTAATTAAATGCAAAACTTACATCCAAATTGCTCACATCAGCATGTTAGATTTCATATCCACTTCTTCCTTTTGTTTCACCTGACCAAATTGATTAATTAAATCCTTGTGCACTATTCCCTAATTACCATATTTCCATTAAAGATGGCTAAAATGCCAATATTAAATATCCTTTCCTTCTTGAAGTGATAAGCATAAATGGAGGTTGATTTGGTAATTACTTTGAAATGATATATCTAATATCAATTATTATTATTTACCTCTCCAATACAGTTTGATTGTGTAAATCCAATTCAATCAATTCATTTATTGGATTTTCACCTTAGAAACTTGGTTGTGCCAAATAGATAATACTGCTTCTCTCATGATTAAAAGTTAATGCAAGTATACTTTCTTAAAGTACTGTTTCCATTTTACTTTTTAATATAAAAACAATTAAATGTTAAAATTGATTGAAAAACTTTGTAACACTTTAAGATAACAGTTAGAATAATATTCTTAGATAAATGTATGGAATTAAAATTTAAAATAGGATATTTTAGAAACCAATATAGTGAGGTTTGTAAAAGATTGTATGCTTTATATATTTCATATTCCATTAGAATATGATATTGAATAATATTTTACAATTGCAGAAATAGATAAAACCATGTTTAATATTCAATAATATTTGAATTCTATCTAAAATAAGAACCACTTCAAATATCTATTTATGAATGAAGGTTTTTAATCAGGAGAATAGAGTTCAAGTGATGAATTTGATTCCATCATTAAACCTAAACCTAAAATACATAAGACCCATTCTCTAGAACATAAACCAACTGATATTCCTATCACTGAAAATGATCTAACTTAGTTAAATAACCTTTAGCAATTATTATATGAAACTAACCTTAAAGTAACTAAAAGAGATGAATAAATTTTATAGATGACCACAAACTACTTAAAAGATATACAACATCTTAAATTAATGGTAAATATTTGCTTTTTTATTTAAGTTTCTGAGGTAATTAGAGAATCCAGAAACTGAATTTTATGAGGTTAATTACTTTGATATAAAATAGGCATTAGAACCTGAATTATAGAATTATATACAGGATAAATTCAATTAATTATAGAAATAATGTTAATAAACTGTTTAAAGATATAAAATTGAATTAACTGCTTTAAGTACTGAATGTGAATCACATAAGAGAACTATTGCAGTTTTATTATAAAATAATACCCTTTAGTCAATTATTAAAATGTTATTTCTAATTGAAAAAGATCCATATAAGATTTGGAAACAAATATAAGATTAGGTTGGTAATAAGATAATTTTTTAAGTTTTTGAAAATTAGATTGGAGGATATGGAATAAATTATAGGGAAATAGATGAACTTATTTCTAAAAATTCAGCTGGAGGTAGAATGTTTTGTAGATAAAAATAATAATATGAAGAATAATTAAAAATTATGATAGATGATAATATTCAAATTATATCAAATTTAAAATAAGATATATAAAATAAAGAATAGATAATTGAAGAATTATAAATATCTTATGAGGAGAACACAATAAGAATATAGGAATAATTGAATGAGTATTTAGAGTAGAAATTAAAAGAATAATAAATAAATTTGAGTTAAGAATTTGATAGGAAACTAAAAATACAATAAAAGGATTTAACAGATCCTTAATTAATAAGAAAACTAACTATGAAATGTGCATTTGCAAGATGGATGAATTTTTCTAAATTTTATAGGATTTTTGAATAAGAATAGGATGAAGATACTTTGTATGAATTAAAATTAAGAATAAATCAATGTTTAAAATAAGTAAATGATGAATTTACTATAAGAGATTATGAAAAATTGATTTAAAATTATTAATAAGCTTAATATAATATAATAAAATTTGAATAAGAAAAGAATATTATAGAATACAAATGTAAATAATAATAATTAGAGATTTAGAAGCATAAAAATACTATATAGATGTAAACATAAACAATCTAAGCTTTAAAATAGGAAATTTAAAATAATGAAACTACAATAAAATTAATATCCAAACCTTTTTCTTCAATATTATAAAGATTAGGATATCCATCAAAAATTAATTTGTTATCAATTTTAAAAAGTGGAATAAATTTAGAGTTTTTATAAAATGAAGATCCAGAAATTCAATCTAGTTTGATTACCTTTTTTTAATTGGCAATTGCATAATAAATAATTCATTAAAGTAAATTAAAAAGAGATGCTGAAACAATTACTGAATTTTTTGATGTATTATTATAATATTAATATAGATTAGATATGCTATGTCATAGGAATTGAATGAGGATAGTAATTACTAACAACATAGATTATAGTCCCCAGAAGTTCCTCTAATTTAATTTCAAATTACAGATCAAGCTATTAGTCCAAAAGATTAATTAACTAATTCATATATTGAAAATAAATTTTAAATAAAAGGAACTTAAAAAACTTCAAATCATACAAATTAATCTCCAAAATCAATTAGAGTTTAAAATTAATATTAATAAATTAATACCCCTAAGATTAGTAATCAAAAGAGAGATAATAAAAATGAAAATGTAGCAGTGAAAAGGGAAAAAAAGAGTTAATAATAATTATTAGATACAACTACTAGTGGATTCTAGAAATAGGTTGAAAAGGTCAGAAGGAAAGATCATCTTATGATATAAGAAATAAATTATGTTGATAAAGGAACTTAAGTTGATACAGATTATATATCAAATTAACATAAAAATAGTCCAAGTGTATAATTTAGAGATAATGAACAAAACTCTCTTTAATAAGATGTTTTAGTAATATTGAGAGATGAAGGAGATTCAAGAGCTACTTCTGTAACAAAAAGAAGGAGTCTTAGTTAAAATAATAAGAAATAATAATTTAATATTCCTAATTAATTTATTAATAATCAAAACTTAACTCTGTATTAAGCATCTAAATTGAAGTCTTAAAATAAAACGATTTATTCAGAATAATAACAAATTTAATAAAATATTAGTTTAGGATTTGGATTTTTACCTACTAGTCCATTTTAGTTTTATTAAGAATTATTTAGAGAAAAACAAAAATTACAATTAAAAAATTATACAATAATTAAGGATTAAGGAGTTCCAATATAAAATATTTAAAAAAGAAAAATAGAACCAAGTATTGAAGGTAAACATCTACAAATTCCAAGTTATTTAAAATGAATATCTAATAAACTAATATTATCATTTAAAGCTTGGTTAATAGCCATAACTACTAACACTCCATTTACCCTACCCTTTAACTTCAGGAGCTTTATCAGATATTTTACCATATCTTTATTAATTAAAGTAGGTTGATTCATTTTGAGTTCTTGGATCTCCATTTCCTTGAAAACAACCTTTATGAAAATGGAACCTCAATTTTCGACCTTCTCTAACTAAGATTTCTTGTCCTTTATAAATATTTTATTTGCAGGCACGACAAGACCAACCATTTCTGCAAGCTATACCCCCACTAAGTGTCCAATAATCCATTAAATTATAAATATTAATAATAATTTCAATAGTGTGAATGAGTGGCACCTGTAATTGATGAAACTATTTAACATAATCTTTCCATTAGAAATATGTCACGATGCATATATAAATCCCAATAAGTTAAATATCCTTTTTAATTTCCATCTACTTCTTACATTAATCTTAATTATATATATATTATATACTATCTTGCAAACTGAAAATCTGTTTTTTTTTCAAATAGTTCAAGATCTGAAAGACTTAAAGTATTTGGAATGGTTGGAGTAGATTTCAAAGTTTCAAAAATTACTTTTACACAATTTTTTGGTTATTCTACTTATAAACACAAACCTTCTAGAATAACACCAGTTTCACTATAATTTATCCAATCATCTTAATCCTTATCTAATTCTTTAAAGAGAGAGTCTCTATCAATTTATAATAAATTATGTTTTAATTAGTTTTCAAATGCATAATAACTAATTTTGACTCTACCTGAATTTGGAAAGAGAATAGTAAATATTTATTCAGGAGTAGCATTAATATAAGGAACTACTCTAAAATTTGGAACAAATTCAGGTTGATCTAGTTTATGTAATAGAGATGGCCAATGTGTGAATAAATGTTTATATTATGGTTGAGCTACTTATTGATAATCTTAATAATTGTAAAAACTATAATATTTTTGGGAATCATTGACAATAATTTTATTTTAAGTTTCTTATGATTTAAGAGGATTTGGTGATTTATCTTAGATTGTTAATAGTGGTTAAAGATAAGATTAGGCAGTATTTATTTATATATAGGTTGAATGACCACTTTGAAATAATTAAGATGGTTTTACTTCATTTTTTGGAGTAATATCTTAAATTAAAGGAGGAGGTTGAGAAATCTAATTTAATATACTTTCGTTTGAAGATTCAGATTGTATATCATCTTCTTCATTGATATCAATATCTTAATCTTAAATTTAATGTTGTTAACTATTTTATAATTAACTGCTCTATTATTAAGAATGGTCTAATTAAGTTGGTTGATGAAATGCATATTATTAAGAGACATTAGTTTAAAAATAAGTTTATTCTATATCTTTAGATTCATTTTGATTTCTATCTGAAAGTACAATTTCTGAATATTGAACATCATTAACAAATTGATTAGTTTTACCTAAATTAATTGTTTTTGGAGATTGTTATTCAACAGGTTTCCATAAATCAGGACATGATTTCTTTTAACTATCATGTAATGGTTAAAGTTATAATTGTTAAACTTTTTAAATTCTGTTTGATGTAGGAGATTGGCAAGTGAGAACTTTTTCATTTTCCTTATCTCCTTTCCTTCTAAGATATTTCCTTAAATCAGTTGATAAATCTTTAAGATTATTGCCCTTTTTATAGTGATTCAGTATTGCTATAACATCTTGATTACCTTCTTTTACCATATTTCTTAATGCTATTCTATCATCCTTAAAAATTACTAATTTATAATATATTAATTACATGTACAATTATCTAATAAAGTAAGAATTTCTAAATTATCTGGTTTTTTTGGGTTCTTTTAAATATGTTATGGTGATTTTCCAAATCGAATCATTAAAAAATTAACTGTTAATTACAAATTTTAATATATTGATAAATAAAATATTTATCTTTCTTTTTATTATGTAAAATATATATCATAGGATTGTTTTAAGATTGAATCATATGATTATATTATTTGATGAAAGTTAATTATTAACAAAAAAAAAATGAGATTGTTTGAAAAATTAACTTTTATTATTTGAATTATATAAAATGAATTTATCAAAATAACAGGAAGAAGCTCCAATCATTTAAAAAGGGATTCAATTAACTAAGTAGGATAAAGTAAATAAATATAGATATTAAATGAATAGATTTATCATTTTGATATGTTATCTTGGGCGTCTGCAGGTGCTACCTTAGTTTCAATATGGTAAATAATAATACCGTTTACACTCTTTTCTTTGAATAAACCATAATTGATTTTAGGAATTACGAGTATCTTTTTTCTTTTGATCAGTTTGGTGGTTTTATATTGGAGTCATAAGGGATACAATTTTTATAAGAAAGTAATGTATAAAAATTTAAATTTGTAGGATAAGAATGATGAATAAATGCCTTTGCAAGCTTGGCATATTGAAGGCTTGATCTATGTTATTAGTTTCATTTTAATAGCATTATATGCAAGTTGTTTCTTTGGCATATTAGAAAATGAAGGATATTCATGGGCTTTAATGGCTGCTTAAGGAGTTCCAGTAAATACAGCTTAAAAGGAAGCTTTCATTATTGTTTTATCTTAATTGATACTAATTTTAGTGGATTTAGTGCTTTTAGCTTATTATACTAAAGTATCATACCATCTAGAATTTTAACCAATGAATTTGCCATCTTTATTAGGTTGGTTTTTGACAATGTAAAATTATAATTATGATTAAAGATTTATCTTTATGTGTTGTATAACAATAGGAGATACAAATTATTTACCATCAAAATTAGGTGGGATAGTAGATAAAGAAAGTATGGAGAAAGCAAAGGGAGCACATACATCAATATTTTGGACTTGTTTAATAGGTTTAATATTTTCTTTATTTACATTGTTTGAATAAAGATCAATATAATAAGAAGTATTTCCAAAAGTGAAATTTTATTTTTTACCTTTCCTTTTAATAATGGTGGCTAGTGTATTTTTAATATCAAATTCTTTAAATTTCTTATATGCTTCAAGTTAATCTATTTAAGAATTGAAGAAAGATTGTAAATCAACAATTTAAACATTCTCTTAAACATATATAGATTCAATAGGATGTCCAGCTAAATATAAGACAGTGAATATATAAGGTAGTAATTATTTTGATATGTATTGTTCATAAGATGAGGTTGGAATAGTATGGGAAAATGAAGTAGATAAACCAAATTCAGAAAAAAGGAATCAATTAGCTTGTATGAATTTGTCTTGTTGTTATTTAGTAAGTGAAGAAAGAACTCTATTTTATAAACAATATTTTTTTTATTCAATATTGACTGCATTTTTAGGATTTATAGCAGCAGGTCATTGTTTTGATATAGCTCTTTAAGAACCAAATGTTATAAAGGCTGGACCATCTGTTTATTCATAAACATAATATATAGTATAAATAGTTTTGGCATTATTTTCAATTATTCTTGGAATTTATTTGTCTATAAAATATAATTAGAAAGTACCAATAAAATTACCAGAATTTAATTATAAGGATTAAATAAATTTAGAACCAAAATATTTTACTAATTTAACACCATTATCTTCAATACCATAATGTTAAGAAGTGAGAGATTAACATAATAAAGCATTTAAAGTTCATTTTGATCATAATGCTTGTGCAGGTTAAGCAAAATGTTCTAGAATGGGATTTCATGCTTGTTTAGAATCATAAAATGGAATTTTTTAATTATTACCAACATTTCAAGATTAAGAAATAGCAATTTTTGGTAATCATGCATATGATCCATATGTTCTTTAAAAAGCATTAAATGGTGAATAAACTACTGATAAATTATGTTTTGAAGGTTTAGAAGGACCTATAAATTAATTATTGAATTCAAAAGTATATATATGTCATCCTTCAGATAAAGAAGCAATTGTTAAATTTTAAACAAAAGAAAAAGAAATTATTTTTGAATAAATGATTTAATATTAAGAAAAAGAATTTGATTTAATTAGAACTGTTAAATTACCTTAACTTTCTCATAATAAAAGAAATCATAAGGATTTAGATGAAACAAGTGAAGAAGAAAGTTTAGGATAGTATACTACAGTAACTTTAATTGTTAGTGATGCTGAAACATTTGAACCTATTGTTGGAGCAACAGTTACAATGTACCAAGATGTGGATAAATGTTAGGAATTAAATCAAAATATATATTATCCTATTAGAATTACTCATACTAATTCTACAGGAATGATTAGTATATATAATGTTTAGATGAAAGACAAAAGATAAACTTTCAATCTTATTATTAGATAAGATGGATATATGTTTAATTGTTTAATTGTACTCACAATAAATTTATATTTAGTCTGATCATTTAAAGCCATTCAAATAAAATATATTCCATGTTCCATTAGCAAAATCACTTACAGATCAATAAGAAATGAAAGTATTACTTTGGCATTAAAATCCTAAATTAAATTTAGAATTAGGTTCAAATGTACTCTTAAATAAGAATTAATAATGTAGTGTTGGCTTTTTCTTTTCAGAATGTTCCTTTATGAAATTCACATCTAATCCAAAAAGCAAAAATTAAATTTCAAGAGTTATAACTCTAGAAAAGATAATATAATTTAATTATATTTTTTTTGTTAGACATCTCCCCATCAATTCTGATATTATAGAAGTTGTTAACAATAAAGGTTTATCTCTTGTAGCAAAATTATAAGCAGAATTATAATAAGAAATAGCAGAATTTTAAAAAGCATAACCTAAAGTCTCAATTTATTCAAAGAAGAATCCTTATCCACATATACATGAAATGCCTCATACTTTATCAGCTGAAATTGATACTACTCCTGATTTACTCATATGGCTTTCCTTTTGTATGAATGGTAAAATTGGCCCTGAATCAAGTACACCTATTAATCACTTTTGGGAAAAGAAAGATGAATCCAAATTTTGGTAACGACATACTGTTTAACCAAATACTTTACCAGATTCTTCCATTTGCGATAAAATGTATAAATAATAATAATGATTATGATAAACGAATATAATTCAACTTTTCTCCACATATTTTCTACAGAGAGACTTCAATTATGAATAAACTTTTCCAGGAGGACTTCCTAAAATCAAAGCACAAATTGCATCTCTAGCAGCTTTGATATTAGAATAACTTCCAAGAATATGTATTCTTTAATCTGCTAAAACTATTCTTGTTCTTGTTGCATTTTCAATTGCAAATTTAGTTTTACCTTTTTCACCAGAAATACGTCCAATACATCTTGATAAATGATCACCATGTAATGTTTTAACTATTCATATTTTATTTACTATAATACCATCTTTAACTTCAAATGATTCTACATACAAATCATCTAATCTCAACAAAGCTACTGAATCATCAATATCAAATCCTAATAAATTGTTCAGTTAAATTTTATTACCCATCATAAATGCTTTCAAAAAATCTACACCTCTTTATAATGAAGTTTTGTCTTCTGTAAATTAAGATGTTTTTATTTCTACACATTTTTTTTTTGTATTCATTCTTATTTACAATTTCATATTTTCCTTTTTATTTTTTATTTAAATAAATACCACTATTGTAGTTAATATTTTATCCCAATTATTTTTTAAAGGAGTCACTCTATGAGGAGGTACTGGCACTCTTCTTATTTCACCCTTTTTATTCTAATTTTGTTATTTATTATTATTATTAATATACATTCTCTTAATTATCAGTCACTTATTAGAATTGGATATCTTGTACTTCATTCTAGATTTAATTGATATCTTCTTCTATTATTTAATTATTTTCTTCGTTAAATTCTTTTTCTTAATCGATGTCCATACACTAAATTTCTCAATTAATTACAATAAGTTAATTGTATTTATTAATTAAATTACCATAAAAATATATATATATATATTATAATAATATTTCAAATTGAAAATTCTTTATAACATTTCATACAAAAATTTGTAATTTAACCTGCTATGCTTCCAATATCGCTACTAAATTCTTATTAACATTTAAGACATTTTTTCTTCTTATCTTCTGATATTATTTGATTCTTCATTTATTTAACATATTATTATGATTTAAATTCAGGTAATATCTTCAATTGATTTTATTCTATAAGTAAATCTGTCTATTGATTCATCTCTTCTAATAGTATTTTAACCTATGATTAAATAGATATTGTCTTATTATTTTATAATGGATTTTATTATTGAGAATTATATTGTTATTAGGAATATTGTTGTTAATTAATAAACTATTGATTTCTTTGATTATTCTACTCATCTTAGAATAAAGAAAATAATAGAACATCTTAGTATATATCATTTTCTATCATTATTTTGATACTATTAGGAAGACTAGAATTAAGTAATACCAATCTATGTAACGTTTTATTAGGTTTGTAATAAAGTATTTATTGTATATCAACATTTATAACATATTTAAGATTATCAACTAAAAGTGCACTTTATCCAATTGATAAATTCATTATATCAATTTAATCACTAACTTATATTCCATTTTCTAATAAATGGTTACTCAAATTCAGATTTATACTATTTTTCAATAGAATTGTTGCTATTTCTGTAAAACACCATATTCCTAAATTTTAATTGATTTAATTAATTTTAATAAGTTAATTAAGTTATTAATAAGTTGTTCCATCAGCAATGAATTGTCCTTTTTTATTTTGTAATCCAATCATAATTGCATAATACAATCCTTATAATCCTTATCCAGTTAATTACATTGTTCTTTCATTTATTTAAAGTTTATCAATAATTATTTTTGGTATAGGCACTATTTATTATTGATTGTTTTAATTGTTCTAAAAATATTCAAACCCTTTGCTTATATTATAATTGTTTGCAGTAAAATATCTATTAAAGTCTCTTAATTTCTTAATTACTTCATTTTTGTTTGGTTTATTCTCTAATTATGTTTCTAAAAATTCCTAAAATTTTGTTAATATGAATTGAGGAGCCAACATAATAAATTATAATTAATATTATAAATTTAATTTCAAGAATTAAAACCAATCAATTTTACTATTCCCATTTCACATGAACAATTAGTGCAAAAATGATAACAGTCTTTATAAGTCTATGCAATTATATTAATTCTTACATCAAAACATACAAATATTAAGCCTATTCCAAATGCAGGTAAAAGAAATAGACAAAGTAATAATTAAGCTGATCCAATTCTATATTCAACTTAAGAATGTACTTCTTAATTACACCATTTACATTATAGATATTATGAATGTCTCATCTTTGGAATTTATGTTAAATTTTTACGAGTTGGAATACCAGATCCAGGTTAATATGCCATACTTTAAGGCATTGAAAATTATTAATTATTTTTTTGCTATACACATGATTAGGGTATTTAATTCACTTCAGAATATATTTAATAAGCTACAATTTATTATTATGCAACTCGTTGTGACCAATTAATTTATACTTCTTAAAACCCTGGAATTTTACTCTTATTCATATATACTTTAGAATCTTTAGGAAGTTTAGTTTTCTCATGAACTGGTATTGAGGATGTAATCTTATTCATTTCTTAATTAATTTCATTAGTTTAATTCTATCCTAAATGTGAATTATTGATTGGGATGTTTTCTTCTTAATATAATTATGATTTAATTTAAGTTTGCATTAAAATTACAAAAATTTATAAAACAAAATTTTTACAAAAATATCAAATAATCCCAATATACCATCAAATACTGTGTTCTCTTTATTTAATTAAAAATTCATCTAATTGTCTTCTTAACATTAAACCACGTATTTTTTCCCATTTAATATAATTTTCTTTTTTAACATATATATATTCATCTTCCAATATTTCTTTTGCACTAATTCTTTAATAAGGATTAGGATCCATCATTCTACATATTAATTTCCTTAATCTTAATGAATACATATTTTCAGGAAAATCATTTATTTGAATACCTTCTCTAATACGTCGCCATTCCTCTCCATTTGATGGTAATTACTTTCTTGTCATCAATTAATAAAGAGTTGCACCTAATGAGAATATATCTGTTTTACAGAGATCTAATTTCTCTGTTTAATTAAGTAATTCTTTTGCTATATATCTAAAATCACCAACATTTACATCTTCTTAACGTTTTTATATTTTCTTTGACAAACCCAAATCTGCCAATTTATATTAACCATCTTTCTTACTATATAAAATATTCTCTGGTTTTATATCAAGATGTGATATTTATTATTCATGCAAAAATATCAATCCATTAGTTATATCTTTAAGTATTTTCTTTATTTCAAATTCCTCATAATCTTATCTAGAACTTACACTATAATCACAATATTCCATTAATAAATATAACATATTTCCTTCTTACCATGAAGTAAAATATCTAACTAAATTTTTACATGCTCCTTTTGCATTTAAATATGCTAAAGCTTGAGATTCATTTGCTAAATCAATATTTAATTTATTGTTGTTTATTTTTGTACATTTTATTGCACAAATTTAATTTGTAAATCTATTTTTACATTTATAGACTTATCCAAAATAACCACTACCTAAAATATCAACTTATATATATTCTTCTTAATATCTACTTTTTGGAACCTCTAATTCTCCTTCAAATTATTTATTCAAATTTCTAATTACCTTCTTCTTATTCATCTTATTTTATTGGATTTCTTTACTTTTTTCTCCAGTTGATTGTTGTAATTTTTTCTCCTTATGTTTTGGAGTACTGGGTGAACTTATTTAATTCAATTAATATGTTAATGATTTCTATTATTAGATTTTCATTGCTAATTAATTTTTTTAGTTAATTCTTATCCCCTCTGTTACTTATAGTTTTATTGGTTATTTAATTTAATTACCAAACTCAGGGGTAAATGGAGGATTAACAAATAACTTCTTACAAGGATTAGGTTCCAAAGTTTAAGGTGAACTAGGGTTTGAAAAAAGATTCCTTGAAGGAAATACATTCATTTCAAAGGTGTTTTATGTCAAATTTCGAAATTTAAATTAATTCTCGAATTACCGCTAAAATAATTCTTTAAATTTTATTTAAAATTTTGTAATAAAAATATAATATATTTTATTCATCCATCACTTTTTAAATAATAAACTTCCTAATCTAGGTTTTGTTGTAGTCTATTAAAGATTTGTTTAAGTATCCTCATGAATACTACCTGCATCTTAATTCTTCACTTCTTAATCCTCCTCTTAAGTCTAATCATTCAATAAATCCACAATACAAATTCCTTCTCCTCCTTCCAAATTATATTTCTTTGCTCCTACTTATTATATTATAATTAAAGCTGTTTATTTTTTAGATAAACATATATCTAATTTTTAAGATTCTCTATGATCTATAATTTACATATTATCTAATTTAAAATATAATTTCTATCTCCAAATTTTATTTGTACTTCTATTATTTAAATGTTATAAATAAGTTCCTTCTTTTTTTATGAAATATTAAGTAATTACAAGATCACTACTTCCATTTTCTTATTCACTAAGATCTCCTTTATGAAAATATTTTATTTTTTAAGTATCTGATGAATGTTTATCTGCTATTGCTATAGCACTCTCATATACTGCTTTTTAGAATCCTTAAATCTATTAATCTAATCTTTGAATCTAAATGAGTTTTTGACTATGAATTGTAACCCAAAATTTCATCTTTTTTATATCAAATTATTCTTTACTATCTCCTGTTTCAACTTACACAAATAATACATAATCTCCACTCTCTAAAGAAGCATCCTTAAATAACATCTTTTCTGTAGATTAACCTCTTCCAAAACAATATTTGTATGGTTTAATTTATTTCTTTTCAGAATTTTATTCAAATATAGAAGCATATTTCATGTCAGCTTTGATAGCTTCTTCTTTTTTATCCTTTTCTCTTTCTAATTTTGAACGATTAGTTTACTCTGACCATCTTGATACAATCTTCTTTTTTACTTAATTCTTATTAGTAAATATATCCTTTTCTTTTGCAAGTACAATTCTTACAGGAAATGTTTCTAAAGCATAATCAATTTAATAATTATACTTTCTTATAGAGTATACTCATCCTATTTTTCTTAATGATCTTAAGTAACACATATTAAACAATCTTAAGCTAAATTTGTTTTAAATTTGCAAAAGAATCTTAATTCATGATTATGTTTATCTTTTTCTTCAGGTTCTATCAATTATTAATTTTATATTGGATATCTTGTGGCACATAACATAACAACATATTAAAAATGCTTTATAAAATCTCTATATTCCATATAAAAGTAAGAATCATTGCCTCTTGCTTGAGGATTTCTTTCTTACAATTTTTATCTAGCCATAGGAATTTAATTGGTTATTTCTTGTTTAATAGCAAGTTTTTAGTTTGATGCTAGAATAAGTAGATAATATGATTCATCTCTCTTTCCTTATGAAGATTCTTACATATCTACAATTTGATAAGCTGTATTTCTAGGTAATTTTAATCTATCCTCTATATCTTTATATAAATAGCATATTCTAACTTTGGTACTTTGATATTTCTAAGACAATGTTTTCCATATTTTTTTTTACTTGAATATATAAATATTAATCATTTACTTAATCAGAATATTCTTGATTATCACCAAAAACATTTGGAACTGTTAATTGTACAGTTGGCATTCCTGTAAGTAATGTTAAATATTCAACAGCTCTCATTAATTTATCATTTGAAAAATATTGGAAAGCTTAATTATATTTAGCAAATGCTTTAAAAAGAATCACCCATGCTAATTCTTATTCTTATGCATTAGAAAATATAGGCATTTTATCAGATCTAAATACAGGTATTCTATCATCAATAATATACTCTTTCCATTCGTTTCTCAAAAATAATTTAATAAAGTAAAATCCAATTCTATTTTATAGATTATTATTCTTACTCAGCTTCATATTTTCTTGAAAATACTTTAGCAAATAAATATGAATGGAATGTAAGTGCATTTAACACAACTGTTAATTATTAACAACAATACTATTCTTAATATTTTAAATAACCAGGTTCAATTTCTTTAGTGAATAATTTAAAATCTTTCTTTTTGAAGTATTTTGATGCAAATATTCTCTCAAATTCAATGGGTGCTCCAATAGGTTAATCATTTTCATCTTTAATGTTAAAAGACTATTCAGAAAAATCAAATTCTGGATCCTCAAAATTTTCTCTCTTTAATCCTTTTTCATCAATGAGACTTTTATAACCATCTAATTCAGCTGGAGGATAACTATTGCCTTTAATGGGATATTTCTCATTCCATTCAGATCTATTATCATGTATGATCTTAAAGAAATTAATACTCTAGTCAGTCTACAATTATTTAACATTTAGTATTCTCCATTTATGTCCTTCAGCAATATATTGTATAAAATCACGAGCAGGTTTATTGTATTCCCAATAAGCATAGTAATAAGAACCAGTTGGTTTGTAAAGTCTACCTATTCCATGTTTATATCCATCTACAAATTCACCTTCATATAAGTATTCTGATTTTTGTTAATCTGCTTCGTCCTCTTAATTTTCTTCAGTATTTTATTAATCTTTTCTCCTTTCTTTATCATATGGTGGAGGGAATGTAGCAACTATTCTTTCTTTAGAATATGCTACTTATACTCCAAATCCATTAGGTAATCCTAATTATGATAAGCATAGAATTAGTTACCTCTCTAATAATCACCTACATAATAGGATCCATCAGAAAAGACCAATTTACCATGTCCATGTTTTTAATTGTACTTAAATTACCCTTCATAACATCCACCTGTGATGTAACATTCTTTACCATAGCCATGTTTTTGTCCCTATTCAAATTATCCATCATATAAGTATTAACCTTTCTTGTCAGGATAAAGTTAAACATTATTATAAAGCAAACCTCTACCATGAAACATTCCATCTTTGTATTAACCTTCATAAACATCTCCATTTGGAAAAGTTTCTATCCCACACACTTTTTCACCCCTATTCCATGTTCCTTTGAAAAAACACTTAGTTTCATTATTAAATAAATATCCTGGACCATCATAAAGGACTTATTTAGATTTATCATCTGTTATTATGTCTCCTTCATATATCAATTTTCCATCCTAAGCCGACAGTTTTTTGTTTGTGCTCTTCATTTAAATTTATATATTTAATATATATATATATATATCAATATGAATTATCTATCTTAGATATCAATTACAAACTCATATCCCATAACTATTTTGCCTTCTCTTTACTTGTAAATTTAGCCTTTGCCAATTTGCAATCTTTGTAGAATCCTCCATCAACTAACTCTTCATCTTTTATCATAATGCAATATAAAATAGTTTGACATCCATAATAAATGTCTTTTGTGAAAAAACTATAAATAGGCCAAGCAATTGACATAATCAAATTGAACCACCATGCTGATAATTAATATTGTAACACTTCAGTTCTAACTACACCTGGATGCAAAGAACATGCCATAATACCAGTTCTCTTAGAAAATTCTTAAGCATTCAGTATTTGAGCAAATTTAGTGTTTCCATAAGCTCTATATGTGAATATTCTACTCCAAAATAGACTCTTTGCCCACTTATCACAATTTAGATCATTAAAATCAAGGTCTTAAAATAAATGAGCTATAGAAGAAACATTAATTATTCTTGGACAATTTGACTTTTTCAATATATCAAGCTAAATTAATCATATAATATTTCTTACTAATAAATGATTTAAGAAGAAGGGACCCAAATAATTGGTTCCAAAATGAGCTTCAATACCATATTGAGTAAATTATCTAGTCAATGTTCCCATTATACCAGCATTATTAATAATGATATCAATCTTATCTACTTCTTGTTTAACTCTTGTGGTAAATTATTTGATTGAATTCCAACACTATAGATCTAATGGAAAGTATTAGATTTTGGTTTGAGGATAGGTTTCCAGTAATTATTATAAGAATTCAGTTGGTCTGCTTCTACTACCAAATATTATTCTACAATTAAATTTTGCTAATTGTTTTATTGTCTCTTATCCTAATCCTTTACTACCTCCAGTAATTAATATAGTCAAATTTGATATATCCCTTAAAGTTTCACACTTTTTTCCTCTAAAATAAATTCTGACTCTTATTCCTACTATAAGTACAATAAGGACAATTATTAAGACATTCCACCACATATTATTTAAAGTGAATTAAAATACTAAATATTGATGATATCATGAGTAAATTAATAAATAATTGGATTGAACAAATTATGTTTTATAATAATAAAAATTGAAATTAATTATGTTTTCAGTAGCATTCCAACTATTATAAAGTCAAAGTCCAATTATTTATTATATTTCATAATAATGATAATTAGAAATGATATAATTCACAATAATTTAATATATCTAAAGAGTAATTTGAAATAACTCAATATAAATCAAAATATAATGAAAATAATTAATTTATAATATGAATTATAATAAAGCTCTTGACAATGGATCAGGACTGCCTGATGAAATTTCAGATCTATAAATAATAAGCTTATTTATTATCATTCTAAATAGCATGATTAATTGTTTATCTCTAGAGGGATTATCTGTAGAACTTATCATTCCAAATTTTTTGGAAAGTATTTCAATAGCACCAGGATTTGATTATTAAGGTCAATTTACAGTGAAAGAGTTGGAAAAAATTAATAAATCTTAATTTGATATAAACTGGATGGTATTTAATACAAAGGACTCTATAAACACCCTTTGATTATGGTTATTTACATGAAAATGAAACGATAATTGATATATTGTTGAAAGCAGAAGTAGATATAATAGCAAGAGTTTCATTAGGACGATCATGAATTAATTTTGCTGATTCATGTTCAAGTGCTCAGACATTATAACTAATATTAGCAACAGAGTTAGAAAATGATGTAAATTAAAGATAAGAACTCAATTGAATTATTGTATTTGGTATTGTCCTTAAACTAACTGAGCTTATTAAGGACACTCTTAAATTTCAAAGCTAATCTTATATCAGTAAATTAAAGTCTGGTAAATGGGTGAATTATCGTGTTCACCTTTAGAATGAGAAAGATTTTAATGGACAATTAAAATTTATCTTGATGATTTATTTACAATCAATTTCAGCAATTTGATTATAACTTAAAATAATTATGATTTGTAATTTTAGTTTAAAAATCACAATTAATTTATTAGATAAAAAATAAGGATACTCTTACAATATTATAATGAAAATATCATTAATTAAGATTTATATTTTTATCCAATATATTTTAACCTATTATTTAAATTAAATGTGTAGTTTACATTCATAATTCATTATTGAATGTAATATTATACAAATATTATTTTATGTTATTGACTGATGCATTGTATATTTTGAATTCACTTAATTTAAAATATTAGAGTTCTAGTTTGATTATTTAATATAATAAATTATGTAAGAATTAGGTGATATTGAATAATAAGTTCAGAAAAAAATCAAACCTAATGAAATTCCAAAACCACTTGAGTTTACAATATTAGCAACCCATAATTGTGCAAGGTACTAATTATATTTAACACACAAAGGGCATCAATAATGAGACTTCCTCATGGAGAAGTGAAAACTCCAGTTTATATGCCTGTAGGAACAAAAGGGGCAATGAAAGGAGTGACCTATTAAGAGATGGATGATTTGGGATGCAAATTATTGTTAGCAAATACTTATCATTTGGCATATAAACCTGGAGGTGATTTATTAGAAAAAGTTGGAGGTTTACATAAATTTGTGAATTGGAAACATAATATATTAACAGATAGTGGTGGATTTTAGATGGTTTCATTGTCATAACTTAGTGAAGTCACTGAAGAAGGAGTCACATTTGAATCTCCATATGATAAAACAATAATGCATTTAAGACCAGAAGATTCAATCCATACATAAAATTAAATAGGAGCTGATATAATTATGGCTTTAGATGATGTTGTTAGAACAACAACTGTTGGTCCTCGTATGTAAGAAGCAAGTGAAAGAACAACTAGATGGTTGGATAGAGATATTGCAGCTCATAAAAGAAAAAATGATTAAAATTTATTTCCTATTGTATAAGGAGGAATTGATCCAAAATTAAGAGAATAATCATTGAATGATTTAATTTAGAGAGAAGCTAATGGATATGCAATAGGAGGATTAGCTGGTGGAGAAGATAAAGTATATTAATTTAATTTATTAAGATTGACTTTTGGAAAACAGTGGCATAATGTACAGCTAAATTACCTATAAATAAACCTCGTTATTTAATGGGTGTTGGATATCCAGTTGATGTTGTTGTATGTTCTTGTTTAGGTGTTGATATGTTTGATTGTGTTTTTTCTACAAGAACAGCTAGATTTGGTACTGCATTTACAGATAATGGATTTCTTAAACTTAAAAATAAAGAAGCAGCTAATGTATTTGAACCAATTTAGAAAGGATGTTAATGTTAAACTTGTAAATCTTATACTTAATCATATTTACATTATTTGATTGCAAGAGAAGAAGTTGCTTGTCATCTTATATCTATTCATAATCTGAATTATTTAATATAATTGATGCTTAATTTAAGATAATCAATTATTGATGGTAATTTAATTGAATTTATAAATGGATTTCTTAAGAAATGGTATAAAACAGAAGGATCAATACCATAATGGATTGTTGAAGCTTTAGAATATGCAAAAATACCAGTAGAATAGTTTTGAGTTTAAATTATTGATCATCAATATTTCTTAATTTTTATACAATAATATACAAATAATTTAATTTATTTGATATTCTTAAACAATTACACATAATTATTAATCAAATCAAATGTAAATCTTTATCAATTACATAATTGATTGTTGTTCTTGGAATTGTATAATCAAGAAAGAACTCAAAATCATGTATTCTTAATGTTTTTGATTTTTTCACTTTCTTTCTTTTCTTAAATCTTCTATCTTATTTTAAATTTTATTTATATAATTTTCTTAAATTTAATCCTGATTAACTTTTTTCTCTAATTGTATGATAAAATCTGAGTAACACTTACTTTTTAATAGAAATTAAGGGACAATCAATACTTAAATGATCATTTCCATTACAAGTAAAACATTATAATCCAATTAACTGAAATTAATTTTCATAAATTATACTGTCTCTTAGAGCTTAGAATTAATGATGAAATTTCTTATTCATTTCTAAAACATCATGAAAATCTTTTCTTAGAATATAAATTAATGATGCAAATTACATTGTTCTAGCAGAAGCTAATAAATAATGAAATATAATATATACATTTCCTTGGTAATCCTGTAATAAAAGAGTAATGTCCAAAAAATGTGTCCTTTTTCAATTATGCAATAATAACATCTTTTCTTGATGAGTATTAAGTATTAATGAATAGTTCAACATAACCTCTTTCTACATAATATAATGCTTGTCCTTAATCAGGAATATTATCTAAGAAGATATTTTCCATATCTCCAAGATAGATTTCTTTTACTTTATTGGATAATTCAAATAAAACATCATCATCTCTTAACCAATGTTATTTATAAAATATAATCCCATAAGCTTCATACATTAATTATTACTTTAAACTACTAGGAAGTAACTATAAAGATTCTTATTCTATATCTATATTTCTATCTTATCCAATTCTATGATAATAACGTAAGTATTTAGAAATTTAAGTTTTTAATTAATTGGAACAATTTTTCTTCTTAAGATATTATTGAATCCATAAATTATCCACAAAATAATTCTATAATTTAGAGTTCTTTCTCATGTTTTCAATTAATGATATATTTACAGCCACTATAGCTACTGCAGTAATCACAGTTAAATCAGTAATCATGAATTCTAAATCATTCAATGGAAGTATGTCACCATAACCTATTCTTGTAATTGCATCAATTGCCCAATAAGTAGAATATAAGTATCTCATAATAATATTATAAAAATTACTTTGAAGATGTACTTTTTGTAATTATAACTCCAAAATTCATTGTTGGATCATTCACCCATGTTTTAGAATTTGGATGAAATGTATACATATAAACACTACCACCATAAAACATACATCCATAGAAATGATTGATGTAAAGTATTTCTATAAGCATTCCACAAATCATATAAAATTATCTCAATTATGGCATTATTTTCAATTTATCAGATAAATATACTTAAAATCTATAAAATGGTATTAATTTAATCAAACAAAGTAAATAAATAATTACATATTTATCTGATAAACTTATATAAAACAAAACAAGTATTGGTATTAAATCAAAAATTAAATCATTTCTTAAATAATTTTCTGCTATTTTGAATCTATTTTTAACTAAAATACCTTCATGATAAAAATTAGTATTCAATTAAACAATAAAATCACTTACAAATAAAATCTAATATATATAATATTATATACAATAAATATTATTCTAATAAATTTAAAGCCTCCTTAATCACTAAATTATTAATAATAGTTCCAAAAAAATATGATTTAAGGTATTGCAATAAAGAATACTGCATTTACAAACATCATAAATAATTACCAATAAAATAAATATTGATTTGAAGATGAAAATACACTTGATTTTTTTTTATTTTTAGACTTATTTTCAGACATTATTATTAGATCATCCTGTTTTAAACTATCATTCAATAAGTCTTTTAATATAACATTCATTCTTTCTTATTAATGTTTTGAGAAAGGATGCCATTAAAATAATAACTTACTATAATATCTTTTATCAATATCAAATGAAATTGGATATTCAGGAGTAATCTAAATTGCATTCCTATTTAAAATCCATTTACTATGTTTCTTATTTTAACGTATAAATCCTTTTCTCATTTGTATACTATTTCTTAGTGGATTCTTATAAAATTCTTCATAAACTTAATCTTTAATACTAATAATTTAACAATTTTCACTTAAATGATTAGTTGATGTACAAATATAACATCCATATTAAATTAAAGAATATTTCTTTTCAAAAAGAACTTGATCCAATATATAGTAGAATTTCTCATGATCTTCTTTATGATTTGATATTGTCTTTAAAAAGTCTGTTAATTTGATATATTACAGAATTACTATAGATTTAGTTTTATAAGTAATAAATTATTCTTTTTCTTATGTGAAAAATGAATAGTTGCCAAATGTACTTCCTCTGTAAAGTAAATTGATTTCCTTTTCATTTAAGATAACTGTCACCTTACCTTTTTCAATCACAAATATTTTAGGGTCATCATCATCATCTATAACAGAGATTTTTGTATTGGCATTTAAATAGATTTCTCTTACAAAACTAGATAATTCTTCAATAAATTCATTAGAAAAATTATTATATATCCACAATATTCTTTTCATAATTTTGAGACTTGCTTCATAATATAATTTAGATTTCAATTAATTTGGCAATCTCTAAATCACTACTTATTCTATTACAATATCTCTTTTTGATTATTCTATTCTGAATTAAGATAAAAATATAGAAACTTCATTATATAGTTTTTTAGATATTCTCTTTGCTATCATAAATTATTTGATTGATAACATATTTTCATCTAAATATGATGAATTATCTGATTAAAATGATAGAATTGTTGATATTACATACAAACAAACAAACATACATCCAACCAATGCCAAATCTCCTATGATTATCTCATATTAATTCATTGGAGTTATTTCACCATAACCCATTGATACAAGGGTTTCAACTGCCCAAAAATAACTAATTATATATTAAGTAACATGATGCATTTCATCAATATTTCCAATTACACTGTTTGAGTACTCTAACCAAGTTGGTTCTGATATTGAAATGGAATATAAACCCATTGCATAAAAAGAACAAGCAAATATATCAAATATGTATAGCAAAGTAACTAACAATTTTAGAATTCGATAGCATAACAATAAAAACTGAAATTGAATGAGATATTCCTCAGTTATCTTATCAGAATAAAGATTGGATGGGATTCTAAAAAACACTAGAAAACCCACCCAAAATGGTAATGGCTGAAATGTAGAGACAAATAGATATACTATCACGATTAAATCAAATACAAAATAGTGTCTAAAATAGTATTTAACTTTCTTATATGGTTTTTATATGATGATGCCATTATTGCTGATATATTCTATGAATAATGAAATTATCATATCTATAATTAATAAGGACTTAAATATATTTAATATGTACTAGAATGAATATTCTCCAAATAAAAAATATATCTCCTCTATTATCCTTTTGAAATTCTTCTACATTGAATAATTCTAATGAAATTTCTATGTATATAACAAAAGAGCAAAAGTTTATAAACACCTTCCAAATTATGAGAACAGAATCAGAGGTTGAAATTTATAGCTTATCTGCAAGTTAATTAATATACTGCTTCATGATTTAAATAAAAATTGCAGAAATTATAAAATTTATTCATATACAATCTCAATTTTATTTTCTTATTCTTTATAGAATACATTAGATTAAATATATTATCATCCAAACTCAACACTAAATAAGAATTTAATCTAATGGACTGTCAATTGTGTTATTGCTCATCAAACTGAAACGTTTGTACAATGAATTCACTATTAAAATGAAAATATAATGTTTTCTTTAAGTATATTTTTGTGTCTCTCTCAATTTAATTTCATAATTTTCATCTAATGCTTAATTACAATTGCCATTCCACTCGATTTTCTTAATTAATAATTTATTAAAGTGTATTTCCCTTCTTTTCTGCATTTTTTTATTATTAATTTTATATTCATAAATAAGAAGTTATATCAAAATGATTTAGGATATTTTCTTCAATAATGTCCCTTTAATATAATCTTAGATATTAAATACTTTGAGTATTATAGTTTTGGCATTTGGCAGCAGTATTATAATTATATGGTATATTAATTCCTATAATCAAATTAATTTTGATTAATAGTAATTGATTGCAACTCTAAAATTAATTCAATCTAAAATCTTAGTAATATTGATATCCTATTATCATATAAGATGATGTTAATATGATTTATTTTTATCCATTTTAAACATTTTTCAAATGAAGAATTATTTCTTATGTCTATCCATTAGTTTTTCAATACAGTAATTCAATCAGCTTTATTCAAACAGTTTTCATCAAAGTCTTCTGATTTTATGAAAATCTATTTTTTTAGCCATTTGTAATTGTGGTTATTCTTTATAAATTTCTTCCTAAAAGCATCTTCTTTTTCAATTTATTTTCAAAGATGTGAGGTAGTAAAGGAACCATAAAATAATTTATTGAAAAAATATTTAATTAAATATTTTCTTAACATGCTAAATAACTGCAAATTAATAAATATATGAATAGATTTTTAAATAATAATATATAAATTATTGATAATAAATAATGAAAATTTTATTTTAATACCATGATTATATTTTAAAATGATCCTCTAATTTTTCTTATGATAAATTTATGATACTTATCTATTGTATATATGAAATAGAATACATTTTATGTAATCTCTTAGTCTTACTTACTATTTAAGTAGAATTACAAGAATTTTTGGATAGGTTTTATTTTCATAATTTTCAAGAGATGATTACATGAGTAATAGAAATATTAGTAATGTTGTTTGTAAGTACAATCTACACTTTCTTTTTTGAATATTTATGGTTCATAAAATATTTATGTTAATTCATATACAATTCGGATTTTACGTCATTTAAGCTTTATATACTATGATCACATTACAGTGTATTACAAATCTAAGAATCAATAAATCATTTTTAATCATAATATAATATCTTTTCTAAATATAACATCGTTTTTAAATCACCTACTATGATTAACTAAAACACAGGTACATGTAAATTTAAATCGTTCTAGAATCGTCTAAATGGGATTGGGTACCTGCTACTCAAACACTTGAGATTACTATCAATTCGAATAAAGTATAAATAGAAACAACGCCTTCAATTGTTTTGACTCATCCTGAAGGAGATGTAAAATTATATTTAAAACTTTCTTAAGGCTTATCCTGAACCATATGTTACTTTGGTAATTGACACTGAGAAACAACTAAAATATTCTGAAGAATTAGGATGGAATTGGCATAAGAGCTGGAATTTACCAAATATTGTTGTCAGATTAGAAGTAATGACTTTTTCAAATCAATAGATCAAAGATTCGTAAACGTAAGAACTTTTACTTTCTCCTAAAAATTTATATGCCTAATTATATGCTGTTAAAAAAGTGTAAGAAGCGAGTCGCGTTATTCTTTAAGATGTTGGATTAAGAGGAACAAGTAAATTAGAATTGATTGATGGTCAAGCATATTTTTCAGTAAATTAATTTGTAAAATCTTACTTTAGGCTTTGAGATTTGCATCAACCTCTTATAACAATGAAGGTGTGAAATTTCATTTATTAATGAGTGTGTACATTCAAAATTCTGATACTGAAAAACCTCAAATATTGAATTCCACAATTTCTCCTCCTATTTTTGTAGATAGTAGAAAGAGTGCAGCCAATTCTGAATAAAAAAAATTATATTTACATGCAGAACCATTTACATTTGATTTGTTAGATAAAAAGTACTTCAAAAGAGAGAATAAAAGGAAGACTGAACAAGATGTAGAAATAGAAAATGACTTTGAAAGTCTTTTCAATTACTTAACTGCACCCAACATTCGTCATAAAGTTAAACATCCTCTATTTTTAATCATCAAATTTTCTTCATGTGTCTCTCTTTACTATAATCCTTAGACTGTAGAAGGAAATACAAAGACAATAATGGAGAAACTTTAAAGCTAATTAACTAAAGATATCATCACTAAATAATTGGGTGCAGCTAGTGAAAAATAATATTATTTGTTTATTGAGGAAAACAATGATTAAAATAAGAACAAAAAGGTGACAGAAGCTATTGATTTTCTCAATACTGGATGTTTAGAAATTGTAAGAAAGGAGGATTAAATTCCTTCAAAATTTGTTAAATTAGGAGACTCTGCAGAAATCTTGGAGAATTATAAATAATGTTTTGATTAGTTATTGAAGATATTTAAATAATTAACTTAGAAATTTTGTGAGAGTGATTCAAATGAATCAGATGATAACTATTCTGATTCTGAGCCTTAATCAGCATAAAAGAAGATTAAATTAAATGAATATTAGAACTAACCATCTGCATCTAAAATGGACAAATAGGAACAAGAAATAAAAAAACCATCTATTCCTCCTGAATAGAATCCAACACAATTATAACAATAATAGCTAACTGATATTGCAATTTAATAAGCACTTATTTAATAATAGTAATAATAATAATAACAATAATAATAATAGTAATAATAATAATAAAAACCTATTTAATAATAACCATAACCACCAAAAAATAAACCAACTGATATTATAAATAAACCTATTATACCATAAGCACCTTAAAATCTATAATTATAAAATAAAAAATAGGTAGGGTAATCATCTTCATTTACTGCCCCTTAACCAGCTCAATAACTCTAATAATAACCACCACCTATTTAACATTAATAAACTTATCAAAAACCTAGTCATATTCCTGGAATACAATAAATTAATATACCTGCTTAAGGATTGCAAGGAGCACCTTAACATATGAATCCTGCATTCCCTTATTAATTTTAATAACCTATCGATTAGAATGCTTTGTAGTAATTCATGTAATATAATCAACTCTACTAATAACTACTATTGTAATAGTAATAATAATAACTAAATTAATAATCCTATCCTCCTTAAGCAGGTATGATGGGTAATCCAATGTAATCATAATTATTGAATTACATGTAAAGTATGGGTGGAATGGGATTACCTTAAGGATAAATGAATCCTTAATCATTAATGGGATAAAATTAAAACTTTTAATAATTATAATAATAATTGTTAGCTTAATAATTAAGTTCTTAATTAGGACTATAAGCTGGTTTAACTTAACAATTAGGAGCAGGAATGGGATTGAATTAATTATAATAATAATAATATCTCCAACAATTGCAATAACAAATGGGATTAGGTAATTTTCCTAATTTTAATCCATTGATGGGACTTTATTAAGGATAACAACATAATGTAAAGAAGCCTGGTGAAGGATCAGGAATAATAAAATAAGAGCCATAATGATATAAATATATATATATATATCTGATAATAAGTATCATTATTTTGAAGCTAAAACTTGCTCTCTTAACTCATCTATTTCTTATTATATTTAATTTCTAACTTGATTCAAAGATACTGTAACCATTTATTCTACAGCTTATAATACATTATATTAATATTATTATTAAGATTCTTATGGTTATTGAGGTTAAACTTATGATACTTATTTACTATGAGTTTTGGATTATTCAGTATTGACTCTTTTTTCTGATCCAACAGATTTTTAAGTTTCAGTTTTAGATTTCTCAATTTTATGTTCAAGATTTCTTTGTAATGCTTGATTTTCTTCTTTTAATTTGGCTTCATACCATCTAATAAATATTAAATATAATTATAATACCTCTATAAATTATTCATTTATTATTCCATATCTTTGACTTTGCCTTAAAGTTCTTAAAGTTACTTTTATTATTTTTTGGAGTCCTTATCTTGATTTCCATCTGGATTTTTAATTTTAGATTCAAGTAGTTTTTCTGATTTCAGAATCTTTTATTCATTTTCTTCAATCTTTCTCATTAAACCTTTAACTACACTGTCAGTTCTTTAGATGGCTGGAATATATTCAATCATTTATAATAATGGCATCAAAGCATCTTGTTATAAACATACTCTATTTAAGTTAACTACTAATATTCTATAATTTTACTTTCAAGATGAGCTAATTTAGAAGTTTCCTTATCTTTTTCAGTTGAAGGTGCAAATGGAGGTAAGTTTTCAGCAGACTTTCTAAGTACATTAGTTTTGTTTGCTTGTTTACTAGCTGATGTATTTTTCATAAATGTCTGTTAAATATTAATTTTATTATTTATTGAATAACTCATTTTTTATATTGATATTTAACAGGGGCAAAATCAGCATTAACTTCTGTTCCATTGACTACTAATTCTCCACCAACTGTAAGATCTAGATAAATTCTGTGAGCAGGAAGTGGTTAGAATGTTCTTTCAGCATATAAACTGCCTAAATCTCTATTCAAACTAAAATAAATAAATAAATAAATATATTTACGTTTCTTATGATGGAGCTGGATAATTAGAATAAATCAAATATTAATCAACAGTAATAGATGAAACATTTACATCATGTTTTTCTTTGAAATACTATAAGAATTATCCAAGAGTCATCTATTAAGTAATTTTAATTCTATCCCAAGCTGTCCATTCTAAAAATTAATTTATTTAAATAATTACTTGATGGAATAGCTTTTGTTGGTCCCAATAAGACAACATTATATTCTTAATCTACATGTTCTCCAGGTGGTAAAGGTTCTGAAAATAGGAAAAGTGGTAAAGCCAAATTTATAAAGGCATTTCTCATTTTTGCAACATTCTTCTTAAGAATAAATTTAAAGATTTCTAATCCCACTGCTCCTACAATCATTGCTGTTGTTGTAGCCAATGCAGGAATGATCTTACCTGCAATTAATTTAACTTAGAATGGTGGTACTTCTGGAATTTTATAATTTCTTGCTCTTAAGTTGGAGACTGCAGATAAAAATTCAATATGCCAATTAGTTGGATCATCTTTTTCAAATGCACATTCTTGTAATTATTTAGTGACTTCTTTATTTTCAAGAGTCAACTTTTCTAATTCTTGAGATAAAGCTTAAATTTATGTTTCATCATCTTCAGATTTTTCTTCTTTTTAATCTTTCTCATTTTCCTTTATTTGCATTTATTTTGGAACATATTATTAAAGTTTGATAGATGGTAAGAGTTTTGCAATTTCATCGAATTTATCTTATTTGGGTAAACCAAATATCTATGAGAAAATATTAACAGCACTATGAATGAATAATTAATGAAGAGGATCATTTTGATCAAATTCAATTGGAGTAGGTGGTCTTTTAGGATTAGTCCAAAATAATTATCCTTCTGAAGTTCTGTGTTCAGGTGGGAAACAATAAAGTAATTATTTGATTTAATTGCAGAAAATGTCTTAGAACATATTTTTAGCTAAAACAACAATAGAATGTAATGAGGGTTTTTTAGCAACTTCAGCAAATTTCTTAACTGATTCTAATTTTGGTCTTAACACACCTGGTTAAGATTTAAGTTCAGACAAAATTCTTTTAAGATAATTTCCTGGATTCTCGAGATATTTGATACAATCTTAAGAACCATCTTCAAAGAATCCTGCAAAGTAATCTCTAGCCCATTAAATTGTATGTTCAATTTAATAAGGGAAATTTTTCAATGTACATAAAGGAATAGTATCTTCAGGTGGATCTTATGATTCACTATATGATTAAGTTTGATTTGGAAGAATCAATTATGAATTACATTTAGTACCAAGTGTACCACTTTCAAATAATGGTTTACCATAATAGCAACATTATGAATCAATATATTTTCTTGCATGAACATTATCAACAGCATTAACAGCTATATCTAATCCATCCCAAAATTGATCATTAAAGATTGGTTCATTTTATTTACCTACTCTTAAAGCATATGATTTAAATTTTGAAGTCTTATTCATTAATTCACCTACTTTGCATGCAGTAGCTGCTTTATTAGAGCCAACATTATTTTTTCTAAATAAGAATTATCTATTCAAATTTGAAACTTCAATATTATCATCATCTGTAACATGAACTTAACCTGAAGCACCACTTCCACATCCCATAAGTGCAAACATTTTAATATATTCACATCCTAATGCACCTGCACCTACCATAAATATCTTTGAATTTTATAATTATTATAATGCTTCTCTTCCAAAGATTGCAACATAATCATCATATTAACTATTTAATAATGTTCTATTAACTGCTGTTTCAGGTAAAGCTTCAAAGAATTCACTATGTAACCATTATCTAATTGGTGTGAATTTACCTGTATATTTGACTACTTCTTAGGCTATAATACCTCCCCAGAATGAAGTTAATGGAGTTATTTATGCTTAGAAATATAATGATGTATTTTTAACCAATTATTCATCTAATTCTGCTTTTAATGCACCTTCTCCTCTATCTGAATTATTTATTTATTATGCTAGTTCCCATACTTTTTAAGCATCATCTTAATTCAATAATCCTGGTAATCTACCATTTTATTATGTGAATTATAATAATGCATTATATGAAATATGTAATTATTCTGGTCTTCCAATCTTTTCCCAATCCATTAAATCTAATTCATTCTTTCCTGGTGCAAAAGGATGACTTAATGAAGCATTAAATGATTTGAATGCAATATCTTCAGGAACCTTTACTTAAACTGCAATTCCTTCTCTTAAATATTATGAAAACTTTGTTGTATCTCCAATACTAAACATATATGGTGATTTCACCTTTGATATATATATATATTGTATACCTTTATCTTAAATATCTTCTCATTCACTTCTGTCATTCCAACTACTTCTCTAAATGTAACACTATCTCCATCTTAAAATCCATGTCTCTTATCTTCAATTGTACTTACTATTCCTTCTAATTCATTTGTTATTCCAGCTACAATTGCTTATTTAGGTTCTTCACCATTAGGATCAAAAATTTAAAATTTCTATTATGGATATAATCAAATATTATTACATCTGAAAAATCAACGAATGTAGATCCAAATAATCCTGAAGAATGAGCCAAAATGAATCCATGTCCTTTTGATCTGACTGCTTCATTTACTTCTGTTATAAATTTCTAATCCCAAACATCAGTAAGAACCACAACTGAAAATTCACTCAAACTGGCACCATTCAATTACCCATTATATATTTCTACACTAACATATGGGTTTAATTCTTTCAATTATTTGATTGCTGCATCTTATCTTGTGACTTTTCCTACTTGTTCAAGTGTGGCATAAAAATTTGAACCCAAATCTGCTATAGATAACACTGTTGGATCATATATGGTTACAGATTTTGGTCCAGCTAATATTAAGTTCTTTGCTATCTCTAATCCCAACTTTCCATAATAAATCTATATACCCCTCTTAAACCATGAATGAAACACTTCATTTAGATCAATTTGGATTAAGTCTCGGCTCCCAATACAGCCACTTATCTTGAATATAAATTTTCGTCAAACTTAGTATCTTGTTATTGCATTTAAAATATTTTTTTAAAGATATTTATTTCTAGAAATCACTTAAATCATTATTAATCATTTCTTTCTATATTACCGATAAATTCTTATTTAAATAGAAAAATCATATTATTCTAAAAAACTATAATCCCTTAATAATCAATTACAATCATTTAATCGATTTACCAAACTATTTGAATCGCTTAATAAAAATTGACTTCTTAAATAAGATCCATCATTATAAATTTTAATCTCTTATAAAATATATATTAAATTCTAGAAACCTATAGAAAGAGATTGATATTCATTACTTTTTATGTGTTTAATCTAATTAATTAACATATATAAATGTTAGTTAAGTTTTATTTTGATACAAAAATGATTTTATGGGTGAGAATAAAATTTATAACTCATATATTACTTAAGTTTCTCCATTTAAACAATTTTGTTGCATCCTCAGTCTTAAATTTTGTATCTTAAGAAAAGTGAACCCTTTTTTTCTTACTTATTTCTTTCTCAGTTTTTGCATCTGCCGATTACGAATATTTTTATTATGAATCATTTTTTAATATTCCTCTCATCTCCTTATGTGGTACAGTGATACATTCTAATTATGTGCTCTACAATTTTTCAATCCCTAGATATGAATTTAAGTGAACATTCAAGTTACTATTAGATTCATTATAATGAGGAACTTTTGAGGAACACTCATTAGATTTTGTTTGATTTTATTAATGATTTAATTCAGAATAATGTGATTATAAAGCTTCGAATTTTTCCTACATATATCTAAAGTTGTAGAAATAATTACATTTGCTTAATTTTTGCTCTGACTTCACACTCAATGTCTTACATAAATCGATTTTCTCTTTTCGGAACCATAAATTAATGAAATTATTTATTTTAGACAAATGCTGGTACTGGGTTGTTTTCCAAATTACTTGATTAATTCTCCTCCAACATTTCAATCGAGTTATCTATTTCACTTATTTAAATTGTTCCTTTCTATGTTGTCTTTAAAGTCTAGTTTTCTATTGAAAACTGACGTTTTATATTATAATTCTATTTATCCTTGATCACCTGCACTTCAGAATCAGAATTTTATTCTCTGTTTGACTAATCTCTCATACAACAAGTATGTTAAATTCCCATTAATTATATAATTATTGTTAATTTATCTAATTAATCTAAATCCTCATCCTTTATCCAATAGAATTGAGTTAAATGTTCCCATTAAATACATTCCTCAATCAATTATTATTCTAAGGCATCTAAATTAAAATAGAATTCAAATAAATAGAATTACATTTCATCTTTATAAAATTGAAATACTGGTTCATATTAAAGATAAAGTTTTGATCAAAATATTTTAGTTAGTTAACAAAGATTTAAAAAACATGACAAAAATACTTACATTTTTCTTTACATATAATAAATCAACTGGCATTCTAAATAAAAAAGTTTTTTGATTTATAAAGGAAAGTCTATTCATTTTTATTGAAATACTATATTTAATTACATTTCATTATAATCTTATGTATATAATATGAATTGAAGATATTGCTTTGTTTTAAATTAAAATGTTAAAGAAAGCATTTAAATCATCTAAAAGTGATCATTTTTCTTTTTTTCATCCCAGTTATTATTAAACATTTTCATTCAATCAACCTAGTCAGCAGATATATTACTTATGTAAGTTTTCTACTGTTTATCATAATAAAAAAGGGAACTTATTTATATATATATTGAATTTTTTATTTCATTAAAACAATTAAAAGACTATTAACCAATTCATGATATTTAAGCATTTCAATTAATAAGCATAAGTAAAGTAATTCTTTGATAATTTATTTAATATGATTATATTATTATATATGAAATAAATTTTGGAGTTGATTCATTTCATTTTGGAATTTGATATAAATTTAGAGTTTATTTAGTTTTTTATGGGATTTAAAATAAATTTTTAAATAAAATTCAATGTAATACGTTGCTGCATATGCTCTGTTGACTTTAGGTGGAAAAGCAAGTCCTAGTATGATAATTAATTAAACACTTAGGTGAGGCTGATGTAAAGGGATTATTGGCTGAAGTTGGTGTTGCAGGATCAGATGCAGAAATTAAGACTTTAGTAGAATCTTTGAAAGGAAAGTCATTACAAGAAGTTATAGCAGAAGGATTGAAGAAAGTAGGAACACTTTCCTTAGGAGGAGGATGTAAAATAAAGAGATATCAATATTTTAGCATCATAAGCATCAGCTCCAGTTGCTGCATAAGCATAAGCAGCTAAGAAGGTTGAAGAAAAGCCAGTTGAAAAGGCTCCAGAACCAGAAGAAGATGTCGATATGGGTGGCTTATTTGATTGATGAAAGAGAGTACATTATACATTATACATTAAATTGTGTTATTTTCTTAAATTTCTGCATTATTGACTAATATCATTCTTATTTAATTTCATATAAGTAGAAGTAGCAAAGAGAGATATGAAGTATAAATATATCAAAAATTATTGGATTTTGAAATACATATTATGATATTAAGAATCAATATAAAAAGAAGAATTTATAAATTATATTAAACTTACTTGATAATTGATTATGAGTTCATAATATTATAATATCATGAGTATTATATATTATAATCTATTTAATTGAATTTAAAACTTATTAGCTTTTAAATAGTATGATTAATTGTAATATATATATTATTTATGAATGTAAATAATATATTAAATATTTATTAAATGGATTTCTTAAATTTTTAATGAACACATTTATAAACATTTATTTATTTATTTATTTATTCAATCACATAATAGTAGATGATAATAATATATAATATTATTATTTATTTATTTAATAAGTATATAAATACATTAGAAAATTATTATGATCAATAGAATTTTTCATGAGGTTTTTTGATTTGATTATTTTTTGATAATATTCTCTGCATCCTACTCACTTAATTTAGCCAAGAGATCAAATCTTGTAAGATTAGCAACTTCATCAAATTTTCCATCATGTGATTATTAAACTGATTATAATCTATCCTTCATTTTATTTTTGCAATAGATTACATTACTCTTCTTCTAAGTGTTCCAGATCTCTAATAGGAATCATAGGAGCTTCAAGATTTCTTATATTAACCCAATCTATATCCTTAAAAAAAGGGTGTTACTTAATTTCATCAATTCCCTTATGACCTAATCTTATATGATAATTTGGTTCTAATAATTTGTTTATTAGATCGTATGCATTAATTGAAATCATATCTTCACCATCTCCTATTTCTGGCCATTCTATAGATCTCATTGTTATATTTTCAAATACTTTAGGAATACTTTTGTCATTGAATGGAGGTATCCCAACCAAAAATTCATACATTATTACTCCAAATGACCACCAATCTATTGAAAAATTGGATATAGATTATCCAATAATAACTTCAGGTGGAATGTAATCTGGAGTTCCTATTATTCTATTCTATCTTTTTCCTGAAGATGATTTTTCTTAAATACTGTTTTTGCTTGGAAACTTTTACATATGAAATTCTAAATTGCATTTAATTTTTATATGTCTTTTTGATACATTTTATGGTAATATATCTGGATCAATTGATAAATTTATTCCATCTTTTCCATCTTTTATTTTTTATACTAATGCTATCTCTGATAATCCAAAATCAGCTAATTTTATATGACCTTAAGAATCAAGTAAAATATTCTATGGTTTAAGATCTCTATGAATTATTCCTTTTTTATGCAATGATTCAATTGCCAAAAGTAATTCTGCTAAATAGAATTTTGCAACTTATTCTGATAATCTACCATATTAAAATAAAACTTAACTAAAATCACCACCCATCATATATTCTAATAAAAATAATAAACATTGATCTTAAATAAATGAATAATAAGCTTTGACTACAAAGTCACCTTCTAATATTTCAAAAACATTTTTCTCAGCTCTTAAATTTTATATCTCACTCATATTTTTATTACGACAGTCTATTACTTTCATTGCATAATAATCTTTTGTTTTTTTCTTACTTACCAACCAAACTGCTCCAAAACCACCAACTCCTAAAACTTATATAAATTCAAAGTCTTATAATGTTACATTTAATCTAAAATTTTCTATTTTTATATAATTACAATTATTTATTTTTAGCTATCTTCATTATTTTGATATCACCATCACTATAATATCCTTTATCTTTCTCCTCTGCATTATCAAATTATTATTCTTATATTTGATCATCTAAATTTAATGCTTTAAATGATATTATATTATTTTTTGATTTTTAAGAAGAATTATCTACTTCAAAGGATTCATCTGAACTACCCCTATTCAATTTTCTAATTTCTTCACTTTCATCTGATTAAGAATTGTTTTCTTCATCTCCAAAATCACTTGAACTTTTTTTAAAAGGACTATCTCTAATAATATTATTCTTAATTTAATTGAATAATTATACATTTTATTTATTTAACCACTTAAATTTCTCACAATTTTATATAAGTGAACTTCTATTTGGAGATCTAATATTTTCTGTATTTGTATTTTATTTATATCCTAAAGGAGAATTAATATTATCTTATTTATCTTCTTCTGAAATTAATTTTTATAATCTTGATATTTTTTAAGTGTATTAAACTCTTTCCTATAGATAATAATTACTTTAATATGTACTTCAATCAACTTTAATGCTAATTTAACAATGTCTTATAGTTCTTTTTCTAAAGAATTCTTTATATTCAATAAATTAACCTATGTTTTTAGATCAAATTAAATCGATTATGTACCACTATTTATTTTAATAGTTTCTTCAGTATACTTGATAATAATTGTAAGGCAATTTAATTATTGTCTTAAATCTTTTAGAATGTCAATATTATCGCTAATTTTAATAATTTCAGAATTACTTACTCTAATGAGAATGGACTATCCATACCGTTTGAACTAGGTGAACTACCTTAAAGAATTTCTTATTAAGGAGAATGATTGTACTGCTTTTTAACCCATTTTTTTCCATTAATTTAATTTAGATTCATTTCTTAATCCTATTCAAATAATTCTTTTTAATTTGATTAATCTTTATTTTGCATCTCTACTATTTAATCAGATTCTGCATGCATCTTAACCTTATTTTAAGCTCCTATAAGTGCAAAATGAGACTTTCCTGTAATTTAATGAGAAGCCTTATTTGTTTTTGATCCTGTACCTTCACTTATAGAGCCATCTAATTAAAGTTAATTAAGAGAAACTGATTGTCTCTTTCCATTTTCATAAAGATTTTATCTTGTTTGTTTTGCTTTATGTATTTAATATTTAGTATTGATTGTACGAAATCTATTTTGAGCCAATTCTGCTAATTTGTGGATTTAACAATTCAATTCTTATAATAACATCTTTGTTTCATAAATTTATTAGCAATTAGTGAGATGATTTGTAATGAGATGAGCATCTAACTAAGTTTTCATTAAGTTATTGATACTTTTTTCTCGCAGATTCTACAAATAACCAAAAGATCCTCATTTCTTTTAATTTCAATTATCATTTAATAATAAAATTAATAATATGCAATCATTTCTTTTTACTCTCTAATAATTTAATTTGTTTCTTTAATTATGAAGGATTTTAGAGAACATTTTCTTATTCTTATAATTTCATTTTAAGCTATACAATTTCCATACTTTACTCCTAAATTAGTTTATAATACTTACCAGACCTTTATCTTATTTAAGTGATAAATCTAATCGTCTTAATTTTGATTTAAAACATTTAGCATTCGTTCATAGGTGTAAATTTATTTCATCAGATTTTAATTGTTCTGTTATAATTCCTATACACATTTATTTAGCCGATATGTTTCTTCTTCATTTTTTAATAAAATATTAAAGACTTATTCATTATCATTAATTTTTTTAAGATTCTTTAGAAAATTGCATTAATTTTATAAATGTTCTATCTATAATTATTAAATTTAATACATGAACATCTTAAAGTATTACTTTATCTAAATATTTTGGATAGTCTTGTAATCGAAGAGTATTTATAATATGATCACAAATTTTATCTATTTCTTAATTGACTGCTATTTTCTTTATGGTCATGATTCCATTTCTGATTATTTCAAGAAAATTCATTTATTAATAATATTTAATATATCCAAATGTACATATTTACTATTCATTTCTTTTATTCTTTAGCATTCTTTCTTTTTTCTTTGACTCCAACGAATTTTGCATTATACCATTCTTATCTAATTCTACGATAAACATTCTTAGCTCTAAGCTCTTTAGAAATTACTGTTGCCTTCTCTCTTCTTGGTGTTCTTTAGAATGTGATAACCTAAACAATTTTAAAACATTTAATACTTCAGGATTAGTATTTTAAGTTACAGGTTAAGCAACAACATCATTACCTGAATCTTTTACAACACCATTCTTTGGTTTACCTGCTACTCTTGGAAAGAGTACTAATTTAGATAAGTATGCTTTGATTCTTTTAACATTAACTGCCAATTCTTCTTAGCTATTGTTTCTACGTCTATGATCAACAGAAATTCCAACTGTTCTAGCAAATTAAGAATTGAGTCCAGCCTCTTTAAGTTCAATTAATGAGAATCCTCTTCCTAATTTTTATACTCCATTATATTTGATTGTTTGTCCTCTCACTACTGGTCTAAGTAATTCAATAGGTCTTGGTGAAGCTCCTAAAATAGATATACTAATCATTACTTAATGCATTTGCTTATCTTCTTTGTTGTCTTCTTCTTTTTGCAGCTGGTTAATTGTAATAAGTCTTTACAAATCGTGTCCAATGTTTACGTAAGTGAGCATTAGGAAGTTATTGATTGTGTTTCATTAAGAATTTATATTTAAATAAAAAAATATAGATTTTTAAACTCACATTAAAAATTCTCAAATTTTATTAATGTTATGATGTTTGTAAATATATTTATTATATCATTAATATAAACATTACATATAATATTAATTCTTATCATCATTATTAAAATAGATAATTATAATTTCTATTATATTACAATATAAAGTGATTAAATGTTTCATCAAATTATATATACTAAGTACATGTTATTTGTAGCTAATCAAAATATATGTTCTAATTTTTAATTAAATAAATATTAGTTGATAAACTATAATTTTTATTAATAATTATGAAAAGTAATCATCTCAATTCAGATATATGTAATGCTCAAGCTTATTTAGAACAGAAGAAAAATTAGATACTGAAAATCAGGTTCATTCTGTTAGATCTCTTTTGAAAAGTTGTGATTAAGATCAAGAAGCCATCTTATATGAAATATAGAATTTTAAGTAAATTAAAAACAATGATCAAAGAAGTGTTATGAGTCTTTTATTTGATTCTAAAAACAAGTAAGTTTTTATTGTTATTCATATTGTATAGACCTAATTAAACCTGTAATATAGGACCTAGAATAAGAACTAATAGTTTACAATCTAATAAGCCTGTAATGAATATCAAAGAAGAAAGTCCAATCTTTATTGAAAGTCAAATTTCTAATGAACATCCTGGATTTACTAATAAAATTTGGAGAGCAAAAGCGTTAGAGATCTTGATGATAACTCTGAGATTCATTAGTTTTATCACAAAATCAAATTTTGCTACTAGTTTTAAATTAATCAACAAAAATGTTTTTGAAATAATAGGCGATGTATCAGCTGACTTTTCATATTACTTATTAAAAAATTTCTTTAAATATGAAGTAATATATGTTTGAATAAATCTAATTATAGAAACCAACAGGATTTTAAAAAGTAAAACATTTTTTGAATTAAAAAATATTGGTTCCAATACGTAGAACTAAATTACTAAAGATTTATTGTGGAAATTAGAAATTAATAATGAGACCTGAGTCTTTGGCTTCAATTTGGTGGAATATATATATACTTACAATTTTGAATATAAATGTACTTTATGTATCAGCCAAAATTGCATTCAAATTTGATGAACAATCAAATGATATATTTTATTAAGCCAGATAAATTATGTTTGATGTATTACCATCATATTCATTTATGCTTGAAATCTTATTAAAATTTAATACATGTTACTATTATAAAGGAGCAGTAATTGAAAATAGATATCAAATTGCTAAAAATTATTTATAATCATGTAAAAATATTACTATTATATATAATAGCATTCTTCTTTGATATCTTTGTAATTATTCCCTACTTTATAAGTTTAAGATTTGATTTGGAATATTTGGATCTAGTAATTATTTTGAAAGTGTTTTAAATAACCAAATTTTCTAGAACACTTTTTGATAGATTAGAATTGACAGCAATATAAATTGTTATAGTTGATTTAGTTAAATTAGTATACACTATTTTAGCAGCAGCCCATTTCTCAGCTTGTGTTTGGTTTTTAGTAGGATCTACTGGAAATCCTAATGAGACATCTTGGATTAAAGCTTAAAATATAGAAAATGAATACTGGTTTAATTAATATTTGCATTCATTTTATTGGAGTATCATAACAATGACTACAATTGGATATGGTGATATTACTCCTTAGAATTTAAGAGAAAGAGTATTTGCAGTTGGAATGGCTTTATCTGCAGTAGGAGTATTTGGTTATTCTATTGGTAATATTAATTCAATTTATGCTGAATGGAGTAGACAAAGCTTTTAGGTAAGAACTGATATGAATAACCTTAAAAAATTCATTAGGATTAAAGGGATTAATAAACATTTAGCTGAGAAAATAAGAAAATACTTTGAATATGTATGGAGTGATTAAATGGAAGATAATGATAGAGAAGTATACAAATTTAGTGAATTGATTCCAAAATAATTAGCTGAAGAAATGAAAATAGATACAAATATGAAATTAATATCAAAGAATAGTTTTCTTGTGAATAATTTTAGTGAATCATTTTTAATATCTTTATCAAAAGCAATGGTAGAAGAGAAATATGTACCTGAATCAACAATATATTAAGTAAGATAATCTAATATTAAATAGTAAAATGATCCTAGTAATTATCTTTATATTTTATCTAATGGAGATCTTTCATTTTATATAACATTGAATAATAAATAATAAACAATAAAAGTATTGGAAACAATAAAACATGAAGGATAAGCATTTGGTGTTTTAGAATTCTTTTAATCATAAGCATATTAAATGTCTTGTAAATCAAACTAATTTTCCTATGTATTAAAAATTGATAGGTCTCAATTTATAGAAATAATATCTTAACATTAAAATGATTATGTAATTTAAATCAAATATATGATTAGTATAAATATTGTGAATTAGTTCAATAAATCTCATTTATGAACAAATAAGAATTAGTAGATGTAACATGTAGAGCATGTAATAAATCAACACATATTATTCTTGAATGCCCGTAATTATTCAATATTATATTAGTATGGTATGTGGTTATCCAAATAGATCCAAAGTATTACTAAATTATAGAAGGAATGTTCCTTCTGATAGAGTTAAATATGCAAGAAAATTAGAACCTAAAATTCAAACAAGAAGAGAATCATAAGACATATAAAACAGTATCTATTTGTATATGTGCAAAACATAAATATTGTAGGAATAAATAGATGAATAATAACTCATTGCAGATAGTGGTGATGGTATTCATCATTTATATTAATAATTTAATAGGAGCTAGTGGTATAGATGATGCAAATGATGAAATTCTTGAATAGTCTGAAAAATTGAATAAAGAAATTTAAAGTAATACATTACTGATTCCAATACATTAATAAAAATCAAAATGTTAGTTAAAGAGGAAATTATCATTTTAAGCTTGTACAGATGCATTAAAAGATGATGAAATAGTATATATTATTATTATAAATCTATAGAGAGATAGAATCTTAGAAATAATTAATAAGATTTAGAGAGCAGAAAGATCTAATAAATATTTGAGTCGTTTCAATTAAGGACCTTAGTAATTGTAACCGAATTTTAGATTCTAAAATCCTCAAAATACTATTCTTAGTAATAAAAGTATTTAAGAATCAGATAAAAAAATTGCAGAAAGAGGAGATTAAAAGAAATAAACAAAATAAGTAGGACCTTAAATAAAAGTTAATGATTTCTCTATTGATCAAATATATGCAAATAAAACTTTAGATGAAGATCCAGGAAAAAAGTTAGGATAATATTTGGACATTTTTGAAGGATTTGAGAAAGTTAGAATTTTTGAATATTTTCTCAGGCATAATAATGCTAATGAAATTGCTAGATTAAATAAGATTATGAATAAAAATCATAGAAAACATAAATAAAATAAATGAATATATATATATATATAATATTTAATAAAATTTATTTTAATATGATTTGTATAATTTATCAATCTTTTGCTGCTCTATATATTTTATTTGCAGCATCTTCCAACAAACCTAAAAGTGATTCTTATGATTCTTCTCTTAATTTCTTTTCTTCTTCTATTTCACTCTTCACTCTAGAAACTAAATCCTTAAGCATTTCAAAGATAGCTGTCTCAGATTCTTCTCTTAAATAGATTATTATTTATACCTTAACTTCTTTTAATTAATTAAACCTTCATTCAATCTTTTAATCTCTTCTCCAGATCTCCTTAATGTTCCATTATCACTATCTTCTCTATCTTATCCTTCAGTTTTAACCATATCATATAACTTAGGTAAATCATTTTCTAATGATGTAGTAATATTCTCAATTTATTCCTATCTTATTTTACTCTCTGTCTATATATCAGATTTTAAGTAGACAACCTAAATTCTAATAAATTCTTCATTTTACTTTCTCATCCAAATACCCTTATAATTTTAAATTTCCATCTCTTCTTAAAGCTATTTCTTATTCCAATTTAGTTGTGATTCTACTTTCAAATGCAGCAATCTCACGAACTCTTTATTCAAATTAAGTTTCAAAAGCATTATTTTCTTCTTCAATTTACTTTTGTACTCTCACTATTTCATCTTTCAAAGAATGCTTTTAATCTTTAATAAACTATTACTAGTTTTCTATTATAAGATGTAATTGTATCCTGAATTCTTTCCTCTACTGCTGTAACTCTAGAATTAACAGTATCAATTCTATGTGCTTTTGAAGTATCATGATGAAGAGGAATGGAATTTAATTTCTCTTGAATTTTTAAGAAACGTTCATTGAAAGGTGTATTTGGATTCATTTATTTTAACAAATTTATTTAACAAAAATATTGAGCATTAATTAATCAAAGCAAAATAAATATATTTTAATTTCTCTATATCTTATGTAATTTCACTTATCTTATTATAATCTAAATTCAAATATGAACAAAAACAATTTAAGAATAAAAAAACTATCCAAAATTTTAGAATAATCTAAAAATAAAAATAAAATTCATTGTTTTTTCTTTGGTCTATTTGGACTAGCACTAGAATTCATTTACTTTCTATAACTAGATATCAATAATAAATATATTTCTACATATCTACTCCTTTTTATTAAAGCATTCCATATTTCTTAGATAATGGGATTTCATCATAATTCTCTTCAAAAATTGAATCTCTCCATCCTACTGTTTCAGTATAAGAATTTTGAGCCTTTTTCTATTATGCCGACTCAGATGTTTTCCTCTATTCCTATATATATTCCTTAGGCACAGTATCTATACTAACCTTAACATCTAAACCCAATTAAGAGGGTTAATATTTTGGCCTTATTGAATTGTATGTACTTAACATTACACTGCCTGATACTAGGCTGGGCTACTAAGAAGAATCTTGTCTTTTTAAAGCAGGAGGCTGTAATTAATTTGATTAAGGAGGTGCTAAGAATTGATTATTACTCATTCTAATCAGATTTATATGGATATATACTATCTGATCAGATTGCTTCCTTATTTATCTAATGATTTTTTCATTTCACCAGTAGATGGAGGTTATAATTATTAATTTAAAGTAGTGGATCTTTACATGATTTCTGAATTAACACTTTATGATATTTTCATAGGTTATTATTACTAATCCCAATCATAAGAGTAATCCAATTAAATACCTAAATTTTCTGCAGCTTTTTCAAATTATTATACAACAAAATCATAATTTGGTTCACTTAAATATTGTAATTATTTAAGATATCTAAATTAATATTTAATATATGTACTCAAGTATAAGAGCAAATTCAATTGGTACATCTTTAAATAATTCCCTAAGATCTATGGACATCTTCATTTCACCTACTTTGACTGTTCTTTCTTCATCACTGACATTCTACATATTTTGCCATGGTAACTGCCTAGACTTTTTATTATTCACAATTCCATTACCCTTTCATAAAGTATAACAAAACATATATTAGAGATTCAATATCATCTTTTCTACTCAATTCAAAACCTTTATGTGCTGCTATAGATGCATATCTAGTTGTTCCTATGAATGATGTATTATCACGAAATGGACTAACTAAATTATTGACATTTACTGAATATTTCCATTTTTATCTCGAAATATTTTACTTATTCCAAAATCAACCACATAAATTTTAGAAGATTCATCATCTATTCCAAACAAAACATTTTCAGGCTTCAAATCTCGATGAACAACACCTTTATTGTGGATTCTCTCTAATACCTTAACAATTTAAATTCCTAATTAGATTGTTGTTTTAAATGAAAATTTCTTTTTGCTTTTCACATAATGTGCTAAGTCCTTCCCCAAAATTTACATAACAATAACATTAAAATCATCCTACTCACCATGCCAATATAATTTAGGAACTCCTTCTATTCCATTTAACCTTTCTAAAACTTGAACTTCCCTTTCCAAAGAACGCACATCCTCATTCTCTTCCTTCTCTATTTTTATTGCCACATCTATATTTTTATCTTTATCATGCCCCAATAGAACCACTCCAAAAGAGCCTGACGATATCTTCTTCTAGGCTACATATTTTCCATTAAATATTGAAGCTGTCTGCATTAATTAATATTTATAAATTATATAATTATTTTATAAACTTACTAATCTTTACTTTCTCATTCATAACTTATTACAATGCATTAAAATAGAAATTCATATTTTTTATTATTAATACTATCTTATATGAAATTAATATCTTTGACTATTTATAATTGAAAATTTCAAACAATTTATTTTATCAGTAATGATTCTCATTAATTAAATGATTTTAACATATATATATATACTTCTTATTATTTATATATTTATTGAAATATTATATAAATACTTCATTTAACTTATTAACTTATTAATTTATTATTATTATTTTATTTTAATGTCTGAAATAATCCCTCATGTATATTTGTCATCAATTGTTTATGCAAAAGATTAAAATTGGCTTACCAAGAACTAAATCTAGAATATTTTAATAATAGGAGACTTACCTTAGTATTTTCCTTCAAAATTTTCGTATAAATGCATTTAGATTGAAGATAAACCAGAAACTAACATAAAGTAATATTTTGAAGAATGTATTGAATATATTGATTCAATAATTGCTCAAAATAAAAATATTTTAGTTCATTGTTATGGTGGTTAGAGTAGATCAGTGACCATCATAACAGCTTATATTATAAGAAAATTAAGGCTCAATTCGTTAAGAGCTTTAAATTATGTAAAATAAAAGCATGCCAGAGCTGAACCTAATCAAGGATTCTTAGATCAACTGAAGACATTTGTATGAAATTTATAAATATATTGTACTCATATTTTATAACTCAAATTTGAGATATATATATAAGATATTTTAATTAGTATTTATTAACATATCTATACTAAAATAAAAGTCTATTATTTAGTTTTTATATATGATATGTGATTAGATTAAAATTTAATTCTTATAATTATTAAATCAACATTTTTATTTAAGGAAATTTAATGAAAAATTCTTAATCTCTGTTTTTATGAATTTCATATACTTCATATATTGTTTGTAATTTGAAGAAGATTCAACAAATTTATAGATAATAACAATAATTATTCATATTAGATTAATATATATGATAACGTAAATACATTGTTCATTAATGTTGTGGGAAATCTTATTTTAAAATTGCTACTATTTCATCAAAATTTCTAAATAAAAATCTCAAATATTACTTAACTATTTGATTTTAGGAATTGATAAGAGCTCTATTCTATTTTAGGTATGTTGATAAGATCTAATCTTTTAATCTAATCAAATCAACAATACATTAATTATCTAATTAAAATTCTGAATTTTGGATTTTCTTAACAATTTTTTGCTAATTATTTTATTTATTTCTATTATTGATATTGTTGGAATAACTATTTGATCCACTATTTAGATTACTAATTTTAGTTGAATCAATATGTGATGATTTCATTGGATTGTGAAGTGATTGTTCTTTGTATACAATAGGCGAAGATTTTACTTAGGTGGAAGTGTGCATTTTTGTAGTTTGAGGACGTTGAGCATATGAATTGAGATTTTTTTTAGGAACATTTCTTTCTATAGCATTTTTTTTGACATCAAAGCTTTCTTCATAAGTAAATAGAATACATTATTCTTTTATACTCTTGGCATGAGGACGTGTAGTACTAGGTGTTTTATTTTTATTCTAATTGACTTTATTAGATTGAATTGCATGTTATTAATCTCCTTCTTCTGTGAATAAAAGATCTTCTTCTATTATAATATGTGGCCTATTTGATTGTCTCCCTTAACTTTCAAATTATGAGACTATATTATTTTATAACAGATTATTTGGCTAAACATTATTTGAACTTGAATTAAGGGATGATAAATTTTTTTATTGCATCCATGAAGCTATTAAATTTTCAACCTTCTAATTCTAGGAACTCAAATTTAACTATTGAAATTAATTTGAAGTTGTTTACTGATTTTTCTACAGAATAGGATTAAACTTAATGTCTTTGTCTACTGTTTTCTATGGATAGTTTAATTGATCTCTCATTATTTTATTATCGATCACTAGATAAATTTCGAGAACGTGAAGGTATTTGAGGTGTTCTCTTCATCATTAACGATTCCAATTCCTCAAATTATGTTGATTAACGCTAAGAAAATAACATTATATTTTAAGAAAATTATATAATTTATTCATTCATTTTAAGATGTTCAAGAATTAAATTAACTCTTCTTATTTACCAAATAGAATTTCTAATTTCTGGTTCTTCTAAAGTAATTAAAATAATCCATAAAATGTGAAGTCTAAATAATATCAATTACTTATTTTATTTAATAACACCTTAAATTATTTATTGTGTTATTACAACTATTAACTTTATATTTAATGCTAAGTCCTTTACAACTAGATCACTTTCAATCCTATTCACATTATAAAACTCTAGGCATTTCATTTTTTAATTATATTAAACAAATCTACAATTATTAAAATATATTAATTTATTTTGGTATGTGATTATTAACTTCTTGTAGTTTTTTAATTAGATTTCATTTATATACCTTGAATATTTTATAGATTATTGATGAGGGTATTCTAATTCTATTTTCTATTTATTTTTCTTTTGAATTATTGCAATAGTATTAATTCTATCTAATACTTATTCCAACTGATAACTTTAGGTATTCATGATAAGGATAGGTGCATATGATGTTAATTTAATAAGACTTGACTCCTTCTCTATCTTTCATTAGAAAAATCTAAATAATTTACACTTAGTTCATCTAACTATTTCTTAATTTAATATATTTGGCTTATTGGTTCTATGGAGGAACCATTCCATTAATTAATCACTTCATCTAGTTTTTCAAATTCAATAATCAAAGCGTTATTCTAAAGATGTAATCCATAAATATCTTCATAAATCATACTTATATGTTCTTTCTAATCATTTGGTTATTAATCAGTTAATATAATTTTCTAAGATGTGAACTAGTCGTTTTCAGGTAGATACCTTGTAATTTGATCATTCCAAATATTATGTTTGAAAGCTGTAATCAATTAATCTAATCATATATAAGATTGAGTTTTTTTTATCAATTATTGTTATTCATCTACTTATTTCAAAAGTTTCCTATGATTTTTTTGATGATTTGAAATCAAATCCTCTCTTTTAGACTACAAATGGTTTTGTTGAAATCTTTCATCATTTAGCTANTCCTCAAATTATGTTGATTAACGCTAAGAAAATAACATTATATTTTAAGAAAATTATATAATTTATTCATTCATTTTAAGATGTTCAAGAATTAAATTAACTCTTCTTATTTACCAAATAGAATTTCTAATTTCTGGTTCTTCTAAAGTAATTAAAATAATCCATAAAATGTGAAGTCTAAATAATATCAATTACTTATTTTATTTAATAACACCTTAAATTATTTATTGTGTTATTACAACTATTAACTTTATATTTAATGCTAAGTCCTTTACAACTAGATCACTTTCAATCCTATTCACATTATAAAACTCTAGGCATTTCATTTTTTAATTATATTAAACAAATCTACAATTATTAAAATATATTAATTTATTTTGGTATGTGATTATTAACTTCTTGTAGTTTTTTAATTAGATTTCATTTATATACCTTGAATATTTTATAGATTATTGATGAGGGTATTCTAATTCTATTTTCTATTTATTTTTCTTTTGAATTATTGCAATAGTATTAATTCTATCTAATACTTATTCCAACTGATAACTTTAGGTATTCATGATAAGGATAGGTGCATATGATGTTAATTTAATAAGACTTGACTCCTTCTCTATCTTTCATTAGAAAAATCTAAATAATTTACACTTAGTTCATCTAACTATTTCTTAATTTAATATATTTGGCTTATTGGTTCTATGGAGGAACCATTCCATTAATTAATCACTTCATCTAGTTTTTCAAATTCAATAATCAAAGCGTTATTCTAAAGATGTAATCCATAAATATCTTCATAAATCATACTTATATGTTCTTTCTAATCATTTGGTTATTAATCAGTTAATATAATTTTCTAAGATGTGAACTAGTCGTTTTCAGGTAGATACCTTGTAATTTGATCATTCCAAATATTATGTTTGAAAGCTGTAATCAATTAATCTAATCATATATAAGATTGAGTTTTTTTTATCAATTATTGTTATTCATCTACTTATTTCAAAAGTTTCCTATGATTTTTTTGATGATTTGAAATCAAATCCTCTCTTTTAGACTACAAATGGTTTTGTTGAAATCTTTCATCATTTAGCTAAATGTTATTAAATATAATATTACATCTCTTTAGGCCTTATTTAAGGACTACCTTAAAAAGATAATCTTTTATTCAGTTAAAATAGCTTATGATATAAAAGCAGTGTTAAGTACTGATTGATTTGGTTAATAAATGTTCATGATATAATTCAAATTTTAATATAACAAATATATTATTAGTATAAGTAGAACTCTTATCAGTGTAAATAATGAAAGTATTATGATAATAATGAAATATGTAAATAAAAAGAATTATTATTAAGAGAGCTAATTAAATATCAATAAAATGAAAAATGATTAAAGATCAATTAACTAATTGTAAGATAATTTATAAATTATTTCATAATTTCCATTCTTTAGAAATATAATCTAAAGATACTCTTAAATTAGTTAAGATTCTCTTTTCATTTTCGATTTCCTATATATAATCATCAACAAACTATATTTTTGCATAGAGATTAGGAACATCACTTATTAAAGCTATCCAAATTAAAATTGGTAATTCATCATCCATTGCAATTATTTCTTCCTTTTGATTACATTCAAAAGCAACTCCTCTAATCAGTACTAGGACATATTAAAATTATTTCAACATTTCAGTAGGAGTTTTGTAAAGATTAATTAATTTTAATTCATTTATTGCTTCAAAATATGGTATATCTGAATTAGGTAAATATTGATTTTTAATTTCCAATGATTTTATTAAATCTTCTTTAGAATATTTTTCTTTTAATTGCTTCTTTTTTAGATCTACTTAATTTTATCTTTCTTGATATTTTTCTATATAATAATTCATCATCTAATCAAATATTTTATTGAATATAAATCTCTCAATGGTAAATATGTGAAATTAACTGACTTATTATTATTTAATTAATAATGGTTCTTTTTTTATATTATCATGCTCCTTTTCTATTAAATTATATATTTATTTCATTGTTATTTGCTCAGGGATCTCTATTTTATCTTAAAGATATTTATAAATCATAGCAACACTTAAACTATCTAAATGAAAAGGATTGAATCTTGAATCTTCATGTCTAATGTAAATTTATACTTACATAATCTCATCTATATGGGAAAGATGTTAATTTTTATCTGAAAATTAATATATTGCATTTCCTATCCTTTTCATCATACTATCATTTAGTTCAGAGTCCTTTTTAAATATAATTATATACTCCTTTTAAAGATTTTATCAATAATGAATTATGATTCTCTAATTTTATAAGAATAATGCAATATTTAGTTTCACTTTTACAAATCAAATATCCTAATTTTTTTAATGTTGACAATTTCTGTTTATACATCACTATCATTTATTGATTTGTTTTGTAAACACAATTAAATGGATGAATTTATGTTTCAATTGATTAAAAAATGTCTAAAATTCGATCTGAGTTAATTTGAATATGATATTCTTGCTAAGCATCTTCCTTATCCCATAATGCTTCAGACTCAATTTCAGTATTCTTATCTTAAAACTAGATTACATGAACAGGAGAATGATCATCTGATTCAGAGTGCTATAACATTCCTTTAAATTAAAATACAAATTATTATGTATTCATTAACGAAGGCCCTTTGAACAAATTGATACAACAGAAATACAGAATCCTTAAAATACACTAATTCCTTCATGTAATTCTAAGTGAAATGTATGTCTATTTTATTTTCCATGACATAGATAGATTTGCTATTCTTTGATATTATCTCCCTTTTTATGTAATACGAAATTTCTGGTTGATGGAATTAATGCAATATCTTTTAATTTCAATATAAAAGAACCCTTCTAGTCATCATAGTGTGGTTCTTAAGTAATGATCTCTAATAAAAAATAAAACAAAATTATTACCATCATATTAATTTGTATTGATGTTGTAGCATTTCACATCAAATAATCTTGGTTTGTCATATCTTTTATCTGAAAAATAATCAAAAATTAACATTTTTCTTTTTTTCCTTCCAATCCATTAAGGAAAGCTATTTTCCATGTATTCTGGATAACCATCATCAAAAACAATAAATTCTTTGCCTTAATTCTTAAATTCAATGAGTCCTAAGTAATTATCATTATATTTTATGAATTTTTCTTGGTATTCTTAGAAAATAAGAATATCTCCAGAAATCTCATATTAAACTGCTACTAAAATAGTTTAATTTTCATTATTCTTAAGATAGTAAATATGAGGAAAATCTGATTACTCTCTTCCCTCTTGACAATCCAAATTTCTATGTACAGTAAATGATTTTTTTTCAATAATGGGTTTGTAATATTAAAATAGATATGATTCTTATTATTTAAAAAGAGGATAAAGGATAGTTGAGTTAATTTTAAAAATGTGCAATTAAGTTATTAATTTTATAAAATTGGGTTTTTCAACTTACAATTGTTTTGGTTTCATTCCATTTTAAACTATTTTTTGTAAATAATTATCATAGGTTTCCTTCAATAACCCTTTGCTAAAATAGTATAAATGCTTAATAAGTCTATATGATGAATACAAATGATACTTATAAAAATAATGTTATTTTTTTGATTCATATTATACAGTGATAAGTAACAATTTAATAGCATTTTCCAAATTGATATTTTAAAAGAGTAATTCAAAAAGGGCTTCTTCAATTTGACTATCCTCAAAATAATAAATGAAATCAATACTTAGAATATTAAACTGCTTATAAGTAAACCAAATAAATGTTTAGTATCCATAGAGCGAAGTGATTTATTGAATTCTTCATTATTATTTTTGATTTTAGACAATTTTATAAACTATCTAATATCATATTCATTTGGAATACGTATTCCATTAGCTGAACAGATAGGTAACTAAATTCTTTATAATTGAAATATACTTTTATCACATCAAATTTCTCAATATAATTGGACTTTAGCAATTTACAACATTCAATAAATGACCTTTCTATATATGTTACAATTTCTTTTTTTGCACATTCAGAAAGGTCTTATTATTCTATTTTTTTAATTTTGATTCTTTACCAACTACGTCATCCTTTTCTATAATTTAAACATCATTATCAGAGCATATTATCTTTTCTTTAGTTGCAATTGTCTATTAAATTAATTTAAATTGTTACTTCATTAGTGAAAGTACAAATGACAATAACCTTAACAAAATCAGGATTATTCGAATCATCTTGAATAGTTGAATCAATATTTTAGATTTGATCTTTAAACAAACTTTAATGAAATCTTTCCTCTCTCTATTGTTAATATTTTTTTATTTCGCTAAGATTACTTTGCATGCTATTTAGAAATTTTTAACTTACAAATTTTGTTTTGATTGATTCTGATTTATTCGTTTTTATTATTAAAATATGAAAAAAGGGTAAGATCAATTAAGTTCAGGCTTTCTCAGATACATAATTTTATTGCTTGCATGTATAGCATTAGTAAATAATATGTTAAATACTATAGTATGGAAATATGTTTATATTTGATTAACCTGCATTATTAAAAGAACAAATAATGTAGACCTATAGTCCAATATATGGAGAACATTTAACAAGTTTCTATTTCAGTTTTATGTATTCATTTTATTCCATTCCAAATATTATATTGCCTTTAGTTGGTGGGTTTATGAGTGATGTATTTGGTAAAATATAATATTGATATCAATTTAGGTTATAGAAAAATGTCATTGATATTCATGTTCTTTGTAATTCTAGGTTAAGGATTTTTATATTTTGGAAGTTCAGTTGCAAACCTTAAATATATGATTTTGGGTAGATTTATGTTTGGATTGGGTGGTGAATCTCTTTGTGTAGCAAGTTCAATTATCATAAATAAATGGTTTGTTGGAAAAGAATTGTCATTTGCTAATGTAAACTATATTTACTAATAAGAGGCATTAAATTTGAGTTTGATAAGAAGTGCTACAGTATTGGGAACTTATATTTCCCCAAGAATTGCTGAAAAATCTGGTATGACAACAGCTTTTGGAGTTGGTTTTGGTATTACTTTGATTTCTGGTGCTGCACTTTTAATTATGAATTTCATTGATTCTTATACAGAAATCTTATAAAAAAGAAATCTATAAAAAACTGAAGGATTATTGGATAATAGTATTTAAGTAATGGATTTTGGAGAACTTGTAAAATAAATACTAGAAGATATTAGAATGTTCCCTAAAGTAAAATACACAAATGAATCAATTTTTAGATTTTTTGGATCTTGACTTTCATAATGACCACTTTTTATACCTCAGTCTTAATTTTTATTTCCTTTTCAAGTGGCATTATAATTGATTTATGGTTGCCTGCAGATGCACCTGTAGAATAAAATTAAGAAGTAGCTGGTGAATTAATGGGAATTCCTTATTTATGTTGCACATTCCTCAGTCCATTTGTTGGATTGATGGTAGATAAAGTTGGCTAAAGAGTTAAGTTTTTAGCAATTGGATGTGCTTTAGTATTTTTAGGATTAGTTTTGATGCTATTATTTTATCCCATATTTTGCATGCTCACTTTAGGATTATCATATGCTCTTTTTGCAAGTACAATATGGACAAGTATTGCCTTTGTTGTTAAATAGAAATAATTAGTAATATTTTATTATATAAAGGGGCACAGCATTTGGTGTAATGAATTCTGTTCAAAATTTTGCTTTTTTTGTGATGCCATTATTTATAGCTTTCATTTCAGCTGAAGCATCTTCTTAAGTATCAGTAGTCTTATTCTTTTTAATACTCGCTTCTGTTTCTTTAATTATAGCCATATATTTATATATTGAAGATCAGAATAGGCCAGGTATGTAGCATCCCAATATTTAGTCTCATTAAATTCTAATGATTAAAAGAAACTTATGAATTTTGTCAATAATCATAAAGAAGATGGGGAAGAATTTGAAGAAGAAGAAATAATTGTACCAAAATGATATAGTGTATATTACATTAATAAAATCTTTAGTTTAATTTATATTTATTTTTATAAAACAAATATTTATATTCATAAAAATACATTATAAAGCATTATTAAACAAAATATATCAAATTTATTTTACTTCAAATTTTCTGCTAAACCATTTTATAACCATTATATTTATAATGCGTCTATGGTGTAGAGGTCAGCACGATTTCCTTCCAAGCATTAAGGTCGGGTTCGAGTCCCGATAGGCGCAATTTTTATTTTGTGTTTTAAGATTAAATCACTAATAATTACTTTTCTTCTAATCATGTGTTTAATCAAAAAGATAATACATTTTATAAGTTATTCCTCTATTATAAGGTTAATTAAAATTCTTTGATATCCTTACCAATTATTTTTACTTTATTAGTGCCTTGTACTTATTCCTTTGTTGTGTTCTCTCTCTCATTAAGTATAAAATCAAAAGGATTATAAATTTTATAAGCTAGCGTCTATAGTATAGAGGTTCGTACGAATGCCTTCCAAGCATTTAGGTCGGGTTCGAGTCCCGATAGACGCAACTTTTTTTTATTTGTTAATTTATAAGATCAACCCCAGTCTTATTTAATCAAATCCTTGCGGATCGGAAAATAAACTTATATTTATTAAGGAACCATAAAAGTACTTTTTTAATTAAAAAGATTCGTTATATATATTACTTAATAATTTATAATAGTAGACTCTGCTACATAATTATAAAATCAAAAGGATTATAAATTTTATAAGCCAGCGTCTATAGTATAGAGGTTCGTACGAATGCCTTCCAAGCATTTAGGTCGGGTTCGAGTCCCGATAGACGCAACTTTTTTTATTTGCTAATTTATGAGATTAAACCTATTCTAATAATTTCTATGCTCTCTAGTTTTTCTTAAATCGAAAAAAATATAATCAAAAAGATTTTTTCTTTTATTTTTTATTAAAAAAAAGATTTAGTTAAGAATATTTATTAATTTCATTAAAATATTTATAATAAAGGGTAAATCTTTAGGGAGCCTTAATATCCACTCTTAAACTAATGGCTTCTAAAACTATTCGAATTAGAATTACTAAAATTTAATTTTATTATTATTATGTTTGATAAAAGTTTTAATTATTAGATTCCAAAAACAAGTTCGAATAGTGATTATGAGTAAAGAGAAAAAAGGGATTTAAAAAAATAGTTTAGATATGTATCTGTACATAAAATGGTGCCATCTGATAGAGATAATTATATTCCACTAGTAAGTCCATAATTATCAGCCTATGCAAAACCAAGTGAGAGAATTAAATTATAACAAAAATTAATGAGAGCAAGGCAAAATCGATCTGTTAACTTATATTCAGCTAAACACGATCAATTTAATGTAACTCTTTATTTTTTATAAAGCATTGCACTGAGGATTCGTAATTGAACAGCGATGATTAGTTATTAAAGATAGTTGGAGGCCAAATGCTTTCAACTGGAGAAAAGTGCTAGTCTGTTTAAAGGAAATTTAGAAGGAAACCTAAAAGTATAATTATCATATTAGGTTTGCAGCTCATCGAAATATATTTTCATTGTATGTATAAGAATCCTTAGAACTCAATTAATTGAGAAAGAAAATGAATCCGCAACAGAATTATAGTAGAATGGATTCTCATATAGCTTAAAGATTCAATAAGACATAAATTGGGTTTAACAATTCTTTTGATTCAAATTAATATGGGTTTTTATAGTAGGGAAGGAAATGTTAAATGCAATAAAAGTTCAAAGATTTCTTAAATTGATTGTATAATTAATTATATAACTTATAAATTTATTCACATCAAATTTTTGATTATTTTATATATTGTTACCATTTATCATTTGGTAGGTCCCTGAAATAATTTAAGTAGTCTAAAGTTGGATCCATAATCCACTATTAATAAATAATAATATCCTTACTCTCTTAACAGTAACTAAGTTAGTTTCACTAAACCATTCAATATGACCACCTTTTTAAGTTAAGGCAAATATTAAATTTGGCATATGTCTATGTAATTGAATGGGGGCAAATTTCCATGGTATTAATGGATCATTTTTAGTATTAACAAATAAAGTGGGAACTGTAATATCTTTAATATATTATATTGAAGAATTTGCCTTAATTTATAAAAGAGCGTTACCCTATACATCTATTCAACTGATTCATATTTTTACAAATGTCTTGTAAAATAATGATCAAATTCATAAATGGTTTTTGCATCAAATACTTTTTTAATATCAATATTATGTTCATCAAAGCATGCATTCATTACATCTAAATGTTTATTCAACAACCACTTGAAATGTTTAGTGAGATAGTAGATATATAAATAATTGTACCATCTATCCAAATTTTCAAAACAAGCCTAAATAAATAGAAAATAGAATACACCAATAAATCAAATGGATTGGCTATACAAACAATAGATTTGAATGCACATTTCTCTTTCATGATACCTGCATATTTGGCTGCCAAATTTGCCCCTATTGAAATGGCCACACACTATAATGTTGCTTCAGGATACCTTTGCTTTATTAAATCAATAATTTCCATCAAATCAGATGGATCTCCATGATTATGGTATTAAGGTGTCTTATTAGTTTAAATAATACAGATAATTTTGTAAATCCGACTCCTCTATTATTAAAACATACAGCAGTATAACCAGCATCATAGAGTCTTTCTAATGTATCTTTTATATAATTGCAATCCCCCCCACCTGTCAATCCATGTAAGACTAACACAATATTCTTTGGATCATTGATTTTCCAATCCAATGCTACTTGACCTCCATCTTTCAAAGTCACAATTTCTCGTTTTTGTAAGGGTACCATTTGATGTTCGACTAACGTTACGTAGAATAAACCAAAGATATTATTCATACTCCAAATGCTTGGATTAAAATGTCCCTATCTTTTTTATTTTTCATTACTGTAATATTTGGGCATTTTGAAAGTATATCCTTATTATTAGCCGTGTTCTAATAGAAGACTTCAATTTCTGTATTATATAAACAATCATATATATGTTGACCAATTAGTGCAAATGAAGCTCCAGCTATGAATTTCCATTTTGGAATACCAAAAAGCTTTTTTATCATGTATTAAATAATAAATAAAGTTTGTTTATTCCTTAATATCAAATCGGCTTCTAAATCCTGATGAATAATCAAAAGAAATGATATTAAGCAATATAATTAAAGATTATTATTAATGAGTAGAATTTTTAATAAAAATGATCATAAATGACGAAATTTAATTATTTATTCAATTAAAAATTCATAATGATAAAAATTATATTTTAATTAAGAAGAAAGGTACTATTTATAGTAAATTCATATTTGAATTGATGATAAATCATAAATGGAAATAATTCATAAGACTTTCTACTTATTTTATAAATCTATAAGTTCCCTTTAAGATTTTCTTATTGTTTTTTAATTTAAGCTTCTTTCTATTCAAAAACGATCCTAGTTTATAATTAGAGATACGCCACAAAATCTTTAATTTACTCCTTCTTGAGCATATCTAAGAGTTTCTTAAATATTTATGATGAGTCATCATCAATTATAATCTAATTAGCATTAAAAGTATATTTGAGATTATCAATTTTATAGACATATAACATTAAATTATAAATCCAAAATATAATATATAAAAAATCATATCTTCTTTAACTTTTTTCTGAGAGTCGGTTTGCAATCATAAGCTTTTCTTTGTAATAATTCTTCTAAACATTACATATTATAATCATCTAGATTTACAGCTATTTAAATTTTAGGATACTCTAGAGTTAGAGATTTGTCAGTCAAATATTCAAATCCTGAACCACAAATCATAGAACAAAAAGCTACATCAATTTTTTCGATTGATTTGCATTTTAAAAAGATATTCTAGAATAGAATTTATAAATAATTTACTTTCAAACCATCATCTGTAATCATTTTTGATCTTATTTTAAGTTATTTAATTTCTGGATTATGGGTACAAAGTTATCTGCAGAATTCATCATCAACTAATCCACCAAAACTGAATTTTAATATCCCTTTCAATAAAATATTTAATTACCATTTATTTATTAAAATATTCTTTCATCAAATAAAACAGTATATTTCAAAGCACTTTAATTTTTCATTTATAATTCCCCAATGCTTAACTTATTGATCTCATTATTAATTTATAGAAAAATTAGAAATTAAGATATTTAATTTGAATTTAAAATAGAAAATATTATTGTACCAAATTTAATTTTCTATTTTATAGAATTAAATGGATTAGTTTCATTTAATTAAGAATATTTCATAAAAAATTCTACTTATAAAAAGGGAATTCTAATGTATTAAAGTTATTTTAATTAAAAGATTGATAAAAATGATGTAAAAGCAATTTCTTCATTTAATTAACCTTTATCTTTTTCTACTAGTTTTAGTTTTTCGAGATTTGTGAGTTTTTAAGAAATTAAAGTAATAGTATCACTAGTAATTTTAGAGTTGTAAGGTAACACTAAGGTTTTTAAATTGACACATTGCAAAATAAATTTGGAACATAATTTATCAGTCAAAGCATGATAATCTTTAAAGTCTAAACTTAATAGATGTGGGATAGAATTTATTCTAATATCTTATAATTGAGTAGGTTTAATAAACTTTAGAGATCCAAAAATTATATGTTTTAACTTTGAAAATTTGGTAAGTGAACGACATAAAGTTTCAAATGGAATCTCACCTACATGTTTATATGATAATTTATTAACTATATTATTGATTGATTATTCAAACTATTTGTTTGTCAATCTTAATCTTAATAATTATCTAGTATCTATATAATATAATATCTAAGTCCAAATGAATAAAGGTAGTTAGAATTTAATATTTAATTATTTAATTGTATTAACAGATTCTGATGATTTAGTCTTTATTATTTACTTTTAGATTTATTCACTTTATTATTATTATTACTATTATTATTATTATTGAGAAGCTAGTAATCTCCTTTATAATTTAAGCTTTTAGATTTCATTTAATTCTCTTTTTTCTTATGTATCTCTTGGAGGAATTTCAGGTTCTTATTGCTATATCTCTTATGTTTAGATATTTTAAATTTTCTTTCTGTGATTCAGTAATTATTTTTTATCATTTTATAATTCTAAGGATAATGTAATCTATAGATACAAATCAATACAGATCTAAATTATTCTAGTATTTCATTAGGACACTCATAAAGAGATAGAATTTTATCTGCAAATTATAAATTGAGTGTTTATTATCTCACTTCAGATTTAGATAAATTTATGCTTTCATCTAAGTTGAAGCAAAGTAATTCCTCTCCATTGCAATATACTTTTATATAAACCTCCATTTCAAGCGGTTTTTTCTCAATAACCTCCTTAGTTTCTTCTTTTGCCTATTTTTGGCGGGAAAACATCTATTCTAAAGTAGGTTATTTGAGTTTAATAGGTTATTTGATGATTGGTGCAGCGTGAGCTGGATATCTTTCATATAAGGAAATAACAACTTTTCTGAGTAAACCTTTTTCCCCTTTGACTAATATTCTTATATTGTTTCTATATACACAACATTAGCAATTGATTTCTTAAATTTTTTTAATTTACATTAAATTATTGATAATGAAATTCCCTTAAAGCCTTTTTGTCTTTTATTTTCACAATAGTAAAGAATTAGAGAAATGAAAAGAATTTTAAGAAGTCAGAATCTTAATGTCATTCATATTAGAATTAAATTTCATATAAATATTAGAGAACAAAAAAAGAAATGATTCAATAGAATATATTAAAAGGATTTAATTTGAATTATTAATTAAGATGATGATAATCAATTCATATATCAGCATATTTATTAAAAATACAAAATTAAATAAATAATTCTGACAGAATATACTTTTGAAGTAATAATGAATATGAAAAATGAGAAAAGTCATGTCAATTTAATATATTAAATATAGTCTTATGGTTTATTTATAATATAATTGAACAGTAATTTTTTGTAAATTAATTCAAAAGAATTTAACATATAAAATTCAATCTATGGATTATAAATTGTAGAGGTATAATAGTTGGTATTGTAAAATATACTGGTTATATAAGAATAAAAATGATTATAAAATATAATTAATTGAATGATTTAAAAAAAAACAAAAGCGCTTCAAACAATAGTGAATTATAGAAATACTTCAAAGAAAAGATTTTAATAGAGTCCTTCAATGAAGAAACTAGATAAATCATCTAATCATAGTAACTTCTCTTTAAGAATAAAAACATGTTTAAATTATATTTAATAAGGAAGAATAAAGTATTTCCCCAAAAGCAATCTAAAAAACATCAGAGAGCTAGATGGATGAGTTACAAAATAAATCTACTATTCAGATAGTCTTCTAACATGAAGAAAAGCTTCATAATTTCTTATTTGCTTATGAGTATAATAATTTAATTTAAGATTAGAGCAACTACTGATTAATTGTTATAGTAAGCTCGTAAGATAGTTCCAACAATAAGTGCAGTAGTAACAACCAACTCCAATTTAGCCATCGATTATTATTTACAATTACAAAATTAAAAATTAAGTGTATTCCAAGGACGTATCATAACCGTTTAAGGAGTACCAGGATTATTAGCATTAAAATCTAAAACAGGATTAAGAGACTTTATATTTATAAAATGCATAGGAGTAGGGGGATTTTCAAGAGTTTATTTGGTTAAAAAGAAATAGTCTAGTCGATTTTATGCAATGAAAATAATTGATAAGAAAATAATTATTGAGAAAAAGATTGAAAGTACATAATACATTATATAGATATAATTGAGAATGAACGCAATATCTTAGCTGTGACTCAACATCCTTTTCTGAATAAATTAGAATATGCTCTTGAATGTCCTAATCATTTGATATTTATTACTGAATTTTGTGCAGGAGGTGATTTGCTCTATTATTTATAAAAATATCATGTATTTACAGAAACTCAAGCAAGATTCTATATAGTAGAATTCATATTGGGTTTAATATATTTACATCAGTTGGATATTATTTATAGAGACATAAAACCAGAAAATATATTAATAGATATTACAGGTCATATTCAAATTGCAGACTTTGGTCTTGCTAAACCAACAAGAAATGAATATGCTTATAGTTTTTGTGGAAGTCCTGAATATATGGCTCCAGAAATGTTAACTAATTAAGGACATAATTAATAATTGGATCATTATTGTTTAGGTGTTCTATTATATGAATTAGTGGTTGGTTAACCACCTTTTTATTCAGAAGATATAAATAAAATATATGAAAATATAATTTTAAAGGAAGTTGAATTTCCAAAAAATAATACTTTGAGTAATGAAATTAAGGATTTAATTATTAGATTATTAGATAAAGATTAAAAGAGTAGAATTGGACATTAAGGAGGTTTATTAGAAATATTAGATCATAAATGGTTTGAAAATGTTGATTTAATAAAATTCCTTTATAGAAAAGTAACTCCTCCATTTTAACCAGATATATTTAAACCACCAGCTTTATTAAAAGAATATAAAGATGGTGATTTAGATCTAATTAGAAGATTACTTGATAGAAATGTTTAAGGAACAACTATGTTTCAAAATTTTTATTATGATCAATCAGTTGAATTGGATATTAGATTAGAATAGTAAAAGTTCCTTAAATTCTATCATTAATTGATTGAACAATAAAATAGTAAGATGTAGAGAAGATAAAAAATCAAATTTATGAGAAAAAGCAGATTAGTATGACTATATGAACAATATTTAAATATTTATTAAATAAAATGGAAGTGTAAGAAAATAATATTCCTAATCTATAAAATGTGCCTATGATTACTGGCTAACCAGTTTAATAGGAAAATCAGTTAATATTGATTAAGGTTAATGCTGATATAGAGACAAAAAAACATGTGTGCATTCATTGGTGTTTATTTTTTGTTTTAGTTACTATTTTTGTATTGACATCTGTATTTATGCCAGACTCAACTAAATATGCATAAATGGAGAATCCTTGTTACTAAAATGATGAAGATCCTTTTGGATAAGGATCTTGGTTTGAAGAGAACAAATAATTATTGTAAATTTTTAATTGATTTTAATAGCTGTAATAAAAGTGGGGCTAATTATACAATTATTAGAAAATTAGATGAAAAAAATCAATTTTTAATTATTTATGGATAATTTAGTTTTTATATACCTTAAGGATATTAAATCTCCTATATAAATTATACAGCAACATTATTTGGATTAACAAAAGAATAAAAAGAAACAGGAAATCTAACTGAACATTTAATAGTAAGTAAAAATCATTCAATAACATCTAATTGTTAAAAGAATTTTAATGATTTATCAGATGAAGATAATGAAGAACATGAAGATCATGAAGATCATGATTAAACTAATGGAAATAGATTATTATAAAGAGATGGTAATCATAATCATAATCCTCCTCCTCCTTAAAATGATTATTATGATGAATATGGAAATTATGATCCTTAAATTTGTGATTGGAATGTTTTAGTATACATTCCAATCCTAGATTATAAAGATTACCTTTTTGTTATAAATTATTAATAATTTATGATTCCAAATCAAACAAATCAAGTCAAATTATCTTTATAAGCAATAACTGTTGATCCAAGATATTCAAATTCAGTTTTAGCAGTAAGATATACTTTTTTTGCATTTTCATTAATAACTCTTGTACTTTTTGGATTCAGAATTAAATAATTAACTATTTCAAATTGGGTCATTGAATAAAAGTTTGTTGTAGTATTGAGCTTTCTTTTACCTTGGTTTAATGATCCTCTTTATGCAGCTACTTTATTAGCTCCAAATAGAATCACTGCTGTAATTGGAGTTATATTTTTCAGTAATTTCATTTGTTGTCTCTTTCTTTATTGGTTAGTACTTTATCATAGAATTGTAGTAGAAAATGGAATTAAAGTGAGTGCATCACTAACTAAACCTAAGGTTATAGTATGCATTCTTTTATGGCTTTTTTTTGTTGTCTCTTATTCAATTTTAGTAATTTAATATTTCAAGGATCCAACTACTAGTTTTGATGATTTACATCATAGAGCTTATATGGCATTTAAGGTACTCTCATTTTTATTTTCCTTTGCTATTTTTGTATATTTACTAAAATATTTGATTTAATTTTGTAAATGTTATGAAAATAGAATATGGAGATATAAGTTGATTGGATTATTTAATATATTTTTCATGATGTGTTTAGGATTATTTATCTTATCTGGATCTTTTGAAATCTATAATCTAACTGGAACAGAAGTACTTATTTCTATTAGCATATTAAATTTATATGTCTATTATCAATAATATTTATGGAGTCCTAGTAAATAGGGATTGATAGAATAGACTACTCATGATCAAAATATAATAGTCAGTAATAGGGATTATGAAGAATTAGAAATGGATAATATCCATATTAATTAAGAGAATGTTGTAGATGAAAAATTTTAGGTTGAGGATGACAAGGTTATGTTGCCTGAATGATAATATATATATATATATTCAAAATCATTTTTTAATAATTAAATCTTAAAAATGAAAGAAATAAAAAGTGATTCTTTATCACAGATTACATTTTAAGATTAAAGTACAACAGACCTTATTATCTAATAACAATTATCATAATTAACTAAATAGAAACAGCGGCAGAACCAAAAGACAGTCAAGAAGGATAAGATTAATAAATTTAAGAATTGGAGTTAAGAAGACACCAAAAAATTTTTTAGAAGTCTTTAATTATTTGGAACTGATTTTTATATGATCAATTATTTGTTCAATGACAGAACTAGAACTCAATTAAAAGTATTTTATTTTATTTAATTATTCCTCTAGCGTAAATTTAAGAAAGAAAGAAATAATGCTGAACTCTAAGCATCCTTGAAAAAATGCAGAAGAACAAAAATTATGAAATTAAAAGAGAGATTATCTATTTTAAAGACAGAGCATCAATAAATTAATAAGGTTGAAACCTTAACTTAATTTACCAGGAAAAGATTCGAATCTCTGGCTAGTGTAGATAGTTTGGATATATAACTTGTGGAAGAACTGCGACAATTAGAATGACTTTTGTTATTAGTTTGTTTAATTAAGGCTCATATCAAGCCAACCACTATTATTTTAACAACGCAACTAATAAAATATATTTAATGAATATTCTTTATCAACGCATCTACAATTAGTTCTCAATAATAGCACCTTCAAATTTAACTTAGCAATTGGAATCAATATAAATAGATAAAGAATACATAACTAATATAATTGTCATTGTAGGAACACATGAATGTAAAAAGAAAACACATCATTTAAGAATAAATGATTAAATGCTTCTGAAAATCGAGAAAGATTCTACAAAACCTCCAATTACAGATTTATCATTCTATTATTTAGATATACATGAATAAAAGTTAAAATTGAATAATGATCTTAATATATGTACTATCCAAGAAGATGATTCTAAATGGCATTATTAAAATGGAAATTTAGATTTTACTTATGATCTCTCTAAAGTTTTTGGCTATTAATCTAATCATAAGACTGCTTTAATACTCTGTTATAAAACTGATCCAATGTAAGATCCTTGGAGTGATTTAATATTAATATAGAAGAATCAAGTATCTCCAGAAGGATTTTATAAATTACCCTAATCAATATAGAATAATTATTTAGCCTATTCATTGGCTAATACATATCACTCAGTCAAATATTAATATGAAATAACAGATTCATATCCTTAAAATAATGATAAACCAGAGGTGGCAATGTTTTGTTTTCCAAATGGCATATCCCTTTATAGAAATAACTAATTTCCTAAATATAATCATTATATTCTGACTTCAGAAACTGGAGAACGTACTTATTGTACTGCATTAATATTTTGTGAATAAAATTTGTAAGGATTTCATGAAATGGCTATTGTGTTATCATCCCATTATTGTTATTCAGAATAATCATTGGAATTGCTTAAAAATTTATATTAAATTTATATAGCTAAAAATGTTTTGCCTTTAGAAAGGTATATTTGTAATATAGTTGATGAAATTGTTCTTCCCCAAGATCCAACTGAAACTTATATTTATAATGGATCTAAATAGATATTCTTCTATTAATCAAATTGTTTTCCATTGTGTTCAAATTAAGCTTTTTAATGTCTATTTGCAATGTTAAATAAAAAAAATATTGTGTTGTTGTATTTTGCATTACTTTATGAAAAGAAAATTCAGCTTATAAGTTCCAAACCTGTAATTAGTTCATTGGTAATTGAGGCTTTATTGACTCTTTTATATCCATTTGAATTTACACATATTTTGATTTCAAGTTTACCTGAAGATTTAGAGTAATATCTTGAAGCACCACTACCTTACTTAATTGGAATTAATAAAAAATAAGCTGAAAAATATCCAGATGCTATTTAAGTATTTTTGGATTCAAATAATATTAAACAAAGTTAACCAATAGATGTTCCTGAAGATATTTTTGATAAATTTGTATTAAAATTAAAGGAATTTGATAAATATTACAATCCATAATTGATTGATACAATTGGTGATGCATTTCCTATGCCTAGAGAAGATGATATAGAAATGATTGATCAATATTAAGTAAGAGAAGTATTTTTAAGATTCAATATTTTCTTATTAAATGATTATAAGAAATATATTGATAAATAAAATTTTAAGGAAAAGTTGTTTATTAAAAGTAAATAAAGAATCAAAAATTTTTTGGAACCTTTTATGGAGACAAGATTATTTAATTTCTTTATTCAAGAGAGAATGTAACTCTCATAAAATGATAGTTAATTAGAATATTTTGATGATTGTCTTAAGAATCCAAAGGGAGATCATTTTACACTTCCAGTATAAATATTTAAAGATTATTTACAACCAAATGATGAAGGTTTTAAAAAAGAAAAACATTTTTAATATTGTACATTTCCACTTAAATTAAATGACTAGTTTTTTTCAAAACCAAGATTAGAATTTTTAAAACATGAGAATCCATTTTCTGTTCATCTGTTTCCTAAAACATAAATTGATATATTAAGGTTTGAATTGTCTCACATTTATAAATAATGGTTTAGATGTTTAGTTTATAAGATAGAAGAAGGTATAATAGAACTTATGGATTTAGTTAAATATAGTATTCATCTCTTAAAAGAAATGAAATAAAATAATTTGTATATTGATTCAGATATCTTTAAAAATGCTATGATTGCATGTGCTCATTATAAAATGAATGATTTAGCATTATAATTTATATAATAAATGAGAGAATTAGGTTATTAGAAACAGATTTAAATTTATTAATATTATTTTTAGACTCAATAAAATAATAAAAAATAAAAAAATATTAAAAAAAATACTTAATAAACTGGTAATTTAAGTAGTGGATCTTTGAGTAATAGATAAGCAGAATATAAATTTTATTTAGATGCCAAATGTCCAAGATGTGGTAGACGATATGTAATAGAAGATATCTTGGCATCTTTTGTAAAAGATCATTTAGAATGTAAATCTAATGGTACATTGGGATGTAATAATACGTTTGATGCTTAATTATATTTCAATGATGAAGTTCATTATCTAAAAAAACCATCAAAAGTAGAAAAAAGTAATAAAGTAAATAATATGTTTTACTTTTATTTGATTGGATTACCATATAAATTTATAAAGAATTAATCAGATGATGATATTGTATATAGTTCAAAGAAGATACCAATTTATATAGATTATGGAGATTTTTATACTGATGAAAATGATGATTGCAATGTTAATTATATATAGAAGGTTGTTCATGAAGTATTTGGTATGTTTTTGGAAAGAATGAAAGATATTATTTCTAAATAGGAACTACCAAAAGGGAAACATCAAAGAAGAGTATCTGACTTATCAGATTGAATATATTTCATAATATATTATATCAATTAATTATTTTTGTATATATATATTATGCAATATAAATAGTATTTTGATAAATTGAAATATCATAAATTAAGATATTTTAATTAATTTTGTTTTAATAAATAATATAACTCTATCATCTACCTAAGTAATAAAATTGTAATAATAATTACTAGGAAGTTAATTTGAAAGACATATAAAGATGTTATGATAATACGATTTGATTATATAAATATGAAAATAATGTTTAATTATTATTTATAAAATGGGAGTTTGTATAAGTAACAACTAATAAGCATAAACAGAAATTACAATAGATTAAATGATACCAGTATAATTGAATAAATCTGATCAATCCTTGAGTAATTTAGTAGTTGAAGTAGATCAAATATAAATAATTATTTTAGCCAAGGAGAGGAGACAGGAAACGTTAAGCCAAAATTGAAGTAGTTGAGGAACAAATTCATGAGAATGTAATTAAATAAGAAAAAGAGAAAAGTCCTTTTGATTTTCAAATGATTTTGAATGCATTTGGCAATCATTTTATGTTTGCTCAATTGGATAATAATGATAAGTAATGATAATGGTAATTCAGAGCAAAATTAATACATGAAATGTATTATGTTACAAGTAAAGATTAAGAGTTCATATTTAAATAAGGTGATAAAGCAACATTATTTTTCATAATTGGTAGATTTGATAATTTATTCATTAAGAAAGAGGCTAATGTTAGATAATAATAAATGAAGATAAAAAGAAAGTATTAAAACAATCTGAATTTTTTGGAGAATTGGCTTTAATGTATCATGCTCCTCGTTCTGCTACTGTAATAGCAATTGGAGATTGTGGATTTTGGGTTTTAGAAAGGAATAAATTTAGAAGGGCTGTTGAAGATATATAATAAAAAGCATATGAAATAAATAGAGAATTTCTAATCTAAGTAAAATTTTTTGGTAAAATTATTAAAGTCATTATAGATTTCATGACAGAAGAATAAAGAGATAGTATTGCTAATGTCTTAATCACATTAAAATTTAAGTAAGGAGAATCAATAGTAAATGAGGGTGATATGGCAAATTCATTTTATATCATTTAGAAAGGAACTGTATAAGTGACTAAATAAGGAAAATTCTTAAGATATATGAATTAAGGAGATTCTTTTGGTGAATAAGCTCTATTTGGTAATTGTTTAAGAGGAGCAACTGTAAAGGCTCATGATTCAGATGTTAATTTATTATCTTTGAGTAGAGAAGATATTACAACTATATTGGGAGAGAAGATTCAGGTACAGTATATGTATTATTTAGTCACATAGTTAATAATTTATACCAATATGCAGAAATGGGCATTTGAAAAACATCCATAATTAAGAGATTTAACAAAAATGTAAATCTAAAAGATTGTTTCAAATTTTAAGATAAAAAATTATGAGAGTAATGATTACATTTTCAAAATTAATTAATTGGTAGATAAATTAATTATCATTCTCGATGGATAATTAGAATTTGAAGGTTAATTATATAATAATGGTTAATTATTTGGAGATAAATATTTATAAATGGATGAATAATAAAGAAAAATCAATAATGATATCAAAACTACTAGAAAAACTACATTATCAGAACTTTCATATAATTAGTTTTTTGAATGTATAGGAGGTGAATTAGAAATTGTTGTTAAAAAAAACAAAGATCGTGTTTGTGGTTCACCATGTTCTTTGGAAAAAAAACAAAAAAGCAATTACTCCTTGCTTACTTTAGAAGATTTAATTGGATTAAAGTTATTAGGGGAAGGAACCTTTGGAAATGCTTATCTAGTTAAAGATATTCCATAATAAAATATGCATGTTATGAAATGTATACCTAAAGTCAATATCATTGCTAATAATACAGAAAGACACATTAAAAATGAAAAATAAGTTTTAGAATTACTTAATCATCCAAATTTAGTGTGTTTTCGTAGATCATTTAAAGATTAGAATTACATATATTTATTAACAGACTATATTTAGGGAAAAGAATTATTTCATGTTATCAGAGAAATTGGATTATTGAATTCTTATGAAACCTAGTTTTATATTGCTTAAATAATAAATATCTTAGAGAAAATGCATTCTTAACATATTATATATAGAGATGTCAAACCTGAAAATTTTATTGTTAGAGAAAATGGTTATATCAAATTGATTGATATGGGTACAGCCAAAGTTTTAAAATCAAAGGCTTCTAAAACTTATACAGTTGTTGGTACTCCACATTATATGTCTCCTGATATATTGAAAGGTAAGGGTTACAGTTTCTCAACAGATCTATGGTCATTAGGAATATGTTTCTATGAACTAATGTGTGGAGAAGTACCATTTGCTGGTGATGAAGAAGATGATCCGTATTATATATATTTATTTAGATTTTTAATAGAGGAAGCTATTTTAAATGGAAAATTGGAGTATCCCTAAATTTTGAAAGATTTCAAAGCTATCAAATTAATGGATCAATTAATGAATCGAACACCAGAATTAAGATTGGGAGGGTCTTATGATGCCTTAAAGGTGCATCCTTGGTTTGATGGTTTCTAATGGGTAATCCTCTATTATTATTATAATTTAAGGAAGATTTAGAAGCTATGCAGATTAAACCACCTTATATTCCAAAATTATAATAAATGATTTATGAAAACATACCTTTTCTAGACATGATTAAAAGAGATACTAATCCAGAGATGATTTGTACTTAATAGGTAGATTGGGATTAAGATTTTTGAAAGGTATTTCCTCAACATATTGATATGTCTTTTCTTATATTTATTTATTATCATTTTTTAACTACCTTATCTTTCAACATATTATATAATGTTTATACAATCCATAAGAATTTATCAACTGAAAAATACTTAAGATTGATTAGTTTATTTTATATAATAATAAAAGTTATGAATTAAAGAAAGAGAGTTAAAACTCTGTTAGATTATAATAAAATTGAAAGAGATTTACCTAATAGTGAATTAACAGAATAAGAAAAATCTATTGTGGGTTTAGCTATAAGAGAAAGAAAGTTTAATCTAAGAACAAGAATTAAATCAGTTAATTCAAAAGCAGAATTCTGCAAAAATTATAGAGAGTATGAGGATAAGATGAAACTATCAATCGCATAAATTGTTGATTTTGAATACAAATAATCTAGATAAAGTGTGTCAACTGTTAAACATAGAGGTTAATTTACAACAATATTTTCAATTCCAAAACCTAGGTATGATCCATCTATTGTCTATGGATCATAAAATAATAAAAGAGTGGTTAATATAAAGGAAATACTTAAAAAGCTATGATTAATTAAATTTTAAATTAAATCATATACTACAATCCTTAAATCATCTTCTGTTGCTCAATTTTGTTGTTGTTCTGGAGAGACATAAAAGATTTCTTAAATTTTAAATATCATTAAGAAAATGTCTTTTAAAAGTACTAATCGTTTTACATTATGATTGAAAGTAACACTTCTTAAAAGAATTATTAAAATAATTAAAGGTATCAATAAGATATTCAATAAATAACATTAAAAATAATTATTTACAAGTAATCTATAGCATCAAATATATTTTCAGTATTATAGTATTACAGTATTAGAGATATTAATAAATATAATAATAAATCATTTTGTGATGTCATTGTAATATAGACTAAATAATTTATATCTAATTGGAATTTTAACAATCTATTTGAATCAATCTAGTTAAATAATTTGGAATAAAAGGAGATGAAATATCTTACTAAAAGTTGGATATATTAAATAGATATATATATATATATATGCTTTTTAATTAATAATTAAATAAATAAATCAATAAATAATAAACATATCATGGATCAAGATGTCTTTCTGAGAAAATAATGGTTTATTATGACACATGAAGGAAAAATTGAATAATTTTATGATATCAATTTAAAAAAAGTGATAGGATCAGGAACTTATGGAAGTGTAGTTAAGGCTACACTGAAGGGTACAAAGAATTAGAGAGCAGTGAAAGTGATTCCAAAAAGCAAAGTGAAAAACCCTGATCGTTTCAAAAAAGAGATTGATATATTGAGATAATTAGATCATCCAAATATCATTAAATTATATGAAACTTTTGAGGATCAAAGAAATGTGTATTTGGTGATGGAGTATGATATTTTAATGAATTATAAAGATTATGTGAAGGAGGAGAATTGTTTGATCGTATTATGGATAAAGGATACTTCAGTGAAGCCGAAGCCCATGAAATCTTTCTTTAAATAATGCAAGTGATATTTTGAATCATATAATTTAGGCACTTAATTATTGTCATACAAATGGAATATGTCATAGAGATCTTAAACCAGAAAACTTCTTGTTTTTGACTAAGGCTGATGATTCACCCATTAAAGTAATTGATTTTGGATTGAGTACATTATTTGAAGATCCAATAAGTTAAAAAGCATCTGGAAGTCAAAAAGTTACAATGAAAACTAAAGCAGGAACTCCATATTATATTTCACCAGAAGTATTAAAAGGAAGTTATGATGAATCTTGTGATATATGGAGTGCTGGAGTGATTCTCTATATTTTATTATCTGGAGTGCCTCCTTTTTATGGTGATAGTGATCCTGAGATATTGGATGCAGTTTAAAAAGGTGAATATACATTTGAAATACCTGAATTAAAATAAGTCAGTGATTCAGCTAAGGATCTAATATCTCATATGATAACAACACCAGAAAAGAGATATAAGGCATCATAAGTGATATAACATAAATGGATGAAGGATGGTAGTAAAAATACTAAATGTAAATTAAATATATAAATTGTAGAATTAAAACTAAATTTTGGATAATTGAAAAACTTTAATGGAAGTAATAAACTTAAAAAGGTTGCTCTAACATTCATTGCTTCTTAATTAAATGAATAGGAAATTGCTGATTTAGGAAAGTATTATAATATATTAAAATAGATTATTTAAATAATTGGATAAGAATGGAGATGGTGTACTTACAATAGATGAACTAAGGGAAGGATTAATTGGAATGAGTGATGTTTAAGCAAAAGAATTAGGGAATATTATTAAGAGTATAGATACTGATGGTAATGGAACAATTAATTATACAGGTATATTTATATATTATTATAATTATTAGAATTCTTGGCAGCTACAATGGAGAAATCTTTGTATATGAAGGAAGAGAAATTATATTAGGCATTTAAGATGTTGGATTTAGATGGAAGTGGTAAGATAGATAAACACGAATTGTAGACTGTTTTAGGAAGTATAATATTTATATTTATTCTATAGAAAGTGAAAAAATTATAGATGAAAAGTATTGGGATGATATGATTAAGGAAGCTGATAAGAATGGGGATGGGGAGATCGATTATAACGAATTTATTGAGATGATGGACAAGTTTAGTTTAATAAATTGATCAATTATTTTATTATTATAAATTTATTAATATGACAGAACCCAAAGCACAATATGACGAATTGTATAAAAGTATATAATTTCTAATTTTTCATAGTTATTTTAGTTGGGGATTCAAGTGTTGGGAAGACTAGTTTTTTGATTAGGTAGGAATTTAAATTCAAATTAGATTAACCAAAAATGTTATAAAAAAATAATCATAACCTACAATAGGAGTTGAATATGCAGCCTAATCTATATTACTTGCAGATGTAGACAAGATTGTAAAATCTGTAATTTGGGATACTGCTGGAGCTGAAAAATACAAAGCTATTACAACAGCTCATTATCGCAAATCTGAAGGAGCATTATTGTTTTATGATTTATGTGATAGAAATTCATTTGATAATGTTTTAAGTTGGCGTTAAGAAGTAATATAAATCAATTGATTTCAAGATTTTATAGCATACAGATGATAAAATAATGATTATGTTAATAGGAAACAAATTAGATTTGTTGTAAGATAATCCATAAAATCGATGTGTTTCTGTTGAAGAAGTAGAATAAATCTGTTAATAATATAATATGTTATATAATGAAACTTCAGCTAAGGAAGGAACAAATGTTAAAGAATGTTTTGAATAATTAATTAGGAGTAATATTATGTACAAATTCATAAATTAGAAATATATGAATCAAAATCATAAAATATAGAAGAAGAAATACCAGGTTAAAGATATGAAATAGATGATATAAAATCTGAAAAGAAAACTTAAGAATATGCTCAACCAAATATTTTAGCTGTTCCAATTAAATAAAATAAAGACACTTCTGACACTTGTTGTGGAACTTCTTGATTATAAATTATCATTAATTAAATAACTGCTTTAATAAATCACAACTACTTTCTATTAATGGTTTTATAGCAGGCACTGCAAAAATTGGTACTTCAAAATTCAAAAATCCATGATTTATCCCATTATATATAAGCATTCTAAATTACTTATCTAACTTTCTTAATCTATTAACAAATTTTATTGTATCTCCAGTCAAACTATCTAATTAACCACACATAATTGTCATTTTAGGTAATCTAAAAATATTTAATTGTAATTACAATTATAAAAATGAATCATCAGCTATTAATGGACTTAAATAAGGATCAACATTTGGTTTTGCATTTGTATCTTTTAAGTACTCATGTAAAGCTAATTTTAATACAGTTGCTGGAGCTACTTAATCAATTAATCCTTATAATAAGTATGGATTAAAATTATTTAAATCTAAATTAACAGCTGGATAAGCCATTAATAATCCATCAGGAATTCTGATACCATATTTTATTGCTCTAAAACAAACTCCCAATGCCATATTACCACCAGCCGAATCTCCTGCTAATATTATTTATTCAATTGTTATATTTAAATAGAATTGACTAAAATTTATGATCCATAAATATAATTGCCATACATCCTCTAATGCATAAGGATATCTATATTCAGGAGCCAATCTATAATCTATCGAGAATATTATAGTATCATCTCCTAAATAATTAGCCCATTTCCTTGTATAAGATTAATGACTAAATGAAGACATGGCTACCCATCCACCACCATGAATATGTAAAATTACTTTTTTTATATTTGTATTTTTATTATTCTATTGAATAATCTGACTTATCTAATGATGTTCTGAACTTATTTCAACTACTTTCTAAACTAATGAAGTATAATCAACATTTTTGTTTAGAATTACTTTATTTGCTGATATAATTCTCACTTTTATTTTTTATTATTTTTATTTTATTAATAACTCCTTAGCTTAAAGTTTATTGAAAAGATCATCTAACATTTTGAAACCCTTAAATTTCTCTTAAACATAAGTATTATTATCATGATGATATTTAAATTATTAATCATCAAATAAAAAGGGAACATGAATTTTTAGATGTGATTTTACCTTACAATTAGTCAGTTTCATAAAATTCTTGAAAAATGTTGAATTGTTTTGTATACTCCACAATCCCTTAACAAATGAGAGTGATGGATTAGTAATTTCTTTAGTCTTTATGTTTCTTGCTGTCTATTTCTTTACTAACATAACAGCCCCACCCACATTCTAAACAATCAAACTAATCAATGAGTTTGAATACTTTGTTCCCAAAGTACAATAAGCTGCTCCCATTGCTATATAGTCATAAAATTAATCAAATTATTTAGACAACGATAGTGGATCATCTAGCTTATTTTAAATTTTTCATTATACATTAACATATTCTATATATCGATTTAATTAAATCCATTCATCATCAGTTTAAGGTTTACAAAATAAGTCATCTAAAGGTACCTTTATTACATTTGGTATGAACTCTCTTATCTAATTTATAGATACAAACATTACCAACGATAGTCTCTTAATTACGTAATTAAAATTCAATTCATATTTTTTTATTTCCTTAACGACATCTTGACAATTGAATATAGTGTCTAAGTCTTACAAAAATGGATGTATGATCTTGTCTGTAATGAAGACTAAACATTGTTCATAGAGAGGGTGATTAACTTGATGAAGTTCTAATACCTTCTGACACTAATTTATTTCATTGATCCATTCTTATTGACCTTCTATTTGACTAAGTAGAAGCTAACATTTTTAGAGAAAATAAAGTGTATTGCATATAACATTATCATTCATTGTTTTTAATAATATTCAATAATATTATTAAAACATATAATTTGAATAGATATTTGGTATTAATTAATTTATATTAAATGATAAAATATCATATAATATTATATAAATTAATTAATATTAAGAAAATATAAAATTAGATGATCATATTCTGAAAGTCAAAAAATAAGAGAAGGAACATATTTGATTACACAATTATTCTGAGTTACTTAAGTATTTAATTATCAAATTTTATTTGGACTTTATAAATAAAATAAACATTAGAATTTCTCTTAATTAATAAAAATTAATTATTAAATAATAGTCTATATATTATAATATTTGTTAAAATAGTATTTAAGTATTTACTATTATTAAAAATGTTTTGCAAATAAAATTTATTAATAATGAATTAGAAATTGATTAGGTTTAGTCTTTAGAACATAAACTAGATAAAATTATTATTTTTAAATTAATTAGCTAAGGCTATAGATATTTTATCTAATTTTAATGAGATATAATATATAAAAAAAATTTGTCAATCTGTTAATATAAGTTTGACTATTGATTCGCGTATTCCAGGCAATGTATCTAAATTATGATTGGAAAATGATTTCAAAATTCTTTCAATATTTGTATGACATTGTTAGACTGTATAAACTCCTTTGTATTATTGTTATTTTGTTTATAATGTTTTGCAATCAGACCGCTATAAATCTGTTGAATCTTCATCTTCACTAACTGAAATGTCAAATTGTTCAGATCCTTCTTTTGAACTATTCAAATCATTTGGAGATGATATTACATCCACTGATGAAGCATCTTCTTACAATTTGATTTTCTTTTATTATAATAACTATTTAAATCATTATAATTTTTTACATATTAATATCTATCTATGCAGCTTTAAGGGTTTTTCTCTTAAAATCTAGGAGTGATTTAATTCCATGCTCCTTTGTATATTTTGTAAGCTGTCCATAACATTTTGTCATCCATGGCATTCCAGACATTCTGATATTAATTTTACACTTATTTCTAATATTATTCTCTCTTCTATTGCTATTATTATTGTTATTGAATTTGTTATAATTTATTTGGTTGTTTAGCTAATGCTTCTTAAAATTATTATAAATGCATTGATTCACTAGAGGAATCCTCATTGTAATCAAATTTAGGATTATATTTTCTAGGTATTTCTTTCCTTTATTTCAATTATTTCTTCATCTTTTATAAATGGCTATCTTTATCAGAGAAGTCTTCTCTAGCTAAAGCTTCCAATCTCATTAATGTTTCTTCCTTCTAATTATATATAATTATATAATATATACATGTTTGAGTATTTTCCATCTAGCTTAACATTGTCTAGAGTCTTTAGATGGAATTTCATCTTAAATTTTAGTCCATTGAGTTCCATATTTTCTTATTGCTTTTAATAGTAACTCGTCTTCAACTTCCTTCCATTTTTTTCTTGCTGGCAAATGTCTATTTCTTTCATGTCCATCATTCTTTTAACAGAAATCTAAGAATTCGTTAATCATAAATAATTGAATGAGTCTTCGTTCACATTATCACTTTATTAGAAAATTTATATAATGATTATTTTATTTAATATATAAAAAATATTATAATTATATTTGTTTCAAATAGAAAATTTTAACATCATTTAATAAAAGAAGTGTAATTGCAATTAAATTATGGTCTCAATTCAAATATTAAAAATCATATAAATAATATCAAATAATCATAATGATGATATCATCTATTAGATTAATTTAGAATAAAATATTAAATTCTTAGAAATTGATTAATATAATTATGCAGTAAATATATAAATCTCAACTAATATTATTTGATCTTTTAACAACTCTTTATAATATATCAGCCAAATTATTTAGCTCGGATATGTATCTAAAAATAATTAATAGATTTAATACCCTCTTGGAATTGAATTAACTTCTTAAGTTGATAGAGATTAGAAATGGGAAGTCATTCTGACAATATCTGTTAAGGGAAATTTCTCAACATATCTATTTGACAATTAAGGAGAATGATTTCTTTAAAAAGTAGTTTATTTAGGAGGATTGAATGTGTCCTTAAAAGAAAAAGATTATTTTTGATTATCAAATAATGTATTCTTATTAGTTTTAGAATAAAGAAAATTAGATTGATTGTTATCAAACAATCCTTTTTAAGCTTCATTGACATATTTATAAAATCCTGGTTTGTCTCCAGTTGAAGAAATTTTATTTGTGATTGACTTATTTTAAAGAATCAATTAGACATCTAAACGATTATCCCAATTCTTAAATCTTTCTAATTTTTCTTTTGATTTTTATGGGGAATCTTTATATCCTGATCCAAGAGTATTCTATCTAGCAGGTTTAGGAAATGATGTAAATGAATTATCAAAGTAATCATTTTTAGGTGATCTTTTAAATAATTATTCAACTTTGTCTTTATTATGTTTTGTTTATGGTCCTTTATTAGTAAAAATTTCTTCATAATTCAATCCTCCAAGAAGTTTTGACTTTTTGGGTGATTTTCTATTGACTTTTTATTATTCTCTAAAATGATGTTAAAATAAATAAATACAATACTACTTTCTCTGCTTTACTCCATGAAGCAAATAAAGATGAGGATTTTTCTTATGGTTAAGTAAAAGGTTCTCTAGATGAGACATTTGTTCTTATATCTCTTCTGTAATCAGCCAATTATTTTGTATTCATTTAAGTAGTAGCTTAGAAGGTAGTAAATCCAGTTGAACTATTTGATTTTTCATATCTGGATTGCTTTTATGGTGAAAATAGTGAAGGTGAACGCATGTTAAGCAAATATAAGTTATAACAAACAAAAATTAATAATAAAAATTATTTTTAATAAAAACTCATTTACACCAATCAAACTAATTATCAACAGTTATTCTTTCCTATTAACAAATATTTTCAAGTAATCCTTTCAAATATTTATAATTAGGTTCTTCTTCAAATTCTAAATTTCTTGCATGTTTTAATATTAAACCAAATTCTTTTGGAACTCCTTTACATAATTCATCATAAGTAGTGGTCATCTTTTTTTCCATTATTCTTTCATATCTTATAATTATGAATATATTATATAATACTTTTCTCTTTTATTTTTTGCTCTCATATTTTACCATGGTAAAGTTGATTTGAGAAAATAAAATAATACATATGCCATACATTCAATATCATCTCTTCTACTTTATTCTAACAAATATTATCTAATACTTATTACCTACACCTAAATGAGTATTTAAACTACAATATCTAGCTGTTCCAGTCAATGTCTTGGATTCTCTATAAGGTATATGTCCATTCTCTTTTATGAATCGTTTTGCTAATCCAAAATCTAAAATGTATATTTTATTTTATTTATTGACTTTCCCAATTAAAAAGTTATCAGGTTTAATATCTCTATGTATGATACCTTTAGAATGAATGAATTCAATTCTCTCTAAAAATTATAATCCAATCATAACAACTGTTTTTAAAGAAAACTTTTTTTTCTTTGACACAAATATTTCTTCTAAAGATGCCCCTAATAGATCCATAACCATAAATGTATAACCACCTTCTTCTGATGTGTAATAGACATGTGGTATTCCTCTATCGATACTTTAATTATCAGCTAATAATCTTTTATAAATCTCATGTTCATATCTCAATTAAGGACATTAAGAAGAGATAGGTTCTAATTTTATAGCTACTTCAATGTTATTTTTTGTATTCACTCCCAAATATATATCTCCAAAAGCACCAGAACCTAACTTTTTTTTTAATTCAAAGTTTTATCCAATTTTTTGCATTAAAAGCTTTTTAATAATTATAAAAATGTTCTTATTAAACTAATCATTTATGAAATATATGTATTTGTATATTATATTAAATAATCTATTAATATATATATATAATTAACTGTATAATAATAATTGTGTTAAATTGATAAACGAAGAAATAATCTAATAAATTAATATTACAAAATCAAATTTCGATATGATTTTTTAATTGAAAAAATACAATCAATTCTATAATGATAACAACAATAGAGCCACCTAAATAAATGTATTTAATTAATTAGGTTTATTTAGTACTATTAGTTAATTATAATTATTGCTGTTTCTTTTATTCATATGAAAAGTATTATCCCAATATCATACATTAAATTCCAAATAAAAGAGAACCAATCATTAAAATTCCATGAAACTTTAGACTTGTTATATACATTACAGATAATACAATAGCTACTTTAATTAAAGTAAGACCATAATCTTGACTCACTTGAAGATCAAAATAAAATTATAATTATTATTATGCTGAACATTTTTCTTGCTTATAATATTGAATATTTACATAACATTTGTTGTTACAAATATAAAGCATAACCAATTGCCCCTACATGAAATGAACCACAAACTCTATTATAATTAAATGACATTTATATACCCAACTTATTAACTAACAATAGCTTAAAATAGAGTTGAAGAGATTCCACTCATAAAATATATTAACATAGTATTCTTAAATCCAATATTATGTTCAATAAAGGAGAAGAAATGCATTTTAAACAGTAATGAAAAAAATAAATGAGTTTCGTTTTTATGTTGTTCTAGACTCAATAATAATCTCCAGAATTCTGATTTTGTATATATGGGATATAATTGACCAAAATTAAATAGCACTTTTTAATGTGGTCTCAAAGTAAACATTTAGGTTTATTGATATGTTAACGAAAGGAAATAATGTATAAGATCAATAATAATTATCCAATAAGTGAAACTGTTTCTCTAATTAAATTAGATTCTTTACTTTCAATAATGGACAAATTGAATAATGAAGCATTTAAAGGAATGATTCTTATCTAGGATTTGACTAAATTTAAGAGTTCATTTTTTTTTATTATATTTATTTTAATATCACCATGGAAATTATTTACAAAACTAATTTAAATAAAACATGAACCTTTTTACAGAATTTGTTAATCTTCATTATTCCCTTTCCCCTTAACAATAAGAACTTTTACAAGAAATTAAAAATGAAAACTTAATATATCCAATTGAAGAATAAGACAATCAATTTAAATTTAAAGAACTCCTAGACTCCTATTTAGATTCCTATAACAAAACTTAACCTCCAAAAATTAAAGATCCTATCAATAAATTTCATTAACCAATATCAGATTGGGTTGATTAACCTGTTTTCCTTTGGGAAATCCCTCAGAATGTCTTAGACCAATTAAATAGAGGATACTTTAGATTATAAAACATAAGACATAATCATGGTTCTGAAACAGTTATTTTAACTTAATAACTTAAAGCAACCTAAGAAAATACAGAAAAATCATGTTTCTAAATGAACTTATCAAAATACTTTGATTATTTACATGATCCAATAGAGTTCTTTTTAAAAAATAAGTAATACAATCAAAACAAATTGCTATCTTTATTTGATTTATAAATTGAGAGTTGGGAAGAAGAGGCATATAAATTATATGAATATATGCCTTAATGCTTTTTAAAAGAAGATGGATTAAGTTATTTAAGATAGAAAATTAAAAATATTAATGAACTTTTACTAAATATAATGACTCCAGGAAGTTGGTAAGGAGCAAAACAAGAACCTGGTGCAATAAATCGAATTAATTTAAATCATGGACCTGGAGATTGTTTATGGATTGTTGTTGATCCAGAACATATTGAAAACTTGTATTAAAATGAAAAATAATTTATCCTATAATAAGGTGATTAGTATTTAAAAAGAGAATTATTAAAGAAATATGATATCCCTTATAAGAGATTCATATAAAAACCAGGTGATCTAGTTATTTTAGGAGCAGGATCTTTGTATTAAATTGAATGTTTATCTACAGCAATTACAACAGGTTGGAGTTATTTGGCTATGAATTCATATTCATATCAACAAATGATAAAAAGAGAATAGATGAATATCAAATATAAAATAAAACCTGAAATTCCTATAAAAAATCTATTTTTGGATATTTTTATTCATAATAAGAATGAATAATTAAGAATTTATCTATAAGAATTAATAAATTAAGAATATAAAATAGTAAGAGAATTGATATAAAAGAAAAAGGTTTATAATCTTGATATAAATTATTAAATGAGAAAACATAGTTTTTGTACTGAATGCAAAGAGGAAATATTTTTATTTTGTTATCAAAATTAATAAAAAGTCTTATGTTTAAAATGTGATAAAAATTATTAGGTTCAAAGTAAATACAACATAAATATTTTATAACTTATTTTATCCTCTTAAGATTAAATAAAATGCTCTAATCATTATTGTACATAATCAGAACAATAAAATATAAAATGTACAGCTAAATTTAAATAATCAAAAAAGAAGAAACCTAAAAGTCCATAATCATTGAAAGAGAGTTCTACTTCTAATATAGAAAATGTACTCAGATAAAAGAGTTATATTTAAGAAGAAGAAAAAGAATCTAATTAATAAAAACAAATAAAGAAATAAGTTAAAAAATAACATAATCGTGAAAAAAAAGTTAAATTTGAATTAGGTGAATTAAATAAAGAATACAAATCTTAAAAGAATGAAATTAATTTAATGAAATAAATCTAAGAATCAAAATAAGTATAAAATCAAGAAAAGATAATTGATGATAATAATAAAGTAATTTAAATTATAGATGAACCTCCAAATCTTAAGACATATGTAATTACAACAAGAAAAAGATAGTAAATATTGGAAATTTAAAAAGATGAAGAATTATTAAAAAAAAAATAAATATCTACTAAACCAATAATTAAATCAGATAAACAAAAATAAAAATTCACATCTATTTATAATAAAGTAAGATTATCAGAAGAAGAAATGAATGAAATTTTAGGACTTTAAAATTAGTAAAAATAAGATAGAATTTATAAAAAAGGAGAAAAAATATTAACACTTTGAAAATATACATTCATAAATACATATATATATATATATATGGATATCTATTAAATTTATTTTATTAAATATTTTTGTATTATATAAAAAAGAGATTAAATAAATACAAAATATTCTCATTCATTTTAAATATTTAATACATTTTAAGATTATGAATGAATTGCATGCTAAGATAAATGTCTTAAAAACTTAGGTTTTTCCTTTTTTGTAAATTATGATGATTTTCTCTATTTTTATTCTTATATTTAATTATTTGAATTAATTTAATGTTAATCGTTTGGTTTAAGTTTCAAATTAGATAATAATATACTTTAATCTGAAACTTATTACTTTGAAAAACCTGTATAATCAGATATTACTCTTTTTCTCTTATCTTCTGCATCATTTATATCTATTGTTTTTATTATACTAGCTGTCATTCTAGCTTATCTAATAAATTAAATTATTTTTTATTTACACAGTTGATTGATCATTTTCTATCTATGAAGCATTAAATGGATTTGAAAATATACTTTATTTTCTGAATCTTAATCTCCAATCACTTTACTTTACTAATTAAACAAAACCAAGATTAGCTTAAAATATTTCTTATTTCTCTTATTTCTCTTATTCCTTTTTTTTTATTAAATCTTTTTTCGAACTTAAACTTAATTCTTATTTACACTTCGAACAACCCAAATTTGATCCTAAACTAATTTATATAAACCTTATAATATACTTAAATAATTAAATAGCAAGTTAAACATTGTTTTCTGTTTAAGCTATTTTCCCTCTATAATAAAATGTTAAATTCTCAACTTTATTCTAAATTTAATCTAAAGAATCCAATAATTAAAGAAATTCTGATATATTAATTTAATTATTAACTAAATTATTATATTTGCTTTCTAAAATAAGTCTAGTGCAGTCTATATTACCCTTCATTGCTCCTTATTCTAATATCAATTCTGCCATAATTTAATTTGGCTACAATTCATCTTTAATACCTTCAATTAATATTTTGGCCAAATCATAATAGGCAGGCAAATAATCATTATTTTTAGCTTCCAATAACAATGGATATACTAATTATATTCTATTCTATAAAATATTAAAGATAATTACTTTGTAAATGGAAATTTTGTACATCTTTTAATATAATTTTGCTAATTTATATTTGGCTTCTACATTATCTTATTTGTTAGCCTCTTTGAAATAAATTTCAGATGTTGAGTAATCACTTTCCAAAGTAACTTTATATATTAAGTATTTATACAATCATCTAATTTGTATCCTTAATAATATAAATCTCCTAAATATATCATTGATTCAACATGTCCTGATTCTGAAGCTATTTTCAACATAGAAATTGCAAATTGGCATTCATCACATCTAGAATTGTTAGTAATATCGAATTTACTGGTTGATTTTTAGGCTTCTCCAAATACTTTATTTTATACTTTACCTTCCTTATAATAATTAAAAAATATATTTTTACTAATATTAGTTTTGACATAAAATAAATACCGATAGGACAATTTTAATCAGCACTCTCTGAAAAATATTCATAAGCCTATTAAAATATCTTTTATATTATTACTTTCTCATAATTTCCTTCACAAATTTAACCTTCCAAGATTAATTAACCCAAGATAGCTTTAGCTAAGGGATTACCTTATTTTGCTAGATCTTCAAATAATTAGATTGATTATAATTAATTCTTCTAAAGAGCAAGTCCAGAATATTATTATAAAGCTTTAAGTATATTTTTTGATTATAAGGATTAGGTTTATATAATTTTCTTTTGATCTAAAATAAGTGATGATGGTTTAGATGATGAGATTTGATTTCTTTCTTGAATAATAGATATTTTCCATTATTCTATTTTATTTAGTATATCAGTTTCCTTTGCAAATTAATCCTTTTAAATTTTGATGGTTGCTTGCTAATTTTCTAATAAAATGAGATTTTCCCAAAAAAACGTATATTATTGTAATTTTCTTACATATTAATCAAATTATTGTAATAGTGTCATTTTACCACAAGATTTCGAAGAGAATAGTAATTAAAATAAATCTTATAAATCCTATAATAATCTATTGGTATCTCTTTCTATATTTAATATAGTTTAATTAATCAAAATTCGAATTTTCTCATACTCTGATATTTCTTATACAATTTTATATAATTTATTAAGTGTCGTAGTAGTCATTTATTTTTCATAAGGTTTAAGAAAATCTGACTGGTTGGTCAAATTTAAAAGTGAAGCTATGATTAATATAATAATAGTATACTTATAACATTAGTTGTCATTTAGTCTTTAAATACAAATTTCTTTGCTTTGGAGTCTTATAAATAATTTGGAATTACTTTCTCCAAATATTTTTGAAACTCCAATACACAGTCTTCTAAAATATTTGATTAAGTAGGATTCCCAATAGTACTGTACAAATTAGGTATTATTTAATCTATTCCTAAATTCATATTATATTTTATTATTAATTTATAAAAGTTAAAATGGCCACCCCACATTTCTAAAGATTTTTAAATGAAATAATGGTGATTTAGCAAAAACAAAAAATTATATTATATTTAATTCAATGGTGAATCAATCTTATTCGATTGATTTCCTTTCTGAGTTTAACTAATTTTATTAACTTAACATAAATTGAGTTTTGAATTACTACAATTAAATAAATTGTACATCCAAGTATCCTGGAGGAAATTTGATATTAATATTCAAATCAGTGATTGTTTCACCATTTTATTAGGCTTCAATAATCATTTTCTACATTAAATCAAAATATAAGAGATTTTTACAGCAAATTTTTCTCTATCTGTTTTGTTCCCTCCATCATGTTTCAATTTGATGTGTAAATTTAAAGAAACATCACTTCCATATTACTTATTACATTTTTCATAAGGACAAATGAAAGATTTCTCTATCTCTTAAGAAGTTCTTCTATTTTTCTTTTTATGTCGATAACTTAAAGCTTAATGTAATTCTTATTGTAATTTCTATGGTATTTCAATAATAAATTACATCAATTTCAACTATTAATTCATGTAATTTTTAATTTTAGGTATGTAATTCATTAACTTTTTTTATAGTCATTTCATTTAGAATATAATATCTCCAGAATTCCTTATAGTAATTGATATCATTATTATATTCTAATTTTGAATAAGACATTTATATACCTTAATTTTAATCCTTATTTTGTAGTAATAATTCTGTAGATTAATCATCAAGTGATGATTTCAACTCTTATAATTGTTTTAATTTTCTATTTAATTCATCATCTACAATATTCCAATCCCTTGACTTATTCATTAACTGTAATATATATTTATAATTAAATCAAATAATTAATAAAAAAGGATCATATTAGATTAACCTACTTTCATTTATCTTTTCTTCTTAATATAAATTTCAATTTTCTATTAAATAACAATAAAATACAAATCATTAATATCATTCTCTTATTCTTATTATTATAAAATCATTAACAATTTCTTAAAAATTAACTCTAAAATCAACATAAAAATAGAATTATCATCTAATATTACTACAAAATAATATGTGATTGTCAGAAGTAATAAAAACAAAAGTTTTTTTCAAATAGAAAAACTGATGTCTATTTTGCTGAAAGTTTAGTGGAAATAAATAAGAGATATAATTATTAATGTAAATACATTTTCGAGAGTATAAAGAAAAATATTTTCCTTTAAAATTGATTGATTTAAGTAGGATATATCCAAATATTAAGAGTACAAGAGATGGAAATTTGATAAAGACAATAAATTTTTCATTAAAAAGTAATTGGAATATTTGGAAATAAAACTTATAATTAGAAATAGAATATTAGGTTAATTTGAGTCATCAATTTCCTAATCATATATTATAGATAATTGATTGGACAGCTGATGTTTAATCAATATAAGTAATAGTTTATATTACTTATAATTGTAAATCTAATGCAAAGTCTTTGAATAGTTTTCTTAATACATCTTTGATAAGTGAATAATAGAAATTATAAATAGCAGAATAAATAATTGAGATTGCATCTATATTAGAATTATCTGAAATTTAACATAGAAATATTAAACTTAATAATTTGATATTAATTGATAATAATACATATTTGACTGATTTTGGAAGTGCAAGAACTCATTACAATCATTATACAAAATAGAGTGCAAATTCTGAAGAAAGACATAAATAAAATGAAACATTATTTTATAGTTCTCCTGAAATTATGGAGATAATTACATAAGACAATATAGATTTTTAAGAAAGTGAATGGGCATCAATATTTGAGAATGAATAATATAAAAAGGTGATTCTAAAGAGAAATGATAATTGGAGTATAAGTATCATCTTATTATAATTATTATCATTTTAAACTTAAATACCAGAAGATATCAAAAATTTTTATGGATATGATATAGCTAAATTTGATTTAGAAATTAGAAAATAAGCAACTAATCCTAATTTTAAGGTAATAACAGAGATAATTAAAAAATTATCATTTGGTAAAATATCTGCATTAATATGTCTTGAACATTTAAAAAAATAACTTCCTTTGAATGATTCATTAAATAATCAATAGAAATAAAATATTAAAAAAGAATATAATATTCTCAATATATAATTAAAAAGACAAGTATAAATTAATACTAAAGTTGATTACTAATATTTATCTTCAATTTAAATACAATAATTGTAATAAGTTATTGATCAAGAAATAAAAAAACATGATTAAACATTATAACATCAAACTAAAAATAATATTCAATAATATTCATTAAAAAATTAATTGAGTTAAGGAAAAGTATTAGATAATGATGATAAATCATATTTTATAGATGAAAATTCAATATAAATATTTTCTCCAAAAAATCATGAAGAAGAATAATTTGGAAATGGTAATCTGAAATAATTATAAGAAAGTTCATCATTTGAAGAATAAAAACTAATCAAATTAAATCATGTTTCATTAAACTCTTTCAATAATAATGATTAAATTCTATTACTTACTTAATTAAATGATGATAATCTATTTAAGAATTAGACTAAATAAAAATAAACTAAATTATAACATTTGAATTAAGAACAACCATCTTAACTTTATGTATTGACAGATCTCAAAGATCAAGTTTAAAAAAAGGATTAGATTAATACTGTATCTGATCTATTAAAACATCAAAATAAACAATAAACTTTAAATTAAGTTGTTGATTATAAGTTATCTAAATCACCTAAATTTGTGGAATAAATAAAATATTAGATTCCTGTTTAATAATCTACAATATAAAGTAACAGTAATGTTTATGAAATTTAATCATTTAATAATAATGAACCTAATTAAAACCCCATTTTCTATATTGATCAATAATAACATAAATAAATAAATATTATTCCTCTAAATCAATAATCTTAAATAATAAAAGAATTTGATTCTAAAGTAGAAGAATTACCAAAATTATAACATCATGTAATAGAAATTATTAATAATTCTAATTCTCCTTAAACTATTAATACTAGAAACTAAAATTCTGTTCATTCAATTTAAAATTTCAAAGATCAATAAGAATTAAATTAAGTGTTTTAATCAAATCTAATATTATATCAATAAGACAATCCATTTGATATATCATAAAGTCAAAAAAATGAAACTAGTTAATCCATTATTGAGTTTAATAAAGATCCTCAATTTTAAACAGCAAATTAAATTTAAGAATTTGATTTAAATACTTCAAGAAAACAAACAGGATAAAATGAAAATGATTTGAATTTAATTGAAATCAAAGAGAGTCAAAAAATATCAGTTTTGAAAGAATAAAATGATAAAAAAGACCTAAATAATCAAAACAAGAAATAAAATTAGAATATACTTATATTAAATAAAGAAAGCTCTCAATTATTAGAGAACTAATAGAATTAAATTTAGGTTATTGAATAAGAAAAGAATAAAGCATAATTATCTAAAGAAGATTTTATATAAATTATCTAAATAGAAGAATTGTAAAAAGGTTTGAATAATTCAGTAAATCATGAAGAAAATGTTTAGGAGTCTTAGAAGGTTCTAAAATTAGTGAAGGATTAACACAATTTTGTTTCAGAGAATTTAGATAATGATTTAAATAAGCTTGATAATTAATAGACAGATAATTTATTAAGGATTGATTTACTAAAATTATTAAATAGCTAATAATTATATAAATACTAAGAAATTTTATTGAAACTGAAAAAGAGTAAATAAAATAATGAAGACGAAATTGAGAAGTAATTATAAACAATAGATTAAATTTCAAATATAAAAGAGAAATTAAATTATACAAGAGAATAGGAATTAATATTGTTAAATTAAGAAGAATTAAATTAGATGAATGAATAATAATTAGATCAATATATCCTTAATCTATAAAACATATTAGAAATTAATGATTAAACATAAAAAGATAATGATCCTTCTTAATAGGAAATAGAAATATGTTTATAAAATGTAATAAAAATTAAGAAAAATTTAATTTAACTATAGGATAAACAGTAAAATTATGTAAATTAGAAATTATAAAATCTTTTGTTATAACCAAATGCAAATAATTTTTTGTCAAAATAAGAATTTGAGGATCTATCATATCCATAATAAGTCTAATATTGTAATGTAGTGTAGTAAATTATAAATTTAGAATTAAAAATTTAAAAGGGATATTTGAATTAATAATTTTAACAATAATAAAATGTTGTGAATGAGTTTAAAAGAACGTAAGATATGGTGCTTACTAAATCATTAATTAATTTTAATGGTTTAGAAACAAGTAAGTAGATTGATAATAATTAACAGAATAATAAAATATGTTTTATTAATCCAATGAGATAGTCATCAATAACTGATGAAATAGTTCCATTTTTAATTTAAGATTTTGAATCTTAATAATAATTGATTAAGATAGTATCAGCAACATCTCCACCAAATTCTAGAAATGGATAAACAGATAAATATAATTTTTAGAAATTTTTAGAAAATCTAAATGATTTTGAAATCTGGTCTACCAATCCTAGAATCAAGAGATTTCAAAAATGGAAAAGATTCTCTTCACCAAGTTTTGAAATTCCATTAGAATTTAGAATTCTTTCTGATTATCAAAAAAATAGAAAAAAAATAGAAAATCAAATATTTGAATATGGAGGTTACACATTAAATAATAAAGCGCATGGTTTTGGGATTATGATGAAAAAGTAAAAAGGGGCAATTTATGAAGGAATATTTGATAAAGGGAAATTTATATATGGAATAGTATTAGAATTAAATAATGATAGTCGTTTATAAAAATATATTGGGTAATACAATATTGATCATGAAATTAAACATGGTTAATGTAGATTGATATGGTATGATGAATAAAAGAATGGTTAATTTTAGATATATGAGGAACATGATGGATTAATAATTTATGGATAATTATATGGTGAAGGAAAGAGATGGAATGTAAAAGAAAGATGGTTTTATATTGGATTTTGGAAAAAGTCAGTAAGATGTGGAATAGGGAAGTATTATGTAAAGAATTAGAATGAGGAATTTGAATTGAAGTATTTTGGTGAATTTTATAATAATATATATCATGGAAAAGGATAATTATATCATAATAATCATATTTATGAAGAAGGATAATATATAAATGGGAAGAAGATTGGACCTCATTTAATATATAAAAATAATATTCTGTAAAAAACTATTAATTATTGAAAATATTTTGTATATATTATTATTATTATTATTATTTTCATAAACACGTATGGCAATATTATTTGAAATATTGTTATTGATAGGATTTGCTGGAGCAAGTTTTTATATTGGATACAGGTATTCGATTGATTTTCAACCAAAAGTTGATGCACCATACAATCCAGTTGATGATATTGAATCATCAAAAGGAAGATCAGGGGCTATAACCAAATCTCAGTATTAGGCTAGACAAAAAGAACTTGATAAAGTGTTATAATAAATAGAAGAAGCAAAGTAAAAAGAGAAAAAGAAATTAGTTGAAATTGATTTACTCAGAGCAAAATCTAAAGATAAAGTGCTTTCAGATTAAGAATTTAATAATTTGTTAGATGAATGATATAAAATATATAAACACATTAAATTCGTTTTAAACTTTTAGCATCTTTAATACATTTGATTATTATTAATTAATATATTAATTAGTACACGTTGATGCTATAAATTTTATTGTTTTTAGTGGTTTCGACTTTTGCATAGGAAGAGACAGAAGAAGAAATGTATAAGCTTATATGATATCAAAGTCTTTCAAGGAAAATTGGAGCTTGTTGGATAAAGACAATAAAGGATATTAATAATGAGAAAGAGAGTATGAATCAAATAATTGAGAGTATTGAAAATGGAAACAAAACTTTAATATTTCATAAAGTCCAAATGTAAATGATTTTATCTTGTGTCTAAATTATTGATGTGAATAATGAGGTAAATCATTTCAATAATAAATTAGATCTTATCAAGTTTGGCATATAAGGAAGTGGTTAAGGACTTTAGTTATAAATAATTTATTGGGATTGATGTTACTTTAACAAAAGAAGAGGAGGCATTATTGAAAATAATAAAGAAATTGGAAAAGGATTTAGGTGACATGGACAAGAAAAATAAAATTAAATAAACATATTAATAGACTTAGAAGATTGAATCAGAATGGTAAAATGCATGGAAAGAATAATAATCCTAAGAATCTTCTTTATTATCTAAACCTAATTATTTACATTATGCTTTTTTCTTGGTTCTGATTGTTGCTATTTTTGGAGGAGGTTATTGGAGTTTAAAATCAATATAAGGAATGAACAATTAAAAGAATTAAAAGTAAAGAAAAAGAAATTGAGTTCTGTTTATCTTTTATTAATTATATCTTAATATTATTAATTATATATATTTATATAAATTATAATGGATCAATCAGAATATGAAGCTAAAGAAATGCTTAAACCATATTTAACATAATTAGCTTAATTAGAGGAAGCAGATAAATTGAAGTAAGCATAAATAACAGCTTTACGTTTGGCAATTGAATAATTGAAGTAATAGGCATTAGATCATTAAAAGAAATATGATGAAGAATAAAAAAAGGATGGTACTAATTTGAATAATTAATATTTTTAGCAAAAAAGAAGGGGTCTGTTAAGAAATGAATTTATTTTATACATTTAAATTTATTGCATATTAACTTAATATTATTTAAACAGATATTCAATATTATTAAAAAAATTTACTATTTTATCAATATAATATATATATCTTAATCAATTTCCATAAAGATCATCATCTTCTTAAATTCTACTTTATTAACCTCTAGCAAATTATTAACCACCAGCTTCAGGCCATTTGAAAGAAAATCCACCTTAATTACTTCCTTTACTGAATGAGGGATCAAATTTCTTTTTGAATTCTTCAAATTTTTACAAATCCTAAATGTTTAGAATTAAAGATATACAATATTTGTAACTGATTTTCTAGCATGTCTAAGAGCTTCCTCAAAATGCTTACGATTTAGATCTGGCACTGGATCTGCTTTAATTAATTAAGATGCCTTATTTGGAGCCATCTAAAGAGCTTACTTTTATCTTGCTTCTGCTTCAATAGACTATTATTTAATATTATATTCATACATCTCTAACAGCAGCTTTAGCAGCTCTTTAACAGATTTCTGTGATATCAGCACCTGAGAATCCATCAGTAATTTTAGCAAGATAAGCAAGATCAACATTACTAGCAACAGGAGTTTTTCTAAGATTAGCTTAGAAAACATTAAGTCTTGATGGTTCATCTGGTAATGGAATGTAGATTAATTAATCTAATCTACCAGGTCTAATAATGGCTTCATCCAATATTTCAGGTCTGTTAGTAGCTCCAATAAAGAATACACTCTTTTTGGCACTAACACCATCCATTTCAGTCAATAATTAATTGATAACTCTATCACCAGCACCACCAGCATCACCAGCACTGCTACCTCTTTATACAGCAATAGAATCTAATTCATCAAAGAATAAGACACAAGGTGATGCTTATCTAGCTTTGTCAAAGACTTCTCTAACATTTGATTCTGATTCACCAAACCACATAGTTAATAATTCAGGTCCTTTAATTGAAATGAAATTAGCAGAACATTCACTAGCAACTGCTTTAGCCAATAATGTTTTACCACATCCTGGTGGTCCATAAAATAGAACACCTTTGGATGGTTACATACCAAATTTATGGAATTTTTCAGGATGTTCAATAGGGAATAAGATCATTTCTTATAATTATTTCTTGACTTCTTCTAAACCACCAATATCTTCCCATTTAACGTTTGGTACTTCAACCACAGTTTCTCTTAATGATGAAGGATTAACTTATCCCATTGCAAATTTGAAATGCTCTTGTGTTACAGCCATAGCTTCTAAAACAGCAGCATCTAATTTATCATCTTCTAAATCAATGACATCCATTTTCTCTCTAATACATTATAATGCACTTTCTGTACAAAGTGCAGCCATATCTGCTCCAACAAAACCATGAGTATCTTTAGCAATTGCAGCAAGATCTACATCTTCAGCCAATTTCATATTTTTAGTATGGATTCTCAAGATTTCCATTCTTCCTACTTCATCAGGTACTCCAATATCAATTTCTCTATCAAATCTACCGAATCTTCTCAATGCTGCATCAATAGAATTAGGTCTATTAGTAGCTCCAATAACAATAACTTAACCTCTACCCTTTAAACCATCCATCAATGTCAATAATTAAGATACAACTCTTCTTTCTACTTCACCACTAACTTTTTCTCTTTTTGGTGCAATAGAATCAATTTCATCAATAAAGATAATAGCAGGACTGTTTTTTTCTGCTTCTTCAAATGCCTTTCTTAGATTTCCTTCTGCTTCTCCTGCCATCTTACTCATAATTTCAGGACCATTAATCAAGAAGAAGAATGCTCCTGTTTCATTAGCAACAGCTCTAGCAATTAATGTTTTTCCAGATCCTGGAGGTCCATATAATAAAACTCCTCTTGGTGGTTTAACTCCTAATGTTTTGAATAATTATGGATGTCTTAATGGCAATTCAATCATTTCTCTGATTTAAGCCATTTACTTACGGCATCCACCTACATCATCATATCCTACTTCATCTAATTTTTCTTCATCTTCTCTTTTTACTGGTTCACCTTCAGTAAATAATGTAGTTGTTGGACCAACAATACCAATTTCTCCTGGTTCAGTTGCAATAATCTTGAATTCAACTGCTTTGAATCCACCTCTGCAAATAAAGTAATCACCTTTCTTAACAGGTCTATAAGCATCTTTGAAATAAGGAATCAAGTATGTTGAAGCTAAATCTCCTTTAATGCCTTCGATTGAATCATCAAATGGTAATACATGAACTTTGGTTAAAGTAGGAACCTATTTAAATTTTGAATTTTATAATACTTAATCTAATGGTCTAATAGTGACAATATCTCCTAATTTAATGCGTAAATTTTTTCTAATGACTTTATTAAGTCTAATTTTTTCATTATCTAATTTATCAGGGATTGGAACTGCAACAGTTTCCTTTCTCTTTTTACCCTTTAATAAAACTGGTGCACCTTTAAACAATTTCAACTCATTCATTTTGGCTTAAGACAATTGAATTACTGTATTGTCATCTTAGAGAGCTTCTTCTGCTATTAATCTGTTGGGTGCTTTCTTTCTATCTAAAATAGCTGTCGAAACATCCTTTTTTTCTGATTATCCCTGTTAATTAGATTAGTTGGATTAATTAGTTTAATTTGGCTAAGGCTATTTCCTATAATTGTTTGAGATATAAAACATACTTTGGATCCATTCCTAAACTTTTAAAAATAAATATTAATATTTTCACATTAGGATGATTTGTTTAAATATAATTATTTTACAATTCTATAGACACTTGGAATTTAATATTATCATGTTAATTTAACAAATTATTACTAAATCTCCTTTAAAAACTCAAACTCATTTGACTGAAACCTTCATTCATGCTGATCAGAAATATTTCACTTCAAAAGGAATAATATTCATCTAATTAAATATACTTAAATCTATAACCAATTTGAAGAATTTAGAATATACAAATCCAAATGTAAAAAATAAGACAAGATTTTTGAAATGAAATATTTAAAAATTGATTAAATGAACTACTCTTGCTAAATAAAAGTAGACAATTTATATATAATTTTCAAACCAGTTTGATTCATTTTAAATAATAAATGGAAGATTATCAAAGATAACTAAGATAAAGAACTAAGATAAATCAATTAATTAGTGGCTTCATTAAAATTAGAGATCTTTCATTTAAATTTATTATATAATTAGAAAAAGAAAAATTGATGAACTTAAATCCAATAATTAACTTATTATTAATGACTTTAACAAATAATTGAAGAATATTCTCAAGTCTCTCATTCAAAATGATATTCAAAAAATAAATAAGGGTATTAGTCTAAGCCAAACCTATTGGATATTCAATTTTAAAGAAATAAGTTTTTGAATTTAGAAAAATTAGTTCATAATCAAGACGTAATTCTATTATAACAAAGAGAGTTGAGGAATTATGATATATGTTAGAAAAATATCAAACTCTCAACAAGTAGATGTCATAAAAACTTTACAAAGAAGAAATTCTTAGAGTTTATATAAAAATTTAGATTAAACGAAAGTTGACTATCAATTATTATTAATAATTTTTCAATGTCATACTCTTTTCTCTGGAGAAACAGGTTATGATTTTCTTTAAGATTAATTCTTTTATGTTTATTAATGTTAAATGTTTTTTAATTCAACATCAAAATTATATCCATCAAATAAAGCTATATTTTATTAATTTTTCTTACATTAAACAGTATCTCTCCTTAAAAGACCTTAATTCTCTAATTATTAATCATCATTCAATTAAGTTTCCTCTGAAATTTGATTCTAAAAATCGAAATTATCATCTACAGCCTAAACATTCTATTATATAAAATACTCCTGGAACATAAAGAGCTTTAATTTTCTTTTTTAGTAAATCATCCCAAGGATATCCTTTCAACCAAGAATGATGTAATATTTCTTCAATGCCATTACTACCAAGTCTTCTTTCTGGCTTTCTTAATATTAACTAAAAATATCATCAAATAATATTAAATACCTAATTTACAAAATCAAGTGAATCCTCACTCCATCCTAAAGGTAACTCTTCCTTTTTTACTTAAACTTATTTAGCTAGAATTTACTCTCGGATATCTTATCTAGTTCTACCATTATAAGGTCTTCTTCCAAGCATCAATTCATATGTTATTACTCCTAATGCATAATAATCAGCCACAACTGAATGATCCATTCTACACATTACTTCAGGTGCCATGTATCCAGGTGTTCCTGATGTATCTCCAGCATTATTTCCTTTATTCATTCTAGCTATTCCCAAATCTGTTAATCTCATATATCCATCTTAATCTAAAACTAAGTTTTCTGGTTTTAAATCTCTATGGATTATCCCATTCTAATGTAAATAAGTTAAAGCCAACAATATGCAAGCAACAAAAAATTCTATTGTAATAAATATTCTTTACTGGTTTAAGCTTCACTAAACCTTCTCATCTTTCCTAAATGAAATCTCAGATCACCACCAGTCAATAAATCAATAATCAAAAATAGATTTTCCCTATCTTAAAATGCATACCACATATTAACCAAAAAAGGATGATGTAAATGTTCTAATAAATATTTCTCATTTAAAACTGAATTAACACTTCTTTTTTATATTACTTTAGCTTTTGACATTTCTTTTAATGCAAATAATTTCTTATTCTTTTTCATTTCTACTCTCCAAACTCTTCCAAATCCACCTTTACCAATTACATAGAGAAATTTAAAATGAGTTCTATTTACTTATTCTTCTATTTTTAAACTAAGTATTTAAGTTTTATCTGAGATCTCACCTGTAGACTTTCTTCTTAATTCACTTGATTTTGAATCATTTTAATTAATTTTATTTTTCGAGATAGAATCATTAGGTGTTAATTTACTTTTATTTGAACTTTCATGATTATTAGGAGAGTTTGGAGCTGATTCAACTAATCCAGAATTGATAATCTAATATAAAATTCAATAAGATACAGCTGAAAATTTAGGTCCTTATTAAGTCAATTTTAATTTAAATGAAGTTTGAGTATTACTTAATACATGACTTTTAGATTCTACTCGTTTTGGAATTGCTTTTGATTTAACATTGTAACTGTTTTCATATAACTAAGAATTGCTTAGATTACTTTTTTAATAATAGCTATTCAAAAAATTATCCATATTATGATAAAATTATGGTTTCTTTACCTATTCTTTTGGTATTTATCTTGATTATGGACGTGATTCTTATAATTGATGTAAATGGCTTTAAAGTTATTTTTATAAGAACATTTATTGCATCTAATATTGTTTTTCACGATTAGGAGATTGATGTGCTGAAACTGAACTGCCTGCTTTGATCTCTCTTTTACTATCAGTTTCACATGGTTAGTTTTTAGTGCTAACTTTGACTTTCAGTAAAGGTGAAGCATTAATTACAACCCTTTTCTTTATACATACATTGCAATTCTTTTAATTGCATTAGCATTAGGAGATATCAACTTTTTTATCCCAATTACCTGATTATTTTCTAGTTGGTTAAATTTTATTCACAGGTTCGCCTTTAAATTTAATTTTACTATTAAGTTATTATTTTATAAGCAAATCTCTTAAGTTTTTTGCTGTCGATTGACTCATTTCGTTAATTATTTATATATTAATATAAATAATTTGGATAATAAATATATAAAAATTATATAATATTCATTATGTTTTTAAATTATTACAAAATTTTCATTTGAAATATAAATTACATTTAAGAATTAATATAATCAAGTTATTTCATTTTTTATTAGTAAATGTATTAATTTTAATTTTGATTAATATTACATAGTATTTGTTTTATTAATGAAAATTAAGTAAACTAATAAAATTAAATTAGGAAATGAAGAGTGATTAATATTAATTGTATTTGATATGATAATATTGATAACTAATAGAATTTATATTAATTGTTATAAAAAATAGTAATAGAAAATGAGCATTCTTTATTTATTTTTATATAATAAATAATATATTAATAATAATAATTACATGTAATATTTAAAAACGCAATCGATATTATTCCTTTATGGATTATTTGATAGCATATAATTCATGAAAGGAATTCGAAGGTATGCTTTTGATGTAAAAGAAAAACATTGCATGGATATTTAAAAATATTTAAAACAAGCAATAGAATTTGCAGGCATAAAATTAGCTATTGTTTTTATAATTGACTTATTTGTATATTTGTTAGGATTATTATCGATCCCTAAACCAATTATATTGCTGATCTAAATTATACCTATACTCTTGTACCTTGAAAACAATATTAGATAATTGGTATATGTTGGAAAGATTACTTAAACAGCAATTTAATATGAAACAAATGTGAAATAGAATAGACAATTTTTTATATATAATTTAAAAAGAGACAATAATGTAGGATTCTCAACTATAATTGATCAAATTAAATTAACATTGTAGGCTTTACTTTTCAGTTTTTTGTTATTGTTACAAACATCATTATTTGATATTTTGGTTGTAATTTTACCAGAAAATACATTAATATCATTAATAATAAAACACGTCGATTATTTACTTTATGCAGTATATATAACAACTGGATATATATCATTAAAGATTCCATATTAGGATCATTTGCCTTATTATTTACATACATATATTGGATATTTAATAGGTTATTCAGTCATCTTATCATATTTTTTAAATGTCTATTTTAGTTTTCCTAAATTAGGAATAATATTTTCCATTTTATCTCCAATATGTTTAATGAGAGAATTTTAGATTGATGCACCCTTGATTACAGAAATAGAAGAGAAATCATTTCGTGAAAGTATAAAATAAAGTAAATTTAGATTTTGATCTTTTGATAAAGAATTTCTTAGGTGAAGAAGGTATACCAAGAACATCATATGAACATCATTTGAAAATGGCAGAAAATGATAAAGTCTATAAGACAAAATTAAGAAAAACAATAGGATGGTTTACATTAGCAAGAGGATTAAGACCATATGTTATTAATCCATTGAATAAAGCAATTATAATTTTTATGAAGATTTATAATTCTTTGTTAGGAATTGTATGATATATTAAAGAATATATTTTAACATTTTTAATGATATGTATATATATCATTATCATTATTTGATTTTTTATTTAACTAAGCATTCTTTCAAGACAAATTCAAACTCATTAAATGAAACAGATCCATCTTTATTATGATCAAAGAATGTAAAGATGGCCTTAGCTTCTTCATCTGTAACAGTTTAATCAATTCTCTTTAATAATTTACCTAATTCTTAAACATCTAATTCATGATTAGCTGATTTATCATACTAGAATAATTAGAATAATTACTTTATTAAATAAATCTAAAAGATTGATATTGAATTTGACAATTGATACTTTTAATTTTTCAATTACTATTCTTGCTCTATCATCTAATGATCCAACTTAAATATCTTATTAAGGTTTCATAAGAATACTAACCTTCTTTTTAGTTCTACTTACTTCAGATGCAGTCATTCTACACTAAAAACAATAATATATAATTATATTTACATCATTTTCTTCTAACCACTTTTTAAATTCATTGAACTCTATTAAATTATTTCCATCATCATCAAATTTATTAAAGATATATTCAATTTCTTCTCTTGTAAGATCTTTATCTACTCTTTATAAGAATTTCCCTAATTCATTAACATTTAAAGCTTTATCTTTAGTCATATCAAGTTCAGCAAATAATTCTCCAATATCAATCTATTCTTTAATAATCATCTATCTAATATCATTAATCAAATAAGTGGCTTTGTCCTCTAAAATACTAACATTTTTAATAAAATCAGTAAAATGTCCTTTAAATAAAGGATGTCTATAAATCTCATCCCAAGATAATCTATCTTTTTCTTCAGTCTGTAAACATCCTATTAAAAATTCTTAGGCTTCTTTAGATATTTAAGGTCCTTTGAATTACAAAGGTTGATTTCTAATATTCTTTAAGAGTTCTTAAGGTGATCTAGCAGTCCAAGGAGCTTAATAGAAAGGAGAATATTTACTTTTACCAAAGAGTGCTTCATAAAAGATAAATGCAATACTCCAAATATCAGTTTTGGAAGTATATTTTTTATTATCTAATATTTAAGGTGACATATATAATGGTGTTCCTACTAATGATGCTAACATATCCTTTTTAAAATTGTCAACACATTTTGCAAATCCAAAATCTGCTAATTTGAAAGTCTATAATATGATTATAAATATATACTCCTTTATCAATTAAAATATTTGCTGGTTTTAAATCTCTATGAATAATACCATTTTTTATTAGTTAAATGAATCCATTTAAAATATCAATCATAAATTTGACTGCATCTTTTTCAGGCATAGTTTTCTTTTAAGCTACATAACTAATGATATTATATTAATAATTACTTCTCAATCATTTTATCTAAATCTCCACTATCACAATATTCTTGAATTATATAATAATTATTATTGGTTTCCATTACATCCATTAATTATACTATATTTGGACTCTTCAATTTCTACATTACTTTAATCTCTGATATCAATCCTTCTCTTAAATAATCGTCTCTAAATTTCGATCAATCTAAAATTACGCATTTATGACAGATTTGTTCAACACTTTTATCGCTACCTTAACTCCTGTCTTTTCATCTCTCCCTCTATACACTTAAGCATATGATCCTTCACCAATAATATCTTTAGGATTGAACAGATACTTGTCAATTCTTTTCTCCCCCATTAAATTAATTAAATTCAATTAACTTTATCATAATTATACTCATTATTACTACATCTTATTATGATTCTCAATCTAATTCTATTCAGAACGATCCATAATCTTAATTATTCTTCAATATCTCATAATTTAATCAATATTTCTTTTAATTCTAAGATATTATTTAATTTTATTCAATAAAATATATATATATATATATATATCTTAAGATTTGATTTAAATAATTATAAATTAAAATTTAAAACATATTCTACTACTCATGGATTATTTATCATAATCTTTTCAAAAATCTAACTTAATATCTTTCTACCTATTGTTACAACTATACATTCATAATTTTCATATGGTTCTTTTAACTATTCGTAATTTTAAACTTTAAAATTAAATGTTAACCAATTAGTATCACCTCCTGTTTTATCTACAAATTATATTAATGACCATTCAAAATAAGCTTATAAACTACCCAATGTTTTAATTTTCTTTAATACATGAATAAATTAAATATTAAACTAAGAATCAAATTATTCTAATAAATTAGATCTTGCATGATTCTCTATAATCAAATCAAACATCTAATATAAAAAATTTCTATGTTCTTTTGAAGCTTCTGCTAAAAATATCTCAACAAAAGTTATTAAAGTCTTGCGAGTCATTTCAATCAATTAAATTGGAAATGACTATAAATCCTTATTATTATTGATTATATCTGAATGACTTTGATCTTATTAATCATATGCTTGTATTTAATCCCAATATAATTGTAAAACATTAAAATATTCTTCACATTCTTTTCTAGCCTATTCTTTTTAAGAATTCTTATAAAAATTATATGCTCTATAATAACTTAATTCTAATAGATAAGCTAAATTATCTTATGCTTTAGTTTTTAAAATTTTACAAGCTAATTGACTAATCTTCAAAGCTTCATTAATTTTACCACAATCAGTATAACCTTTAGTTAATTTACAAGCTACATAAGCAGTCTAAAGACTATTATCTGTATAAAGAGTTTCAAAAATATAAAATGCTTTTTCATAAAAGAGTATTTATTATTCAGGACTTTATTTTTATTCTCCAATTTCAATATATGCATCAGCAGTTAATTAATGTTAATGACCAATAGTTTTAATAAGACAAATTATCTACATTGTATTCATCTAAAGCATATCCTCTATTTAACCTCTATTCTTAAAAAATGTACCCATAATATTGAATACTTTAGCATAATAATGATGCTAAGAACCTAAACAAAATTCCAAATTAAATATCAACAAATCAAATACTATGAATACATAATCCTAATATAATTCAGTTACTATTTCTAATAATAACATTAATGGACGAATCATTCCCACCTTTGGAATCCATCTCTAATTCATATTGGAAAGTTAATTAAGAAGATTCTCACTATCTAAATAAATATTTGGATTCAAATATTTCAATGCCTCAGCTAATCTAACCATTGTTTGTTAATACTGTTTCTATTTAAAATGTAATTCTGCTAAGTCTGTCAATACTATGGTTCTGGCTTAAGCTATGTTACTGGAATGTTCAAGTCCTTCAAGAAGGTTTAGGCGTCTGATTTGTCAAAATTTAATTTACATATGAAGAACTTTAATTGCCAATTGGTAATTTTACTATAGTTTGAAGATATTAAATTTATTCACCAATTTACAGATCTCAACTTCTAACATAGAAAAACTTTGAACATCGAATCTTAATTGAGTTATAGAAGAGGCATCAAAAAATACCTATTTATTAATTTACTTAATTGAATGAGCTCCTTTAGTTGGAGGAGTTGTTAATGGAGTCATTTATGATGATGCTGGAATCATTGATGTTTTATATAATTGCTAGTATGTTTTTTAATGTAAATACTATTTCAAATTAAATTTATTTATAACACTTTCATCTACTTATGCATATGGAGTTCCAAAAATTATATCTTTAGGTTCAAATTTTGATTCAAATTTTAAATTATATTATAAAGCACTTAATAAACTACCTGAACAAATCCCTTTTAATTTTAAATTCAAGTCATAATTAAAATCAAACAATACTTATTTAAATAGAATTTATTCATAAAAAATATTACTCTTTGAAAATAATAAATTTAATAAATCTGCCAATTATTCTTTATATTACATTTCTATGAAGTCTGACATAGTTTCTCTTTCTTAAATAATAGTACGTGGTAACATAATGGATTACTTTTTAGGAAAATTTCTCTTTGTTTCCATTTCTTCTTAATCAGAAAAAGGTTCTCTAATTATTTTTTTAGGATCAAATGGTTTATATGGAATTTAATCTTCTGTTATTGTTTACAAAAACTCTGTAAATTATTAATTAAATATATTTTTAATTGATCTAGCCATCATCTCTACTTCACATAATTATTAAACATGGGGAATTCTTATATTTATTACAAAAATAATACTTAGTTTATAATGCTACTAAATTAAGGAATCTCATATTTATACCAAAAAGTCTAAAACTTTCTCTTAGAGTATAACTATCTATTGGACATATTTCTAATTAATCAATTTTATTAACAAATTCTTGTATATAACCTCTAATGAAATTTTTACTCATTTCTGCTAATGCCATTTAATCAATTGATATATCATTTGATTCTTCAATAGTATCATAAGCATCAGGATTATAAACTTTTCTGTTTTGAATATTACTTTATTATGCTCTTAATTAACCACTTACTCCTGTATCATAATATACAGATAAAAATTCTGGTCTTGCTCTTCTAAATTCATAATTTTAAAGTAAATGATCAAAGTTATGATTTGCAGGAATTGTCTTATTAGATTGTTCAACTAATTCTGAATAGTGTTCTTCAATAATATAAGGTAGTATTTCCTTCACTTTAAGTAAATAAAATAAACCTTATCGTTTAACTTCTTGTTCAGATTCCTAATCTGCATATATTTTAATTTAAGCTTTTAATTATTCAAATTCAGCAATATTACCACTATGTATTTAAGTATTAACAGATAATTAGATTACAGATCTTTTGGTATCCAATTATATTTTTTTTGGATCAAACCTTTCTATTTTCCACATAAAACAATGAGGTTTGATTGCTAAACTTCTACCTAAAGCTTCAATTTCTAATTCTAGTTTTTAAGATGCTTTGTAATAACTTTCACCATTTGGTACACCATATATAAGAGAAGAATCATCAAGAGGAGATGGAGGACATGCTAAGACTAAAGCTTTAAATCCTAAATATTCAATTTAACATGATAATGGAACTTTGAGTTTAAAATATTTATTCACAGATCTTTGTGAGAAACAAATATCATTCAAATAATTTAAGGCTTTAAATTCATCTGACAATTATCGTTTTTTACAATTTGAATGAATTATTCCATACCAAAAAGGTAATTCTAATAAATTTAGATTAAGACTTTGAATCATTACTGATTTATTAGGTATTAAAAGGGTTCTTTCAACAGTTTCAGATGTTGCAATATATATAAGCATATTATTACTTTTAAATTAAAAAGTACCATAAAAACAATCTTGAAATTATCCAACATAATTATTTTCTTCATTATTTTATTATTTCTTTTTAGGTTTAGAGAATATAGTCTTAAAATTATTAAATAAAAAGCAATACTTTTTTTAAATTGTCTTCTTCAATTAAATTCACACTCTAATTTTAATTTACAACTGTAATTTTTTTATCTAAAAGTTCACAAATAAGTTATTTCACTGTAATAAAAGCTTATTCTTTAAAAGTCTCTAGATATTTAATTAATCTTAGACCAGCTTTCATACTGTTATCAAAATTATCACATGATTCAATACAATCCTCTAAGGCTTAATAATATCTAAATTCCCAAGCTGTTGATATTCTCAATTTCATTTATCTTTCTTATTCTCTTCTTAAATTTCGTTATTCCTCTTCTCTCCTCTTTTTCTCTTCCTCTTCTCTTTATAGATTTACTCTTTTTTATTCTTCTTCAAATTATTATTTTCTTTATCTATTTATTTCTTCTTCTTTATTTTTCCTATCAATTTCTTATAATTTCAAATTTGTTCTAAATTATTTAACTTTTCCAGATCGAACTTTTGCCTCATTTTTGAGCTTCTCTTCTTCATCAACACTTTCAATTGGATTTTGTTCCTTAATCTAATCAGGACTTAAAAAAAGAAATTAAAAAAATAGAGTACCTTAATTTTTCTAATTATTTCAATTGATTTTCTACAAATTACTTTACAGAAGCAGTTGGTGCTTCTTGTCTTTACAAATTCATAGCAAATATCTCACACCATCTTTCCCTGGATTCAATGTCTCTGAATAGAAATATCCATGTTTATAATGGTGGTTTAGGTTTTGGAAGTGTAGGTTCTGGTTTGTTTAATTCATTCCCTTTAAGTAATTGATTAGAATAAAAAGTGAAGGCTATCACTCTAGGTTAAAGATCATTACTAATTCTAGGGTCTGCTTCAATTATATCTACTATACTGCTGAAGAGTAATCTAATATACAATATGATTTAAATTTAACCCAGCTTTAGGTTTATCATTTAGTTTTGGATTTTCAGATTAAAAATCTGGTGGTGGTTTAGAATAATATTTGATACGACCTTAATCAACTTCAAGAATGCGGGAGTTAAATTTTTTGAAGGAATCATCTAATTTATCAACAATTCCAATTTAGTTCATTAATAATTATAATGAAAACATTCAGAAAACATTGAATAAGCATTAAGAGAATTAAAGAGAGTGATAAAGAAATGCTAGAGTATTCAAGTTTTAGAGTTTGATTGACAAGATGTATGAATAAAGGAGAAGAGATTAGAGAAGCAGATATATTATAAAGAAGTGTTTTTCTTGTGTTATTTGTTTGATTTTGTATTGTTTTTCTTTTGCATGGGATAGTATCTTCCCATATTATTCAAGTTTCTTTAATTATTAATCGATTGGTAGCAGCTCAGAAAATGAAATAAAGACCAAGACAGATCGATGCATCAAAGCCAGTGCTCACCGTAAGCACTTTGGAAGCATTCAACAATGCTGAAGGACAAGAAACAGATATTAAAAACACAGAATAAATCATTACTCCTGATTAGCTCATAAAAGAGAAGTAAAATTACATATATCTATTTAATTACTAAAAGAGGACTTCAAGGAAACAGAATTCACCTTTCTTAAATGTGAATTCTCTTCCTTGCTCCTCTATACCTGCCTTATTTATTTTTATATTATACTCATTATTATTTAGACCTAAATAATTTGAAGAGCCCTCACTCAAATCCCAACTTCCATCAAGATGTCGTGAAGATTACATAGTATATAAGGCGCCTGTATATCCAGATGCTACTACTTACGAATTAACTGACGAAGATGTTCATTTTCTTTCAACCATCAATGAGAAGCTACAAACTCCCATTACTATAGATGACTTTGAAATATATCTTGCACTTCTTGATGCTAAGAGTGGCAAAGATGTTGAAATAGATTTTAGTGAATTTCTAAAATTGAAACCCAATTTACCAAAAACAATAAATCAATAAAGTATTGCTCTCTAAGAATAGCTATATACTTATTTTAAGAAACAGAGACAACACTTCTCTCGTTCACTTACAAGATTCCTAATGCATCCATATTATGAGGATAGTAATCCTCATTTAGCTTTTCGTCCTAGAACATAACCTATGGATAGAACTATGAAATTAAGAAGAGGTAATGCCTAAAACACAAGAGGAGTCAATGAAATGGAAAATTTGGGTTAAAAGATAGTATTGTTAAAAAAAGATCTTTTGCTTGTTTCAAATATCATAGATTAGAGTATTTAGAGAGAAAAAGCTATGGAAATTGAAAGGAGATTAAATTTTTGTAAATTCATTAAAGAATTTTTTGATTCATCCAAAAAAGAAAAGGATAATAATACAGAAATTAGATTATGGCCTAAAGATTGTTTTGTTAGGGAATGTTTAGATAAATGTTCAATTAATATTGTTGAAAGAGCTGATGAGATGTTTGATAATATTTCAAAAGAAATTCTTTAATGGAGAGAATTAAATGAATAATAAAAAAAAGAAAAATTAAGAAAAGAAGATTAGATTCTTAAATTTGAAAAATAAATTGAAGAATTAATTGTAGAAAAATTAAAATTCGAAGAAAAACCACCTGTTATTGCACCCACAATAATCCCATAACCTTTATAACCCTAATTGCCATAAATCCCTGTGATTCCTTAAGAACCTCCAGATGAGAAGATGGAAAGTGTAGCCAGATTTCTAGCAACTTTATATTTAGAAGCAAGAAAATATCAATTAACTTTTGATTAAGTGTTATCAGATTCTTTTCCAATTTATAAAATTTAGAATCCTCAGCAATAAGTCAATTCAAAAAGTATATTTCCTTTTTCATTGATGCAAATTGAAGGGAATGACATTATATATAAAGTTAGAAAGGATAGTTATTTAGAAAGAAAGCCTACTGCTTATTGGGAGAGTTATTAAGATTAACAATTAACCAGTACATTATATTATTAGCATCAATATTTTAAAGAGAAAGTCAATGATATTATGGAGATGGCAGATATGGATTAAATGGTTTATGCTTAAGGAGTAGATGATGAAAAATTGGATGAAGAGGAAAAATTATTTAAGAAAAAAGTCAAGAGTGGTTCAACCAGAGTAACAGGTACAAATGGTGGACAATTAAAGTGATTATTAAACTTATTCGATATATAAAATATGAAAATCGATTTTACAATTTTGTTAAAATAAATATAATGATAATTTAGTTATTTATATTGTATGTGTATGAATGTACTTTGTATTGAACTCAATAAAAGAAACCAAGGATTTTACCTCCAATGTGTCTTTATCTAGCTTCTTCATGAGTAAGAATGCCAACATTAGTAGTTAAGACAACGCATCCAAATTGTCTGGCTGGTAAAATATTGTTAGCCCATCTCTCAAATTCACCTAGAGTAACATCATAACGAGGTGAAATGACTCCACATTTATTAATGCGACCTTTAATAGGTTAGAATTAATACCCAATAGTTCAACAACAATTTTGCCACTTCTATGATCATCGACAATTTCAAACTCTCCAATATATCCGTGTCTTTACATGACTTATAAGAATTTGACAACTAATTTGGATGTTGGTCTGATTAACACTTATTTTCTTCCTTATCTTTTAGAATAAAACAATAAAGTATACCTTTCAGCATTCACAATTGAACGAAGGCAATCATTTAGAACGTTCATCTTGACCATTTTAAATTAAAGATTTAAAAATGTATTAATTATTTTTATATAAGTTTTCTAATAAAAAAAAAATGAAAAGAATACATATTTCTTTCTAATACTTTTCATATGAGTATTAAAGAAATGATTATATACAGTATTACAATAATCAATCGAATTGCTCAGAAAAATTTAAATTGAGATTTCATATGTTAAACTTTATCTAAATTAAAATCTTTAATAATGTCTCAAAGAAAATCATTAACCCAAGCACATATAAAGACAGTTCTGATCTCTGAAGGTAGAGGAAAATTCAAAAGATGTTAGTTGTGTTAAAAGGAATTTGGGTTGTTGAAACCTGAGCATTAGTGCAAAAGGTTTGATGATTTTTGATAATTTAGATGTCGTCGTGCAGTTTGTAAACAATGTTCAGAACATAAGATTATTTATATAACAGAAACAGGTCCAAGTAAAAGACCTAGAAGAATTTGTAATTCTTGTAAAGATGAAAGTGATTGGATCAAAAGATTTATTGAATAATAAAAGATTGTTTTTGGAACTAATACTTTTGCTGTCGAATGGCTTAAGGCATCAAATATTACTTTAGAGCATGCTAATTAAGTAAAGATATATTAATTACACAGGAATATGAAAAAGCATAAAGCTCAATAAAAGAAAATAGTGATTATTAAAAAATGAAGTCAGAATTGAATTCAGTCATGATTGAATTATGGTTGAATCTTAACTTTTCTTTAAGAGAATTCATTACATATTTAATTAAAGATAATGAACATGAATTATTAACATAGAAAATCAGTAAAGTATTGGGTTCTCTTTTACTTCAATATCCAGAAATCGGGTACAGTTCAGATTAAATATTGATTACTCTATTTTTACTGTGTTTCTCCTCTGAAGCATCAGCATATGCATTATTAACTGTACTTTATTCTAATATTATTCCATTTAATACTTATCCATCTTAATTAAAAAAGACTCCTTATGATTACCTTAATGAAACAGAAAAAGTATCTTAGGTTTTAGAGTAGGCATTTAAACTTAAACAAAGTGAAGTGACTCTTGTTAAACCATTTTTAAGAAACAGAATTTCAAGATACATTTAACCTTTTGGTATTAACTTCTTTCTTTTACAGACAAGTTTTTTCTTTTTTAATCAAGTTCTTTTGGGTCCAACTTTAGGTTATGATAATTATTTAAAGTGTTTGGCATCATCATTTTATGTATCTTTTGATGAAATAAAATAATTCAATTAATAATTTGAAGAAATTGAAGGATAAATTATGAAAGGGGTTTCATCTGGAATGATTGAGAAAAACTATGTTTAAACCAAATTAATTATATTTTTATCACATTAATAAGGAATGACATAAAGTGTAATAGTTTCTAGACCATTGGAAAAGAATAAAGAAACTCATTAAATTAAGATTGAATTTAAAAAAGATGAAAATATATAATAAAGAAATGAATAAGATGATGATATGCTTGAATATTCAGTTACTTAATCTAATGAGTTTTAGAATTTAAGAAGAAAGACTGTCTAAATATCTTAATAACCATAAGTTGATGAAGAAAAAGAGACTTTAAAAAAATACATATTATAAATTGAAGAATTATTAATGACAAAACACAAATTAGTCACAGAATTATAATTATAAGTAAAAGAACTATAAAATTAACCATTATAAATAATCAATCAAGATGTAGATTAGTAATTATTAGAGGCAAATGATTAATTAAGGAAGAAAATATCTTTATAAGATTTAGAAATATAAAGTTTATAAGAATAAAAGAAATATTCTGATAAAATTTAAGAAGATAATTAAAATATTATAAATAATTTACAAAAATCAAATTCAGAAATATATGCATAATTAAATGCTTAAATCTTATAAAATAAAGAACTTTAATAATAAATTTCTGATCTTTAGTAGTTGTCTAATTAATAATCTGATAATTCAATGACAGCTTCTTAAGTTGAAAAGAATTATTAAATTAATATATCTTTATAATCAAAATAATCAGAATAAGAATTGACTTAACTATTGGATGAAGATAGATAAAAGATATTTTAATTAGAATTGTAAGTAAATCAATTAAATAAAGAGTATATAGCATTATAATAATTGAATTAAGATAAACTAAGAATAATTGGAAATTTGGAAGTAAGATTAATACATGCAGAAGCTGCTAAAAGAGAGAATGAAAAATTTTAATTGGAAAATATAGATATCAAAAAGAAATTATAAAATCATGAGTTAGTAATTATTTAATAAACAGAATAATTATAATTACTATAATAAAGATATGATTTACGTTGTTCAGAAATAGATGCTGTTAAAAAAGAGAAATTTAATTTAGCTGAAGAATTAAGTTAAAAGGATTAATAACATTCTTAAATTCTCTAACCTATATAAAAATAATTGGCTGATTTACATATTTCATATAATTCTATTTCAGAATAATTAAGTGAAGCATTATCAATAAATTAGAAATTACAATAAATCATTATTGAAAAAGATAAAGAAATATCTGAGCATTATAAATAATTATCAGAAAGAGATTTGATAATAGTTGCATTAAAAGAAGCTGATATATTAATGAAAGATAGAATTTCAAATCTATAAAGATAATTAGAAGAAAATCAAACTTAATTACATAAGATTTAATAAGAATTATAAACAAATAATGATAGATAATTATAAACTTAAAATGAAGCATCTAAAAATAAAGAATAATTGTAATAGCTAATAAATGAACATTAATTATTAACAGATCAACATAGATTAATAATAATTGAATTAGATGATTATAAGGCTAAATGGATAATTCTAAATTAAGATCATACTACATTAAGAGAAACACATAATATTACTATAAATGAATTAGATTTATTAAAATAAAGATTTGCTTAATTGAATAATGATCATAATACATTATAAGAATAACATAGATAAAGTCAAATTTAATTTGAATAAGAAAGAAATAATTCAGCTTAAATTTAAGAGAAAAATAGAATCATTGATGAACTTAGCCATCAATTAAACAAAATAGAGGAAACACATTAAATTACAATTTAAATACATTTAACCAAAATTTAAGAATTAGAACTTATAATCATAACACATGAAAAAAAAATGTTAGAATTCAAATCTTTGAGTGAATAATAAAAAATTGAAATTACTGAATTAATGGCTAAAATAGCTTAATTAGAATCAGATAGAGCTGAACATATTGCCAAAAATTAATCTCTAACTATTTAATTAACTGCTAACATAGAAAAACTAAATGAATTAGAAAATAAAAAAAATAATTTGGAATAAGAACTTGTATAATTATAAAAAAGAGTATAAGAATTAAATCATCATAATGGAGAACAGAAGGTTTTAATCATATAATTAGAAGAAAGAATTACTTTGTTAATAACTGAAGTTAAAACTAAAGAAGGTGAGAATGTTAAATTAATTTAATTAATTGAAACTTAGAAATAATCTATGATTGATTATGAAGAATTAATAAGAAAATTAAAAGCATAAATTGTAGAATTAGAAAAACATAACCTTAAATTAAAGACAACCCTTAAACATTATAAGGAGCTATCAAAAGAAATGGCAGAATTAGATTGATTAATTGCAATATATATAAAGAATATTTCATATCTTATTTTATTAATGTAGATAAAATTTCATTAATTTACTGAAATAATAAACAATCAAAATTTATTCTTTGAATCACTTCTTTTAAAATCAATCTATGATATGACTCTAATCCTTTAAGGTGAACGAAACTTTGATTTCTGAGAGGTTAAAAAAGGGGATTTAGAATTCTTAAATTAAAATAATATTTACAATAAGATATTAATTTGTAAAATGTTAACTTCTCTTTGTACTAGTAGTACATGATAATTATTTTAAGTGATTAACTTAATATTTGTAAGGAGAATATGTTTCATTTAAATTTAATCGTTCTGTTATCTAAAGTGCCTATTATATATTTAAATTATTGTTATTTTCAGTAATTTTTAATGGTAATTAAGATTAATTATCATTTACAAATTAATCTATTAATTTAAATTCAGATTAATGTATTTTAGTTGTCCCTTATTTAGATGATTGATAACTCTTTTGTATAGATCTATTAGTTTAGTCTGTGTCTGTCTTGTAATATTAAGAAGAACTTAATTTTCTAATCCTATTCTATCATAGAATATAATATTAGAATTTACTTAACGTTACATCATTTATTCCTTTTCTTGTAATCTCTTTAAAATTGCTACTTATTGAGGATCATTATTTTTATTCATAAATTTCTTAAATGGATCATCTTCTTGTTATTCTTCCTCTACTTCTCTTATATCTAGAACTTTCTTATAACAGATATCTTCCAAAGACAAAAGATTTGTACACTACTTAACCTTTTGCTAATTTGATAATTGTTCTGATTTTATTTTTTGAATGAGTTCTTCTCTCAATACACAATAATTCATGTATTAAATCATATTAGGAAAGCTTAAAGGCACAAATTTAAACTCATTTGGTTTACCTATCTTCTCAGTTGTCTCTCTTATTTTACGCATGAGCTCAACGAACACTTCATATATTTGAGAAATTACTCTATAAAGCTTCTTAGTTTTACAAAGCTTATCGAAAATCGTTCCAATTAAGTTTATCTAACAAATAAATAATGTCAATTACCATCTTCATCTTAATCGATTCTCTTAAAAAATTCACGTAATTTAGTTTTTGTAATGTTTATTCCATACCGTTTAAACATGTCATAAAGTTCTTGTCTATCTAGAAATTCTAATATAAAATTTAGCAAATATAAAAACTTGAATTATCTCTATCAATTGATTTAAAGACAGCTTTCATCATTACTTATTCTTTTAACTCCTTTTCATTTAATATGTATTTATCCTTCACTTTATTTCTAAATCTATTTTTCAACCAATTCACTGTTTAGAAGTTTTTAACTTTTAGAGAAATGTTCTTATCCATTAAAATATTATAAATTGAATCAGAGTTATTATAAATTAATCTAAAAATATTTTCAATAATAAACGATTTTGCATGAATATACTGAGATGAGATTATTAATATATTCATATTACTCTATTAATAGGGAGTGATCAAATTTAAATCTTAAAACTATACCATTAATATATTACTTTCATATATAATACTATACTATATTATTTTTATGTGAATTATAGTAATTTTACAAGTTTCTTAATTGCTCATAATTCATCATGCTTATATTAATTGTATTAATTTATAAAAGAAAATAATTCAAATTTTATGGACCCCGGTGCTTGGATATTTTGGATATTCAAATTTTGGGTAACTGCTGAAATTCAAATAATTTTTTTAGAGAGTTTTCATCACATAGCACTTTAAAAATGAGAGAAGTCATATCTATTCACGTAGGATAAGGAGGTATTTAAGTTGGTAATGCCTGTTGGGAATTATTCTGTCTTGAACACGGAATCCAACCAGATGGTTAAATGCCATCAGACAAGACAATCGGAGGAGGAGATGATGCCTTCAACACCTTTTTCTCAGAAACAGGTGCAGGAAAGCACGTCCCAAGAGCTGTCTTTTTGGATTTGGAACCAACAGTTATTGATGAAGTCAGAACAGGAACATACAGATAATTATTCCACCCAGAATAATTGATTTCAGGAAAAGAAGATGCTGCCAACAACTTCGCCAGAGGTCACTATACAATCGGAAAGGAAATCGTCGATTTGTGCTTAGACAGAATCAGAAAGTTAGCTGATAACTGCACAGGTCTCTAAGGTTTCTTGGTCTTCCACTCAGTCGGAGGAGGAACAGGATCAGGATTGGGATCACTTTTATTGGAAAGATTGTCAGTCGATTATGGTAAGAAATCTAAATTGGGTTTCACCATCTATCCATCACCATAAGTTTCAACAGCCGTCGTTGAACCATACAACTCCATCTTGTCAACCCACTCATTGTTGGAACACACTGATGTCTGTGTCATGTTGGATAATGAAGCCATTTATGATATTTGCAGAAGAAATTTGGATATTGAAAGACCAACATACACAAACTTGAACAGATTGATTGCTTAAGTCATTTCATCATTGACAGCTTCATTGAGATNGTATTTATCCTTCACTTTATTTCTAAATCTATTTTTCAACCAATTCACTGTTTAGAAGTTTTTAACTTTTAGAGAAATGTTCTTATCCATTAAAATATTATAAATTGAATCAGAGTTATTATAAATTAATCTAAAAATATTTTCAATAATAAACGATTTTGCATGAATATACTGAGATGAGATTATTAATATATTCATATTACTCTATTAATAGGGAGTGATCAAATTTAAATCTTAAAACTATACCATTAATATATTACTTTCATATATAATACTATACTATATTATTTTTATGTGAATTATAGTAATTTTACAAGTTTCTTAATTGCTCATAATTCATCATGCTTATATTAATTGTATTAATTTATAAAAGAAAATAATTCAAATTTTATGGACCCCGGTGCTTGGATATTTTGGATATTCAAATTTTGGGTAACTGCTGAAATTCAAATAATTTTTTTAGAGAGTTTTCATCACATAGCACTTTAAAAATGAGAGAAGTCATATCTATTCACGTAGGATAAGGAGGTATTTAAGTTGGTAATGCCTGTTGGGAATTATTCTGTCTTGAACACGGAATCCAACCAGATGGTTAAATGCCATCAGACAAGACAATCGGAGGAGGAGATGATGCCTTCAACACCTTTTTCTCAGAAACAGGTGCAGGAAAGCACGTCCCAAGAGCTGTCTTTTTGGATTTGGAACCAACAGTTATTGATGAAGTCAGAACAGGAACATACAGATAATTATTCCACCCAGAATAATTGATTTCAGGAAAAGAAGATGCTGCCAACAACTTCGCCAGAGGTCACTATACAATCGGAAAGGAAATCGTCGATTTGTGCTTAGACAGAATCAGAAAGTTAGCTGATAACTGCACAGGTCTCTAAGGTTTCTTGGTCTTCCACTCAGTCGGAGGAGGAACAGGATCAGGATTGGGATCACTTTTATTGGAAAGATTGTCAGTCGATTATGGTAAGAAATCTAAATTGGGTTTCACCATCTATCCATCACCATAAGTTTCAACAGCCGTCGTTGAACCATACAACTCCATCTTGTCAACCCACTCATTGTTGGAACACACTGATGTCTGTGTCATGTTGGATAATGAAGCCATTTATGATATTTGCAGAAGAAATTTGGATATTGAAAGACCAACATACACAAACTTGAACAGATTGATTGCTTAAGTCATTTCATCATTGACAGCTTCATTGAGATTTGATGGTGCCTTGAATGTCGATATCACTGAATTCTAAACCAATTTGGTGCCATATCCAAGAATCCACTTTATGCTTTGCTCATATGCTCCAATCATCTCAGCTGAAAAAGCTTATCACGAATAATTATCAGTTGCTGAAATCACAAACTCAGCCTTTGAACCAGCCAACATGATGGCTAAGTGTGATCCAAGACATGGTAAATACATGGCTTGCTCCATGCTTTACAGAGGTGATGTCGTCCCCAAGGATGTCAATGCTGCTATTGCAACAATCAAGACAAAGAGAACAATCTAATTCGTCGATTGGTGCCCAACAGGATTCAAGGTCGGAATCAACTATCAACCACCAACAGTCGTCCCAGGAGGTGATTTGGCTAAGGTTATGAGAGCTGTTTGTATGATCTCCAACTCAACTGCTATTGCTGAAGTTTTCTCCAGACTTGATCATAAATTCGATCTTATGTATGCCAAGAGAGCCTTCGTCCACTNTGGGTAACTGCTGAAATTCAAATAATTTTTTTAGAGAGTTTTCATCACATAGCACTTTAAAAATGAGAGAAGTCATATCTATTCACGTAGGATAAGGAGGTATTTAAGTTGGTAATGCCTGTTGGGAATTATTCTGTCTTGAACACGGAATCCAACCAGATGGTTAAATGCCATCAGACAAGACAATCGGAGGAGGAGATGATGCCTTCAACACCTTTTTCTCAGAAACAGGTGCAGGAAAGCACGTCCCAAGAGCTGTCTTTTTGGATTTGGAACCAACAGTTATTGATGAAGTCAGAACAGGAACATACAGATAATTATTCCACCCAGAATAATTGATTTCAGGAAAAGAAGATGCTGCCAACAACTTCGCCAGAGGTCACTATACAATCGGAAAGGAAATCGTCGATTTGTGCTTAGACAGAATCAGAAAGTTAGCTGATAACTGCACAGGTCTCTAAGGTTTCTTGGTCTTCCACTCAGTCGGAGGAGGAACAGGATCAGGATTGGGATCACTTTTATTGGAAAGATTGTCAGTCGATTATGGTAAGAAATCTAAATTGGGTTTCACCATCTATCCATCACCATAAGTTTCAACAGCCGTCGTTGAACCATACAACTCCATCTTGTCAACCCACTCATTGTTGGAACACACTGATGTCTGTGTCATGTTGGATAATGAAGCCATTTATGATATTTGCAGAAGAAATTTGGATATTGAAAGACCAACATACACAAACTTGAACAGATTAATTGCTTAAGTCATTTCATCATTGACAGCTTCATTGAGATTTGATGGTGCCTTGAATGTCGATATCACTGAATTCTAAACAAATTTGGTGCCATATCCAAGAATCCACTTTATGCTTTGCTCATATGCTCCAATCATCTCAGCTGAAAAAGCTTATCACGAATAATTATCAGTTGCTGAAATCACAAACTCAGCCTTTGAACCAGCCAACATGATGGCTAAGTGTGATCCAAGACATGGTAAATACATGGCTTGCTCCATGCTTTACAGAGGTGATGTCGTTCCCAAGGATGTCAATGCTGCTATTGCCACCATCAAGACAAAGAGAACAATCTAATTCGTCGATTGGTGCCCAACAGGATTCAAGGTTGGAATCAACTATTAACCACCAACAGTCGTCCCAGGAGGTGATTTGGCTAAGGTTATGAGAGCTGTTTGTATGATCTCCAATTCAACTGCTATTGCTGAAGTTTTCTCCAGACTTGATCATAAATTCGATCTTATGTATGCCAAGAGAGCCTTCGTCCACTGGTACGTCGGTGAAGGTATGGAAGAAGGAGAATTCTCTGAAGCCAGAGAAGATCTTGCTGCCTTAGAAAAGGATTATGAAGAAGTTGGTATTGAAACTGCTGAAGGAGAAGGTGAAGAAGGAGAAGCATGAAAAATCAATATATATATAAATCAAATAATCAAACATTCCTAAAATATTTTATTAAATTTACACTCTTATGAATCAATCCAAATATTAATTTAATTTGATCTCAATAATAGATTATCTAATTGGAATCCCATAATTTTAAATGAATAAAATTTATATAAAATACATTTTTTAAATTCAGATGTTTTTTATTCTATATTAAATATAGGATTCTAAAGTAATAAGTTAGAGTTTAAAGTGATATATTAAATTAAATTAGTTCATTTTATTTAAACTGAGATATTTAAATTATACTAAGCTTATTTATATATATTTCAGATATATGTATTATCTTATGAAACTTCAATTATTTTGGATCTACTTTGCTCCCTTTTTATTATATAAATTAAGAACAAATTAACAAGTTTATCTAATTCAAAGTTTCATTTCAATATTTACAATCGTCTATAGTTATGATATCAATATTATCATATTAAAATTTAGAATTCATATCTTTAAATCTCAATTAGATAACTAATTAAGATTCTCATTTTAATTAATGATTATTAATAATAATTTATAAATTATTTCAAGATAAGGAATATTCATTAATTTTTAATAAGAACATCTTATGGATTACTTAAAATCATAATTTTAATGATGCGATAATTTAAAATTAAGCGATATTAAGACTTAATTCACATAAGTCTACATTTTAATATCTTAATACAATAATTTAAACAATAAATTCTACAAAATCTATTAGAACTTTCAAAATTAAATAAATATAGTATAATTAGAATGAATGCATTTTTGACTCAAAACCAGAAATTAATTTCTATATTTCTATTAACAATAAAATCATTAACTAATTTTCATTAAGTTTATATATTTTATATAATATTATGCTAGCAAAAAATGAAAATATGAGTTTATTAGGTTTTGTTCCAGCATTGGTAGTCCAATATTTAGCTAATCAATAATAAATAACTTAACTTCCAGAAAAGCAAAATTTAAGATCTGTAGTGATGTTTGCAGATATATCAGGATTCACGAATTTGACAGAAACTTTATCAAAATTAGGAAATGAAGGAGCTGAGCTTATTGCATTTGCTATTAATCGTTATATGGAATTACTAGTATCAGCAATAAGTAAGAGTGGTGGAGATATTTTTAAATTTGCTGGAGGTATGCAGAATACTATTTTTAGATGCCATGATTGTGGTTTGGCCTCCCTCTATTAAAGAAAGTGCTGTAGAAAACCATGAAGAATTGAAAGTCATATGTAGATTAGCTGTACAATCAGCATTAGACATTTAATCGAAGTTAAATAATACTACAATTTTGGAAGATATCAAACTTTCAGTTAAAATTGGATTTGGTATTGGAGACATCAATATAATATATGTTGGAGGAGTTTTTGGAAGAAGTGAATATTTGGCTACAGGAGATCCTTTAACTTAAGCATTTAAAAGTGAACATCATGCTACTAGTGGAGGGTAAATAATAGTTTCATAGGAGGTGTTTGATATGGTCTCTGATTTTTTTGTTTTTTAGAGACTATAGAATGATTCTAGTTTTTATATGGTTGTAAAATTAATTAATAATAAAGTTTAATTGAAAGCTGGAGCTTAATTAATTAAAAATAGATTAGGGGGGATAAATAAATAATAGATAATGACATTTATCCCTGCAGCATTAATTCCTTATATAGAGATTGAATAGGAGAAATGGAGTAGTGAATTAAGAAGAATCACAACTTTATTTATAAATTTAGGAATTGATCTTAGTGATGCTGATTCAAGATTGTAGCATATATAAAAAGTGATAGAAGTTGTATAAAAATGTATTTACATAAATGAAGGTTCATTAAATAAATTATTGATGGATGATAAAGGATCAACACTAATAGTTGGATTTGGATTACCTCCTTTAAAACATTAGGATGATCCTATTCGTGCTTTGTTAGCAGCTTAGTTATTAGTAAAGTAGTTAAGTTTAATAAATTGTAAATGTTATATTGGAGTTGCAACTGGAATAGTATTCACTGGAGTTGTAGGAACAAGTGGATCTAGAAGGGAATATTCAATATTAGGAGATGCAGTTAATCTAGCTGCTAGATTAATGTAATTAGCAATAATAGAAAATAAATCTATTTTATTATGTTAAAAGACAGCAGAAGATTGTGAACATAAAATTGATTCTGAATTATTTAAGATGGTCTAATTGAAAGGTAAGACTGGACTCATTCCTGTTTATCAAATAACATAATAAAAATCAATTTTGAAAATTCATTATTATGAGAGCAAAATGGGATTTAATTAGAAAGGACTTGTTGGCGGTAAAGATAAGACTTAATAGATTTTGCATATTGTTAATACATTTTTAATGATGGATAGAGAGGGGAGGATCTCTTTGGCAGATATGGATATAGAAAGGGATTTCATTCTATTGAAAGGAAGTTATGGTGTAGGAAAAACATTTGTAATGAAAATATTGGAATATTAAATAAAAACTGAGAATCCAAAGGTATTAATTTTAGAATCTTCAATTAATTCCTTTGAAAAAGTATTTAAAGGAAATGGATTCAAGAAGATTATTAAATAAATTTTTGATATTGCACTATCTAAAACAACTTATAGTTAATAAGAATTATTGGCATTTATTAGTAATGGAAATAAAATAATTTAAAAATTATTAGAAGAGTTAATGGATTTAAATGAATGGTTAAATGAATATGTTAATAATTTTCCAAATTTTTAATCAAATACAAATGAAGAACAGATGATGAAATTAATAGGTTAAGGAATTGTAAAATTATTTGAAATATATTTTGAATAATAATTACCAGATAAGAAAAGGAGATTATATTCATAAATGATGGATGATGAATCTGATGATGTGAATTCTAATGACTTATCATCTGATAAAGTAGATGTCCCTCCAATTATTATAATTTTAGATGATTTTTAATATTATGATCAATTATCATTTTATGTAAAATAAAATAATTAAATTTTTAGCTTATAAAGACAATTATAAAGAAATTTAATAGAATATTAATAATAGGAATAACAAGAGATTAATTTTGGGAGATTCCAATAATGAGTAGAAAAGGAAATTCTAGAAATCCAAATAGATCCTAAGAGTTAATTTATGATAAAGGAGTTGAATCAATTATTAACTTATACAATGTAACACCAAATGAAGTAATTATGAAAGGAATTAAAAATATTGAAGAACAAAAACATTTTTTGTTATTATATTTTGGATTTGACAAATTTTCTGATCCAAATATACATCAAATTTTACATTTGAAAAGTTGTCGTTAACCTTTACTTTTAATTCATTTAGTTAAAGCATTATTAGATAATAAATATCTTATCAAAGAAAATGATTCAGTTTATGCTACTTAATAATTATAAACATTATTTTAACATGAAGAGTGGCTATAAATTGAAATACCATAAATTTGTTATTAAATGAATGGTCCAATTATTGACTCATTATCTTGTATTAATTTATTATTATTGAAATTTGCATGTGTAATTGGAGATATATTTGATATCTAAACCTTATTCAAAATAATCCCATTCAAATAAATCAACTAAAATAAATTATTAATGGCTTTGAAATAACTTGTATAATAAGATATAATAGAATTTATGCATGATGATAATGAAAATCGTTATTATCGATTTGTTACTCCATTTATGAGAGAATGTTTATATTAAAGTATGACATATACTTAAAGAAGATCAATTCATTCTTTAGTTGCTGAAGCATTATAAATTATACCTTAACCTTATGAAGATTATAAAGAACTTAAAAGGTTAGAATATCATTTGATAATGGCTGAATAAAAAATTAGTATTAAGAGTTCAAATGCAATAATCAAATTTTCACATAAAGCAAAAAAATCTTTAATTGTTAAATAGATTTAAATGATATTGAAAACAGATAATAATATGAAAATTCCTTTAAAAAAAGGGTTTATTTTCAAAAGGTCGGATAAAAAAGTATCATGGCAATACAGATATTGTGTCATTGATAGTGAAAATATGATGTAATTATGTAATATAATTGTATTTCTTTAGTTTGTATCTAAATAATTAGATGAGTGAACAAACAGGAATATTGCCATTAAAATTGATTACTACCATAATTCCAATATTTGATAAATCTGATGATTAGTAATAATTCTGCTTGTAAGTTGGTGTAAGTGATTGGATCAAGAAGGGTAAAATAAAAGGAGATAAAAGAGTATTTCTTTTTGCTTTTGAATCTGAAGATTCATTAGAAGAGTGGACTATCTTTTTAGAATTTGTTAAAGCTAAATCAATATATAATGATTTTGTTGAGAATTTTGGAAGAATATAATTACCAATTAATTTAATCAATGAGGCTTATGATCCTCAATTAACAATATATTTATAGGAGATGTTTAAAGGATCCATTAAAAGATTTCGATAATAAAATGTCACAGAACAATTAAGTAATAAAAATAGAAAATCAACTCATTCTAAACCTTAATAACTTTAGATTGTTTAGAGTCCTATTCCAACTTATCATTCTCCAAATAACAACCCTAAAAGATTTTCAGTTAGATTTAGTGCAATAAGTGAATAGGAAGAGAAATCTGATGATACTCCATTAAAAGAGAAATTAAGGTAATTCTTTTTTGGATCTTTTGCAGTATTAGCTATTCATTTACTTACTCATATTGATGAAACAAATTATATAGTACTTGGATAGGAAGGTAGAACAATGAGAAGATTAAATAAAAATAAGAAACATAAAAACAATATGATGCAAAGAATACCTAATATTCCTTCCATTATTGAATTTGACTTTTAGTGATTATTTATTATAAAAGGAAAGTGTTATTTTTAAATAAATTTAATATCTTTTATTAAGTATGCCTATTTTGAGAAGAAAAGATCAATAGAAAGCCAAAAACTTGAACTTGAAATTCGTCATTGACTGCACAGAACCAAAGGAAGATAAAGTAATTCATAGTGGCATAATTCCCTATGATAGGTTTTGAACTTGGATGAATTCGTGAGCTATCTTCAATCCAGAATCAAGGTTTAAGGAAAGACCGGAAATCTTGGTAATGATGTCACTGTTGCTGCCGAATAAGAGAAAGTTGTAGTCACATCCACAATCCCATTCTCTAAGAGATACCTCAAATATTTAACAAAGAAATATTTGAAATAAGAAACCTTGAGAGAGTATTTGTATGTGCACTCCCTCGACAAAGCCACATATTAATTGAAATATTTCAATGTTGGCTAAGATGAAGAAGAATAAAAATGATCAATATGACATTTTGTTAGTACATTAATAACAGATCAAATATTATTTATATTGTGGTAATCCATATTTTTTATGTATACTTTTGTATTTCATTTCTTATCTAATAGAAAATCAAACACTCCTTATTTAGTAGTAATTTTCATTAATTATTAGAATAGTTTACCCACTGTTTTGTATTTTCCAATTATATTATCTACATCTCTCTTAATAAACTATAATTATTTATCTTTAAATGTTGAAAATATCATTCTTCTTTATTAATTCTCATATTTCCTTGAAGCACTAAAGGCAATTAATTGAATGATAGTTTTTAATTATGTATTTCCTTGAAATACACCACATCCCCATTTCCCAGTTGATATAGGTTATAAGAATTCCTCTTCCTTAGCAAATTAAGATAATGAAAATCCAATAAAAGCTTTATTTAATTCACGTATGATTTCATTTTATTAATATTGTTTTACAGGGTTATTTTTATAATTTTAAGCATCCATAGCTAGAATATTCTAATTTAAATTTTTAGGTTATCTATAAACAAAGCGGAATGTATTTCCATATCCATCATAATCACAATATCTAATAGTATTTTTCACTATCACAACTTCATTGAACTCTAAAACTTTACAAAACAACACTGCTATTATATTTTCTGGCATTATTGTAAATAAAATTTCTTCTTATACACATCCACTTTTTAAAACACCTCCTCCTACATATTTATTTGCAAAATCTACAAGTATGCTATTTTATTATTCTTCTATTTTTTAATCAACAAAATCAATTATTTAAAGACTTTTTTCACAATTTGACCACAATTTTACATCTTCCAAAAAATTAGCTTAAGGATTTGGAAAAAATTGATGAATATGATAGTTCATATTGAAATTTATCCTTTCAAGTTAAACAATCTCATTTTCTAATTCTGAATTTGCAATTATAAAGTAATAAAGGTAACATTTAGCTTTTTCTGCTTCCATTTATAGAATATATGTTAAATTGTAAGTATTTGGAAATTGATCATTTTACTTTTCTAATAATCCAAAAAAAGCTAATGATAAAAATTGATAAATTTCTTTTCTTGTGAATTCAATGTGACCTTCAGAAATTAATAAATGTTTTTTTGGAGAAAGCTCTAATATATCTAAAGAATATTAAGCCATCTTTGGAAGTGTATTCTAAAAAAATAGATCTCTATAATTTTTATCTAACCAAGAAATCGCTGTATATAAACCTCTCAACTATTTTTCATTTTAACCAATCAAATCTTTTATTATGGATAAAGCACTTTATTGATCTTATTAAGAGATTAATTTTGTTAATAGAAATTTTTGTTTTGCTGATAAGGTGGGATATTTATACAACTTTTTATGATTGATATCCATTTAAATCATTAATTAATATTTGTTTCTAATTATAATCATTACTGTAAATATTTTTCATATCTCTCAACATTTCTTTTGAGTACTTCTTCTAGGGGACCCATTAATCTTCTGAATGAGTTGAAATCACAATATAATAATACAACATCAGTCTAAAAAATTAAATGGTAGAGTTACTTTAGCAATAACAGTTGCTTATCTTGGAGTATTCTTCAATAATGCCAATTCTCCAAAGTAATCTCCTGGTTTATAATCATAAACTTTTTCACTCTATCCCTTCCAATAAGCTTCTAATTCTCCTTCTATTATCAAATAAATTCTATCTCCAATTTCACCCTATATTTAATTTAACTCATACTTCAGTAATAATGGTTTCTCCTGCTTTATGTTTTTCTTCTCTAAGTACATCACATAATTAAACTCTTTCATAATTATCCATTGATTATAATAGTTCAATTTTACTTAGTATTTCTTCCATTTATTCTCTCTTCTTGATGGCAGAAAATTTGACAATATTGTTAAAAGTCTCTCTATCCAAAGCAAATGTTGTGACTTCCTCTATAGCCTTAATCGTGGCTGCTCTAGGAGCATTATACAATAAGGCCAATTCTCCAAAGGATTCTCCTGGAATATAAGTCTTTAACAGTTTCTCTTCCTCTAATCCTGTAAACTTTTTATAACATTCTAATCTTCCTTCATCAATAACATATAACTCATTTCCATCATCTCCTTGTTTAATTACGACATCTCCAACTCTTTTATTAAGTAAATAATAACTCTTACTAAAATTTCTTCTCATCCATGGCTCCTAATACAATATTCAGATCTTTTTCATCCAAAGCTTAGAACATAAAAGAATTTAGTATTCTTTTCTTTATCCTTTCAATTTAGCCCTCTGATTTCTGTATAAATCTGGGCTTAAAATCCTCTTTCTTATTGTATTCTCCGTAAACTTCAGCAGAAACTGCTGTTCTGGTTTGTTACTTTTATTGTTATTTTATCTCCAAAACTACTTCCTCCTCATCCTCTTCTTCTTCACTGAGATCATGATGAACAAGTTACTACACTTATACTCCACTTTCTTCAAAATTATGATATATATATTTACATTGTTTTTATAACCAATTTATAGACCATGAATACACGTCTTCTGGTTTTTCAATGACTATTCTAGCTATTAATTGATCGAACACTGGTTTCACTTTGTTTTTTATATAGTCCTATATTGTAGCTTTTTTCTAGCTCATAATCAATATTAAAATTTATTCAATTTATATATAGATGAATGGATATATCAAGTTTAATTTCAATACATATACATTATTTTCATTTTACATATAAAATTTAAATAGCTGAACACTCATTTTATTAAACTACTTTGAATATTTATAAATATATAAATTAATATCCAAATGAGAAAGAAAGTCTCAACCTTATAGGATTATGAAGATTGTAAACAACAACTTCTCTTAAACTACCTCAGCACTTTGGAGGAAAAGGATAAAGAGAAGTTATTAGAAAAGTTGGAATCCATAAATATTAGAAATCTTTTTGATGTAAATTGCAATCAATAATTTAGGTCTATAGTCATTATAAAGAAAAGACAAATGAAAATCGTGAACTAAAACCTATAAAAAATGTATTAAGAGTTGCCTCTACTCCTAAAGATACTCTTCAACAGTATCAAAAATTAGGAGAAAAATTAATTTCAGAAGGAAAGGGTATAGTTACAATTTAATAATAATTAAGTTTGTGTGGCAATGATGGCTGGTGGATAAGGTACCAGATTAGGTTTTAATAAGGCAAAAGGAATGTATGATATTGGTTTGCCTTCTCATAAAACTTTATTTCAAATTTTTTGTGAACGAATTTTGAGTCTCTAAAATATGATTCAATCAAGAATTGGATCATGTTTACCTATTCAATTTTTTATCATGACTTCAGATGTTAATCATGAAGAAACAACATAGTTTTTTATAGAAAATAATTACTTTAATCTTCAATCAGATCAAATCACATTTTTTCAATAGGATTCCCTTCCTATATTATCAATAAATGGAGATATTATGTTGAGTGATTGCACAACAATTTTGGAAGGACCTGATGGTAAGAATATTCTTAATATATTGAAAAGGAAATGGAGGAATTTTTAGTAGTCTCTACAATTAGGGTTATTTAGATTATATGAAATGTTTGGGCATAAAGTACATTCATATATGTCCAGTAGATAATGTCCTTTGTAAATTATGTGATCCAATTTGGATTGGATATGTAGAATCAAAAAATTTAATAATTTGTAGTAAATTTGTTAAAAAGGCACATGCAGATGAGAAGGTAGGAATTCATGCTTTAATTAATGAAAAACCATGTGTTATAGGTGAATATTTAAATTTAGATTAGAATATAGTGAAATGACATAAGAAGATTTGAATAAGAAGAATGATTAAGGAGAGTTACTTTATGATGCAGGAGGTATAGCTTAAATGATCTGTACAGTTGAATTTGCACATAAAATAATATAAGATCCTTAAACAAGTAATAAATTAGCTGCAAAGTAAATATATTAAATAAATTAGTTATCATGTTGCATAAAAAAAATATGATTACTATAATATTAACTAGAAATAGATAATTAAACCAGATTAAATAAATGCTTTGAAATTTGAATTATTTTTTTTTGATTGTTTTCCTCTATGTCCAAAAGAATAATTTGGATTGATTGAAGTAAAAAGAGAAGATGAATTTGGTCCTGTTAAAAATGCTCCTGGGGATAAGAGTGATACACCAGAAACTGCTAAAAAATTATATTTAGATCGAGATTAAAGATGGATAAAATATTATGGTTTATAATTTGCATAATAAATTGAAATTTCTGCAAAGATTACATATTTTGGTGAAGGCCTTGAAAATATATTACCAAAATATTTAGGTAATAAATAAAATCCACTTATTATAACAAATGATAGATAATCAGCACCAAAATCTCCATAATTAGTTAAATAACCATAACCAAAATAATAACCATTACAATAACCATAATAATAATAATAATAATAATAATAATAATAATAATAATCTAAATAAATATAAAAATAATAATAACAAATTGGAGTTTCAAATTAATAAATCTATCCATAAATTATTTATTCTTCATTAATTAATTCAGCACATCCAACAGTAATGTAACCTAATTATTACCCATATTAATCAACACCTTAAAACTCAAAAAATATTTTAATTTAAGAAAATCCTATACACTAAAGTTAAGTATTGAATCCTAGATTCTCAATGTAACATCAAACATCATCACAATAACAATTAAAATAAATCAAAGCTAATGCATTTCCTACTTAAGGTATATCTACTGTAACTACTCCAAAATTAATAAATCCTTAAACTAGATATTAACCAATAATGTATTCTTAAAATCTATTAAATACTAAATAAAGCATTATATAGCCAGTATAAATTAATTCATCTTTGTCACCTTAGAGAGTGACATCATATTTTAAATAAAGAGCTGTAACAGCATAAAGACCAACAATGTTTGCTTAATAACGTCCACTAATTATATCAGCTCAATAATATGTACCAATAACAACAATAAAAAAATGAGTAAAATATTAAAAAAATATTTAATTATTAAAAAAATAATAGTAATATTCAAAATGGGACATCTTATTCATTAATATGATCTTCATCTTATTTTTTTACTAAATATCCCTCTATTTATCTTCCAATTGCTTTTAATTCTAAAATAACATTCTATTCAAATTTAAATAGATTAGCATAATCTTCTTCCAAATATTTCTTTGTTTACTAACTAACTTGTACATAACCTTTAACACCATTTGATTCCATTTTATTAGCTATTAATACATCTGGTCCATAAATATCATATCTAACAATATCTGTACCCATAACACCTCCAAATATTGATCCTGTATGTACTCCTATTCTCATGTTAAGTCCTTCAAAATTTATTTATTTCCTGACCTAAGCTATAATTTTAATCATTTCAAATGCCAAATCAATAATATTTTTAGCCTCCTAATGAGGATTTCGATGATGATAATCTATCATTCCTATAGCTACATAACAATCACCAATAGTATATAATTTATATACATTCAAATCACAACATTTCCTATCAAATTCAACAAATAAATTTTTGAGCATAACTAAAACTTCTTCTGGTTTTACTTTACTAGAATATTCAGTAAAACCAGCTATATCAGCAAATAATATTGTTAGATCATCAATTTTATCACAAATACCAATATTGCTTATTCTATCATCTAAAAATTTATTTAAGGTATGTTTGGGTAATAAATATTATAATAATTGTGATTCCTTTTACTATTATGTTTTATATATAATTTTTTAATTAAAACAACTTACTTATTATTGTTCAATCAATAAAATCAATATCATATTATACATAGAGCTGATTAAGATAAAATATATTGAAACGATTTAGGTTCCATCAATTGCTAAAATAATTGTAGAATAAAATGCAATTGTAATACAAAATAATACCTTTATCCAAAAGCTTAATATTTGAATACTGCAAAATAAGGATTAAATAAAGATTATTTCATAGACATGAATATTTTTTAAATAATCATCTTCTACTAGATCTATCACTAATCCACTAAGTAATGCTTCAAAACATAATAATATTATTATGAAAATCTTCCACTTTCCAAAATAAGATTTATTATTTACTATAAATTACATTAAATTAAGTAAACAACATATCCATTATATAACTATTAAACCTAAATTATAATTGCTATAAAATTGAATCTGACAAAAAGATTTAATAATGTAATAAAGAACGTATATTCTTAAATTTTATACTGTTTGATTTTTTGATTGAATCTTAACAAATTCTTGATATTATTCATAACTAACAAATTGACTCATTTATTTTTTATAATAAGATATTTGCAATAATTAAATAAATGAGGTTTCTTTAATTATATTATGTTCTAATGTATATTCATTCTTTAATAATATGACATTCTCTAATTAATTTATATATTATTACCAGTAATTATTCATAATCAATTAATTCATCAATTTCTGGTTAATAATTTTCAAGTTAAAATTTATTCTAAAACATAGTGACTAATCTTTTGAATGTACTTGGTTTAGCTTATGATTATTTAATTTTATTCTCATCAGATTCTTATTGTTATAATAGTTTAATTGAATGTCTTGATTTATCATCCTAAGGTTAATAATAAGTTGGATCTATAGGTTTTATACCAAATACATTTGGTGTTCCTTATTCTTACATTGAATCCCTTCGCTATTTCATTGTATCAATCTAAGTTAAAACAGTTTTCCTTTTTTTAAGATCCTTCTTAAAAATTTCAGGATTCTTTCTAACCATATATTAACTTCTAGCTTCTTTACTCTATACATCCTACTCAATTTACATAAAAGATTGTTTTTCTTTATTTTAAATTTTACCTTTATAAATGTAAGTTGGTCTTATACCCAAACCTTTCATTTCAACATTTCTTATTTCAAATTCAATATTTTCATTTTTTAATTAATCAAATGCCTATTCTGATAATGTAATAGTATCTTCTAAACCAGTAGAACAAATTCTACTAGTTGTATTTACAGTATCTCCAATCAGTGAAAATTGAGGTTTATGAAATCCTATTACTCCACTTATAGCTCCTCCATAATGAATACCAATTTTACCAACTAACTATTAACCTTTATATCCCCACCTAATTTTATTACAATATTTACATTTTTGATCTTATATAATTCATCATCTATTCTGCTAAATTTAAAGCTCTTTAAACAGGATCTACCTAAGATAGATAAGTCAATTCTTATTCACATGCCTTAAGACCAGCTGATGCTAAATAAGTTTTACCAACTGTTTCTATTTTTTGAACTCCATAAATTTAACAATATTTATCAAATGTTCTAAAAATATCATCTAAAAATGTGATTATTTTATCCTTTTCTTCTATTACCATTTAATCAAAATTACAAATATCACAAAATACAATTGCAACCAAACCTTAATTTTAATGGATATTATATTAATCAGCTATTAAACAAATTTATTATAATAATTACTTTCATTTAATCTATCTCGAATGAATTTAGGTAACAATATACCTAATATATCATTAATCTTATTATTTTATTCAATAAAATTCAATTTATTTTAAGCCTGATCTTCTTCTAATTAAATAAACTAAAAGCATTATTTGAATTATTTACATAACTTTTTACTAAGTATTATAAAACAGAAAATAGAATTATAAATTATACTACAGCAATCTAATTTGATATTATTGTATTATTTTCAACTATATACCAAACAATATATCCAATCATAGTTGCAACAGCTGTTATTATATATATTCTAAAGTCATATATAGGATGAAATTTTATTGACAATTCATATACTATAAAATATTAAATAGTCAAAATTGAATTGATATTATCAACAGATTTCATTACAAATAATATAGAAATTGTAGCAGCAGTCGATAAAAAGAATTTTGCATATTCTAAATATTCTTATTTATTTGTTGGTAATTAAACTAAAAGTTAAATAGCAAAATATATAGCTTATAAAAAAAAGGTTATTAAATAGACAACTAAGTAAAAGTCTTATCTATCTTAATAAAAGTATATAATAATTATAAATGTGTTATGATAAAAAAGCAATTAGAAACTTTAAATAATTTATTTCTTTTTCCACATTAATATAGTTTAAGCCTTTTTAAATATTTATTATCTCCATTAACCAAATTTACTTTAACTATTTTATTAATTTATAAGTACTAATCAATATTATAATATATTATACATTTTTAAATACTTAAATCTACTTATTCTATATTTTCAAAAAGTTCATTTACTCTATTTTATAAAATAGTCAATTTTTTCCTTTTTTATTTTGATATTACCATCATTTATATATAATGTAAATATGAAAGAAAATCTTCATTTATTATAGGGATACTAATATTATGTTGATTTTAAACATAATCAAATATAAGATTAGTTATTAAAAGGAAAGATGTTCCTAAAATAATTGTAAATATATCTTAAGTATCTATTGAATTATTCCATTCATTATTGTGAATATTGTCAAACAATATATAGAAGTAAAATATAATTGGAAAAAGACCAGCTAATATTATTGCTTCAATTATATTCAAATTAATCATCAAATAACACCAATCACCTATACTTATAGACATAAAAATATATAAATAGTATTCCAAATCATATATTTTATAAATAAATATACATGAAATAAGAACACCTTAAATCATGTGTTTAAATACCATAATGATTATATTTTCCATTGATGATTTATGTTAAGAATACTTTTCCAATAAAATTGATTAATCTTTATTGTATTTTAATCTTTTTGATTGATCAACAAAAGAATAATGTTAAAGAGAATATAAAATAAATTAGTATATATAAAAGTAAAATATGATTTCTATTAAATAATCCATCTAATCAAGAGTGTAAGATGTATAAATTATAGTTACAAAAGTAAAAGAAGAAACAAAAGTTATTGTCTTGTAAATCGTTTATTAATATATGGCTCTAAAGAATATCTTTAAAAGAGGACTCTAAAAGAAAAGAAGTCTGTCTAATTCTTTAAAGCCTCTTAAAATAATATCAGTATTGGAATTAATTTACATTTCATTAAAATAGCATTTCTCAAATATTAATCTTTATTATAAAGATGTAATAAGATTTGAAAAGAAATCCTTTTTCTCTACTTTCTCTATTTTTTGATATTTAAATAAACTGAATTCTTATAACTACAATATTTGTAATTGACACCCATATAAGCATCTTAATAAACTTTAATTTTCATATAATATATTAATTGTTTTATCTGAAGTACACCAAATATCTTAAATCATATTTAATTAATCTTGAGTAGCTTAATAAAGAAATAGTACTTTAGTAAAACTAAGAATTAGTTTTAGATTGCTCTTAAAATAATGATTATCTGTGATATATTATAATGATTAATTATTCATCATTACAATTATTTTCTTTGTTCTAGGTTTCTCTTCAATTTAATCTATTATTATATGCTTTTATGAGTTAAGAGCTTAAATAAGTTATGAAGAATTAATGCTTGCATCACCAAAAGTATTTGAAAAATCTTATAAACTTTATTTAAAATAAGCACGCAAATCCTCTTCATTTTGTTAATTGAAATGTAGAACTAAATCATTCTATAATAAAAGTTCTGACTAATACAAAATGGAAGTAGAAAAGATCTCTTAATTTTAAGTGTAGACAAACATTTAATATTCAGATTTCCTAATAGTTTTCATAAAATCTTAGCATTCAGGCTTTAAATTATATTTAAGTCCCAAAATGATATTTAATTTAAATACTTATTCCATTAATGTATATAATTAATTATCAGATGTGTTATCACTTTCAGCTGATTATAAAAATACATTTGCACTGTCTTAAGTTAAATAACAATATGAATAATAAATGTAATGAAGTTAATCATATTAATGTTTCCAAACCCTATCATCAATACCTTCATTCTTTTTTACATTTCCTTCTCTCAAAAAAAGAATAAACTATTTATCAATATCCTAATAAAAATCTACCATTTCAAATAACATAAATAATCTTTATCTTTAAATATCTAATTTAGTTATGACCAATTTAAATGAATGCAACTCTTGATTAATTTAAATAATATAATGTTAGATATTCCTAATTATTATATTTAATAAATTACTAAATATTATTTACACATATGAATTCATAACCCATTGCTTTTGCTAAATTTACTTATTTCTAATCCAATAAACCTAAAAATTTATTTTTTACTTTTTATTCTTTTTTCTCAGTAATCAATAATTTAGAAAAAGCAAGATGATTCATAGCTAATTATAATAATAATGGATTCAATTCATCTGGTTCATCATTTCTCATCATATTCTAACATAATTCTTGCTCATCTATCTAATAATCTTCTGATTTAAATGGCTCTTTTGATGATTGATAACCTTTTGAATTACCTGCAAGATTAGATGCTCTTTAAAAAGTTTCATTATAAGCTTCATGATTTTCATTTAATGTTTTCTCTTTTGATGTCTATTCTTATTAAATTAAACTAATCCTATTTAAATGTAAATCCTCTTTTTATTCTGATTATTAATAATATATAAATCTCCCTTCAACAGATTTCGGAATCTGATTTACAATGTATTCTCTTTAACTCATAAGTTCATCTGAATATTAACTCTACATAAGGTAATTTATTACTTGAGACCCTTATTATATATCATCTTATTCTAAAATATTAATATATTAATATTTACCCTCTTTTTCTTCATTTTTGACTTTATTTTGCATATTTAAATCTACATTAGTTTAAATTAAAAATTAAAGAAATCTTGGTTCATCAAATTCACATAATTTATTATCATGAATTATACATTATAGTTAAAAGGATTATTCAATAAATGCATCTACACTAACTGTCAAATATTATTTATCTATGTATTTATCAATTTAACAAGACATTATCTATTTTTAATCTATTGTTCCTATTCCTTTAAGTTGTATAATACTACACATTTTATAATATATTTTATAGAAATGAGGAACCATTAAGATTAAAAATATACAATTATCAATAATAATTTGTGTAATTGATCTCAAATTCTACAAAATATAATTTTAATTGTAAACAATTATTTAAATCTTAAATTTATATAAATTATTACTATTATGATAACCAAAATTACAATGTAATGAGGAAGAAATTAACTATTTTCAAATCTAAGTTCTCCTAAAAATCTAGCATAACATTAACAACTATTTCCAACTTTTACTACAATCCCTAATACCCATGGAGTTGCTAATAATCTTTCTTAACAAAATATAAAATTTTCAAATCCAAATATTCTTGATTAAGGATCCTTTTTTAATTAAAAGAATCCTTTTATTTAAAAATTTTGTTCATAACAAACAATATTACCTGTTAAAGATTTTTTAAATTAGGCTAAGTTCTAAGAATCAGCTTACATTAAAATTTAATATATTACATCTATTTTAAACTACTGGTTTTCTAACAGTGGTAGAAGAATAATCACATAATTGATGTTATACACTAAAATTTTCATCATTACAATGTAAAACTAGTATATCACAAGGTGCTCTTTGATTTCTTTCTAATATAATAACATCTCCTATCATTATATTCTCAACATTTTAGATTTTAATCAAATTCATCTTATCTTTCTCTATTTTTTTCAATTTTTCATTTAATAATATTTTTTATCCAGTTAATGGGACATCCCTGTAAAACATACTAGGTACTTTCTTTTTAAATTCAATTATTAATGGATCAGATTCCATTAATTATATCTACTTTAATTTTAAAGCCATATCCTTTTAAATCAATGGACTCATTTAATTATATTTATTAGCATTATCAGTTCTGATATTTTTATTGCTCTATTATTACTTATATGATATATGCTATAAATGAATTGAAACATTAGCTAAAATTACAATTAAAAAATACAAACTACTGTTCCTTTCTTTTAAATTTAAACTTATTCAGCTTTTTTTCCTTATGAACTTTTTTCAGCTTATGATTTACTCTTTTATATTTAATTGCTTTCACTTTAATCTTGCTTAGTTAATCTCTCCTTAATTTTTTCAATTATTTCTTTATTGATAATACATTCATCCCATTATTTTAATACTCGTGCTTCTTAACTATTTACCATTTAATCCATTTTTCTAATCTTCATAAGATTATGTAAATCAACTAACCATTGTTGTAAGATTAAAAGAATCCCTACAAAATAAAAGGCTTAAGACGAGAAAACCTATAAAATAAGTAATAGAAAATAAAGAATATTTTCTTTAAGGGTTCTAAGAGGAATAAAAAAATTGATATTTGCTCTTTTTATTTTGTTTTCATTTTCACTATAACCATCTGATAAAACTGTCTCCCCATTCCGAAATTAAATCTTAATAATACTATTTTTATTAATATAATACTTGATATGTCATTTTTTTCATTTCATTATTCCTCCTATAATTTAGAATTAATTATTTCATTTTAATTTATAACAGAATGTCAATCAATTAAGAACTCAGTTTTGACTAAAAATCAATAAATAGATTCAACAATTTTTAGTCAGAATCTCGTTATAATGATTTAATAGAATAATGGTAAGACAAAATATAAAGTTTGTAATAAAATATTCAAGAAATGCAATTACAAAAATAGGATGTTAAAAATGCTTTAATTGAAGCTTAATCTAGAATGAAGAATAAACGTGGTTAAATAGATGATTAATTAAATGAAACTAAATCATTAGATACTATTATTCCAATCAATTTAGCAAAATTAAATAATTCTATGAGTTAAATATTGGATGATAGTATTACTACTTAAGAATCTCAATCATAAATTTAAGGTGTTAAATTTTAACCTATTGCTTCATTTTTAATGGAGATTGGTTTAAAAGAGCGTTATTTTTAAAATTTTATCGATTTAAAGATTTATGATAATGTAAGTCTATAAAATTCATTGCCATCTACAAATTAGTGTAAATATTTATTGAATAAATATGGTATTGATAGATTGGGATATTAAAGAAGAATTTTGGCTAAATTAGATGAATGTATGCATTACTAATTAACTTATAGAAATGGGATTAATTTCTAAGAAAGGATTACTTGAAAATCTTGAACTTTATTAAAATTAAATACCAACAATAAAGGATTGGTTGAAATCAATTAATTTTTAATAGTATTATCCTAATTTTACTCTTGCTGGTTATGACAGTTTTTCATATTTAATTTATTTAGAACAAAGTTAATATAAATTGAATCTATTAGATTTTAAAGATTCTTTTTGTATTGATAATGAATCTGATTCAAAATTAATTTTAGCACATCTTACTATAAGTAAATTAAAAAATATTATAATTAGTTTGTGATAAAATAACAAATCTAAATTTATGGAATATTTAAACATAAAAGAAAACAAAAGAATCTGATTTTGGTTTAGTTTAATGTGCATTACCAAATAATAAATGTGTGATATTTTGATAAGAATGAATTAATTAATTAGTTAATAAATATATCATTAATAATATTTGTATTTTTCTAAGATTTCCATAATTTCCTAATTTTGGTAAAGTTCACTTAACTATTTTAATGATTTTCCATTTTTAGTTAATACATCTATTCTAGCACCATTCTTTAAGAGAAGTTTAAGTAATTATGGATTTTATTTCTTTATAGCTATATGAATTGCATAGAATCCTTTCTAATAATATATTTAATATTAATACTTAATCAGGTGTATTAATTATTGAATTATCAAAATATTAATCTTAAAATAGAGTATTTAGAGATTTGCAATCACAGTTTTATACAAAATTAAAAAAATACTATTATTTTTCAGAAATTTCTGGTTATTTTAATCTTTCAACTAATAATTCAATATTAGCTTTAGATTCTAATATTTTAGATGACATATATTAAGTAACATCTTCAACTTCTATATTTTGAATTGATGATTGACGACAATATAAAGGATTTATGATACTAGATTACCTTTGTAATAATGAAGTTTTTTTTTATAATTTCTTTTTTGGTTCCATATTTAACAAATGATGTAATTATCTCTTTCCTTTTAAATTAATTTTCTTAATATCATTTATTGTTGGATCTATTAAATAGGTTCCATTAAAAACCTTAGAAGTATTTATTTTAGATCTTAAGCATTATTTTCTATTTTATATAATATAAATATTACAATTATTCTTCTATTGTCATAAAATCAATTTCTTCTTAACTTAATTCAATTTAATTTTTTTGATTCAAATTAATACTTTTTGGATTTCTTTATGTTTTTATCTTTCATTTATTTAATTAAACTTACTTTAGATAATATATTATTTGCTTATTATTTATCAACTCTACTTGAATAAGGTTATGAATAAACATCTTTTAATATAGATAAATCATAACTATTAAGTTTACTCATTTTCAGTAAATTTAATTGTACTATTTTCTAATCAATTACTCCAGATTTTAAATATTCTTATAAAGCTTATTTATGAATTTTATATAACACATTTTCTCCAAGATGAAATCTTCTACTACTTAAAGAATCTGATTAATTGTTAATATGATAATTTATGCTCTAACTAGTCAATCGAGGTAAAGAATGCATTTCAGAGAATAAATTAATTAAATTTTAATATATATGAGATCTATGTAAAAATATTTAAGTTGTTTTAAATTATTCTTTGATTTTTTAATTTAACGAATATAATATAAAAGTTTTATAAATGTCTAATCCTTATATAATAACTAAATGTAACTGTTTTTAATCAATATTATTCAAAATGTTGATTACAACCTATTTGCTTAGTTTTTAATATAAAATTTACACCTAGAGGTGAGGGATTACTTTCTAAATCTGATACATAATCTTTTTCAAATTAATTGAAATAATCATCTACCAATTCTAATTTAATTATTGAAGTTTCATCTTATTTTTTTTTATTTGATTAATTTTAGATTTAATGCTATACTATTTCATTATTTTCTTTATCTTATTTGATATCTAATGGAATTTAAGTAGAATTATTATCGAAATGATTATTTTTTTATTTAAAATCATTATTTTCTTAAACTTTCTATGTTTTTAATATTTTTTTGAGTCTTTTCGAATTTTTTCTTAAGTAATTTCTAAGTACACCCATTTTTTCATTTGAAAATTGATTTACATCAGTCAGCAATTTAACTTTTTTAAATAGTTAATTATAGTCTTCTAAGCTTTTTTTAGGAATTCCTATTATCTCAGCTGCCTTATTGAGAGTTAATCTCATTGTAGTACCATCAGATTAAGGAATTCCATTAAGTAGAATAGTTTTCCATTGATTTACCTTTAATATTGCATCTCCAACTAATCTCTCTTTAACTCGTTTAAGAGGTGGTATTGAATTGTCAATATGGAATGGATTCATTAGTATAAAGTAAATATTATTAAATGATTAAAAAATCAAAATCACATTTAAACTTTTAATAATGATGTTTAATTTAATAACTCAACATATCTTCATCAAAATAAAATGTTTTCAACTTACAACCTTAATTTATAATTTAATTGTTTACAATCATCTTGATTAAATAAGTAAATCTTAAGATAAATAAATTTAATGCATTTTCATTTATTCATTTTCATTTATGGACTCATTTATAATCAACAATTCTAAATATATTTTTATAATGTGATATGAAAATCAAATAGAATTTTGTAAAAAATATAAAATTTCTATTATAATAATTAATATTTAAAGGTTATCTATAGGTATTTTATTAAAATTGAGATTAATGATTCTTAAGATTTTAATATTATAAAATATATAATAATTTAAAGAATGGGAGTAACATGTTCAAGAATAAAGAGCTTAAAGAGTTTTAATATTATGGAATTGCCTTACAAGTATGGAAATTAAAAGAATTAGTGTCCATGTTATTGCATATATTTGGTCTGATAATGGACATAATTTATTTGATTATGAAAGTGATTCATTAATCAAAAAGTAACTGGATTTTGATTTTTAAGGTAATGATCTTATAAATTAAAGAATAGGAAGAGTTGTTTAATTAGATCGAGAGATTTTAGCACTTACAAAAAATGTATTAATTTACAATAAAATTATCTAGGAAGTAGTGAGAAACCAAAAAGAAATATTTGAGTTTAGGAGTAACCAATAATTTATTGAATTACACAATTAAAAAATTGAAAATGCCTTTTGGAAAGTCATTCGACCTAATTAAACTTCAGATTTACCAACTCTTGAGAAATAGAAATTATAAATAAACTCTATAATAAAGTTAGGGAGAGTTAGGCTCACTATATTATATTATAGTTTTACATATGAATTTGATGACAAAGCTATACCAGATGAAATGGAAGAGAGGAATAAATTAAATGATAGTGATTTTATTGAAAGTCAAGTTTAATGTAGATTTTGTTTAAGTAAATTGGCTACCTTAGAAAATCCATTCATAAGTCCTTGTAAATGTGCTGGTTCAATAAAGTTTGTGCATTTAAAATGTTTATAGAATTGGTTGAATAGTTAATTAAAAAAAAAAGAATAAAATGGTGTAACTCTATATTATTGGAGGAGTATGAAATGTGAATTATGTAAGATTGCTTATAAAAGTAATTTTGATTTTAATATAATAGCATCTTTTAAATTTAAATAATTTCATTATAATATTTGTGATGTGAATAAGCCTAAAGAACCTTATTTATTAATATAAATTAATCATAATGATAAAAATAAAGAGTAAGGACTTTATATGATTGAAATTAAAAATAGAAATATTATAAAAATAGGAAGAACTTAAGATTGTGATATAAAATTACATGATATTTCAGTATCTCGTCATCATGCAAGTATTTTAATAAATTAAAATGATTAATCTTTTCATATATAAGATAATTGTTCAAAATTTGGTACTTTAGTATTAGCTTAAGAATCTGATTTATAAATTCATTTGAATTCATAAAAACGATTAGCTTTGTAAGTTGGCAGAGTAGTTATAGTTGTAACAATTGAAAAAAAGATAAACAAAAAAAAGTATGTATTTTTGTATAATGAATTCAGATTCAATAAATATAGAGTACCTTCTTAAGTTGAAGTTTTTAGATAAATTAAGTAACATGAAGATGAAGATAAAGATAAAGAAATATCTGGTGAATAATAATAATTAGATGATGAAGAAGAGATATTAATTAATGATCCAGCTTATGATAAAGATTAAGATATTAATAAATTTAATAATATGAATTTTCTTACTGGAAGTATCATACAAAAAGAGTGAATATATATATATATAATTTATTATTATTTTATTGATCAGTTTAATTTATTAGTTAAATTAATATAATTATTTAAATATCGATTCTTAGATTAATCAAAATATATTGATGGGGATTACATAAAAATATATCAAATTTATATTGTTTATATAAAAATAGTTAAAAAATTAGTATAATAAGTATTATGTCTTTTTAAACTAGGTAAATTTTATTTAATGTTTTTGAATATGAAATAAAGAACTTAAATTATTAGATTCATATTATTTAATGGTAAATTTTTAACAAAATTTGTATATAAAGTTTATAATAAATGTATTAAGAATTTACAACCTTAATTAATGGAATGAGTAATTCAATTCCAAAAAAGAATATTGCTGAAGTCTATAAACATAATAGACAACGATAAATGAATTTAGTATAAAGGAAGAGTTGGGCTCCATCAATAAAGTACTCAATGTTTTAATCTAATTATGGGACAAATGATTATCAAATTGTAGCTCAAGAGAGTTCAGATTCTGAGTCTATTGTTTTTACACCTTCATAATATCCATCATTACATTAAGTTGCTTCTCAAATTATTATGATTTCATAATATTCTCAGATTCCTTGTTCAACTGTATTAAAGGATGGTTTAAAATCTAAATTGATAATTAAAAACATTGATGAAAACATTGAAATTCAAAAAGTATAGGAATTTGTAGATAAGTTACCTATTAAAGGTTTTGTTTAAGAAATCAAATTAATATACTATTAATCAAATCCATGCTTATTATTTTAGTTGAAAACAGATTAGCCATTAATTGTTGCTAATCAATTTATGAGTAAATAAAATTAGAAGCAATCAAAATCAATATTTGGTTATAAATTTAGTTGTAGTTAATTGGCATTGATGAATGAAGACTTTGCAGCAATTATATTAAGAGGATTAGATAAAACAATTAGTGTTAGTTAAATAGAGAAAATTATATCTTATACATTAAAGATGGATTAGAAAGAGTGTATTAGAGAGACACAAAAACACATAATTGAAATAAATGATATAGGATGTATTACAATTGTTCTTAAAGATTTGGAATATTGTGAAAGAATTGTTATAGCATTAAATGGAACTAATTTGAATGGATTATAAAAAAATAAAATATTAGTTAATGTTCATCCTGAATCTGTGAAGATCCGAAGAATTGATCTTAGTTAATCTATTTAGAAAGGACTATTATAAGTAAATTAATTAAGCAATATATAGAAAATAATCAAAGTTAATGAAGATGATATGAATTGACAATTTTAATTTATTTATATTATTTTTAGATTTCCCAAACACAGTAGGTAAATAGAAAAATCAAAATGAAAACTCTTTCATTGATTATATATATATAATAATTAAATAATATTTTATTCAAAAATGACAGCCAAAGATGTTATTATGAAAATGAACAAAGAAGCTGAATACAATGCACTTACAGCTGATTTTTAAGGAAATGATACTAAATTTGTAGGAGAATATGAAAATGTCAAAATTCCATCTGATAAAAAAGAGATTATTAAAGATGCTTTCAGAAAAGTAGCTATTGCTTGTAAACCCACTTTAAAGAAGTACAATTCATAATCTAATTTAGTCTTACTTTGAGATAAAATTGGTTAGATATGTAAGATAGAGTGTATAATAGAGCATAATACTACACAAGTATCAAATAATATAATATAAATAGCTGATGCAAATTCATGCATTAGTGATGCAAGAAATGTAGCTGAAGTTAATCTTTGTTGTGACAATTATATTCAAAGACTCAATAATGATTTCTATAATGATGTCTTGCAAATATTAAAAGATTATTGAGATATTTCATATATTAAATATATACAAAAAACAAAATATATTAATATATAAATTTATTGTAAAGATATTCCATTAATTAATTTAGCTTGACATTATGAAGTTCAATTATTTCACTATATTTAATAGATTGAATATTTCTAATCAAAATTAAAGAATAATAATATGATAAATAAATAATAAATAAGTTATTATTTGTGCAGAACAATAAAATTATATAAATTAATGTTCAACAACATCCACCTCCTTACTTTTTATCTTCTGTTGCATCATTTGGTTTTAGTTATTAGGGTTGATTCGGTTATAAGGGCTATTAGACTTTCTATTTATTTATATATACATTCTTTACTTAAGGTTGCTATTATTATTATTATTCATTTGGAGTTCCTTATAAATCATAGGATAATCTTTTAAAGAATTCTGAAACATTATGTGCACTTTTAGCTGAAACTTCTGAAAATGAGGCTCCTAATTCCTTTAAACATTGAATTTAATATTGTTACTTTAGCTTTTGCTTCAGCTACATCAGTTTGAATTTATCTTTCTTACTCTAGATCTGTCTTATTTCCCAAAATATAAATTAAAACTTCATCTCCTCTTTCATCTTTCACATCTTCAATCCATTTTTATAAATCTTAAAAAGATTTCTCATCTTTAATATGTTAATAACTTTTACTTGTAATATCATAACATATAATGGCGGCTTGGGAATCTCTTATATAACTAGGAATAAGAGATCTGAATCTCTCTTATCCTGCAGTATCCCATAATTAAAGTCTAACTGATTTATTATCAACTTGAAGTGTCTTAGAAATAAAATCAATTCCAACAGTAGGCTATTATTATTTGAATTCCAAATACCTATTCATTTCCTGTGAAGTTATCAAATATAAATCGATTAATTATAGATGTCTTACCAACTGATTAATTACCTAAGAAGACAATTTTAAACTTCTGCATAGGTCCACTTGTTGTATTTTAGGCCATATAATTTCAAATAAAATATAATATTTTCAATATTTATAATTCCCATAACTCCAAACTATTTAAATTAAAAAACTTAAGATAATTCCTCATTATCTTAAGACTAACAATAACATTACTTATTTTCATTCAATATATATATTTATGTTGTACATTTAACAATAAATTTAATTAATCTGTTAAACATGCTTAATACTTATCATACACCAAAATAGACATACAAATAATAACCATAAAAAATCTACTAACATATCCATCAGAAAACTCTAACCTCTAAGTCTCTTTCATCTTAATAATTATAATTTCCCTTATAATATAATCAAATGATCAATGATTAAGATCCTTCAACACCATAAAAGATTTCATTGGCTAAGGGTGTTAAATTATTAAATATTCCATCTTAACTTAATGATAATAGTTTTAGAAGAAGTAACTCTAAAAATATCTTGACTTCAGATAGTCCACTTATCACACATAACAAAGAAAATAATTCAATTGGAAGGAGAATATGTACTGAATCAAGTTCTTAAGATAACTCAAATTCTTTTGTTATTCAAGAAAATAAAAAGTTAAATGAACTCATTTAAAGATTATTTAAAGAGAAATAAGAATTAGTTACAATCATAGAAAAATTAAAGAATTAACAATAATTTTAATTGGTTTAAACTGATTAATACAATCTACTTAGTCTAAAAGCAAGAATTGAAAGATTAGAAAGTGTTATTGATTAATAAAGTGAAGAAATTAATGAATGGAAATTAAAATATAAATAAGCATGTGAAGAAGATGAAAGAATAAATGCAATTGATTAAATGGTAATATTTAATATTATTATAGGAATCATAAATAATGAAAGTAGTTGAAGAGAATGAAAGACTAAATAATTTAGGTTTTGAAAAAGATAAATAAATTTAAAATTTAAACAATCAAATTATAACCCTTTATAAGTAAGTACATGAATATGAATAAAAAATTAAAGATTAAGCAACTCTTATTATAGCATATGAATAAGATACTAAAGAATTCAAAAAAGAATATAAGACTAAATTAACTATAATTGAATAATTATAATTAGAAAAGACATAACTTTCATATTAATCAACTTTTCATGAAAATTAATAAGCATAACCAAATAATAATTAGTAAATCATTATTGATTCAATTAAATAAATAGAATAAGTATATATCATTAAAATAATATAGTAATTATGTGATTTATCAACTTAATACACATCATAAGTTTTGGAAAATTAAAGATTATTGAGATAAAATAATAATTTAAAAGAAGAATTAATATTGTAATAAAAAGTTTTAGATGAAATAAATACATCATAAAAAGGGATTGTTAACCCTATATTTTAAGAACTCAATAGAAATGTAATATTATTAAAGGATAAAATTTTGAAAAATTGAATACAATATTATTTTATTTAATTGAATTGAATATAATTTACTAAAATTTACATTAAGAAATTATAAAATACATTCATTTTAAAAGATAATAATTATTATTATTGAATTTAAAGATCTAAATCTAATAACTTAATAGATGTATTACATAAATCAATAATGTAAAAAATGGATAAGAAAGTTTTAGTGATTAATTAAAAAAAAAAAGTATTTTTAAGTTCTTAACAATGAATGGGTAACTTATTTCATTCATTTTAGAATCTTCTATCTAAATCATTTATTTAAAGATATAAATTAATTATAGAAAATCAAAGTTGAAATTTATAATAATATATTATTTAATAATAATGGAATTATTGCCTATAAATGTAATTGCTTAAATTTTGAAATTCTTGAATATTAGTGAAATATATTCTAAATTAACATTATCCAAACACTTAATGTATTAATTATTTTGAATTAGATAATTATTATAGAATAAACAAATACAAAGATTAATATTAAGCATTTATTATCCTTAGTAATTGATGATCAAAGTATAATAGGATCAATATATGAGTTTAATAAAATCCTTGAGTAATATCACATTATAAGAGATTCCATTTTGGGGAACTGAAACTAATGGAGGTTTGACTGATAATAGTTTAAGATTTTGGATTGGAAAATCATTCATGAATACAGATAGTTAATAGGTAAGTATTCTTAGATTAGAGAATTCTTTTATTTCAGGAACTTTAGCTTTTGATTCAATTAACTTAAAATAAGCATTAGTTTAATATACAAAAAGATTTATTGAGATTTTGGGAATGGAATTAAGTTAAACATTTTACACTTCTAATTCTGTTAATATTAGTGCTAATAAGATTAAAATCTATGATTTATTTTTAAGTTTTCAATATTTAGAAGATTTTGAAGATTAAACAATATTTGATGGATTAGAGTATCTTTATCTTTATTAATATTGTAAAAACCTTTAGATAGTTTTAATGACTTCTTAAGATAATTACAATTTAAAAGATGATGATCATTAAATGTATTCGTTTTATATTTATATATTAGTTTACCTTTAGCAATATCATTGGTTTAAGGAGTGTAAATTTGTAGAAAGACATTTAGTGATAAAATAATAAAAACAATATTATTAATAACAAGTGAAGATTAATATATTAAAGAAAATAAAAAATATAATTTAAAAACAGTTGATGAATTATATAAATTAATTAATGAAGATCCAAATTAATATAGTCCTGCTTAAACAAATATATCACTTTTATAGAATTTTAGTGATTAAACTTAATTTGATAATTCATTTTAAAATGAGTATATTTATTGTACTTTTGAACCAAAAGGATAACTTTAACCTTTAATTTGGCTATAATTTGTCAATCCAAATACTTATGAGATTACTATAAAATTTAATCAATTTACTCAGAGATTAGCTAAATCAATTTAACTAAAATTTTTAGAAATTGATTAATAAGAATAATTTGAATATACAGGAATTTCATTTGGATATATAAGTATATAAGGATATGTTTTAGATTCCAATGACTTAAATATACTTAAATTAAATTGAAATGAATTTATATAAATATATTTAATTTTGTAAAATAAATATTATTTTATTATTAAATATGATTGATTAGCTTCTTTAAGATAATGGATTACTTAGAAAATAAATTCCAATTGGATCATAATCTCTATTTAGAGCTATATCAGATGCTCTTTATTTTACTACTTCATAACATGCATAAATTAGTTAAATGTTAGTCTAATATTTGGAAAAGTAAATAACTTTAAATGTAAAATGGAAAATGAATATTAGCTCATTCCTCAAAGTTTATCAATTTTAAAAACAAATTAAGCCTTAAGAAATGATTATTGCAAACAGCCAAGTTTTTCAAGTTTCGATTAAATCAATTTATAATTAACATCCATGATGTTTCGTGTTAAAATAAATCTATATTACATTTAAGATAATAGATTAATGTGTAGAATATACAATGATCATCATTTAAGAATGATAGAATTATGTAGGGATGATAATAATCATTATGATTGTGTTTATTCAAAAGAATTTCTTTAACATGCCACAATAGTTTAATAAATAATCTATGAAGTATTAAATATAATAATATATCTATTAGTAAATAAATAATATAATAGGATTAAAGGCTGATATACCTAAAATATTCAAAAATATTGAATAAGATATTTGGATGAATGAAAAAGTATTTAATGATGTCAGATCCACTAAAAAGATTCGATCTAATTCTGAACATAAAAAAGATCAATAAGATTTACTATAATCTGAATTAGAAAACATTTAAAAAAAGTAACATGAAGAGGATTCTACTGAAGTTTAGATTAGTAATCTTAAAAGTAATCCACCAGGATTAGATAAGTAATAAAAAGAGAAATATTCAAAGTAGTTCTATAAGAACAAATTAAAGTAGTACAACTCCAAATAATAAGCCTGTCATTTTAGAGGTTCCAACAACTAGAGAAACAGGAAAATTGAAATTCTTTGATGAATAAAAAAGTTATGGATTTATTGTTTTGGATTCTGATAATTCAGATGTATTTGTTCATTTGGATGATTTACAAAGAGCAGGAATTACAAAAGAAGACTTAAGAAAATTAGGATCATGTTTTAGATCTTAAACATAAGTAAATCATTATGGAAGAGGAAATGAAAAACCTCCATCATTTTCATTTTAATTAATGACATATGTTGGAAAATATAATAAAAGTAGAAAAGCAGTTGATCTAAAATTAATAAACGAATGATTTATAATTTCAGTTATATTAAAAATAATTCATTAATATATATATATTCATATCTAAATTTTATATAATATTAATAAATCAAATTTTTACATATTTATTAAGTCTATAATAATTATTAATCCAAATATTTATGTTATAAATATTTCTATTTTCTTTCTTTTTTTATTCATATTAAAATATTTATATAATTAATATATATATTACTTTTACCATTTGAATTGAATAATATTTAAAATCAGATAAAGAAAATAGAAATTCTTTAACAATATTAAATAATTTGATATTCTTTGTTGATAATATTTAAATTGTAACCATTTTTACAATTAAAAAAAGAATATATAAATTTTTCAATAAAAAACATTAATAAACGTATATATAAAAATATTAATTATAATTATATAAATGGGATTGTGTACTAGCAAAGAAGCTGTCAGTGAGAGTTCAGTAAGAAGAGTTCATCCTTTGAATATGGAAAACAGTGTTGTTTTAACAATTAATTATGCTAAGATTCCAAATAAATTTAAACGATTACCTTAAAATAAATCATGTGGTTTAATAGGGTTATAAAATTTAGGAAATACTTGTTATATTAATGCTGTAGATACTTTGATTTTAATTTAAGGCTATTTAATGCCTATCGAATACATAACCACTTACAGAATATTTTTAATAGAATCTTCACAATCATGAATTGAATGTATAGAACCCATTATCAAGCAGAGGTCAAATAACAAATGCTTATGCTAGATTAATATGTTCACTTTGGAAAGATTCATATTAAAAGAGTATTAATCCTATAGAATTGATATCTATGATTCAATTATGGAATCCATTTTTTGTTATGAATAGTCAATAAGATAGTCATGAATTATTAGCATACTTATTAGATATGTTACATGAAGATTTAAATAGAGTGAAAATTAAGCCATTTATAGAAGAGAAAACATTTGATTAACAACCAAATTAATAATAAGCAAATAAAGCATGGTCAGATTATTTAAAAAGAAATAGATCAATAATTGTAGATTTATTTTAAGGTTAATCTAGAAATATGCTATAATGTATGGTATGTAATACAAAATCATATAAATTTGAAACATTTATGTATTTAAGCTTACCTATCTAATAAGATGCTGAATTAATATAATGTATATCAGAATATTTGAAAGAAGAGGAATTAGATGAAGCAAATTAATGGTATTGTTCAAAATGTAAATCTGTTTAGAAAAGTAAAAAAGGAATAAAATTATGGAAATTACCAAATATCTTAGTGATTCATCTAAAACGATTTAAATTTACATCAAATTATCGTTGTAAATTAAGATAATTAATAAAATTTCCAATGTATAATTTAGATTTAAGCAATTATTCAGAATAAGAATAAGCCACTTATGATTTATATGGAGTTATTAATCATAGTGGTACATTGCATTCAGGTCATTATACATCAATTTGTAAAAATAAAGATACATAGAAATGGTATAATTTTGATGACATAATAATTAAAGAAATTAAAGAAAAAGAAGTTTAAAGTAGTGATGCATATTTGTTATTTTATTATAAAAATTCTGTAGATTCATATGAAAGATAAAGTGAAGTTATGAGATCAAGTTTAGTTAATTCTTAAATATCACTAGCTAAATAAAATAGTGTTGTTTAAAGTAATAATTTAATTATACCGAATACTAAATTGTCAATTAGTAAATTATGCGTATCTGAAAATGATTAATAATTAACTACCCCTTAAATATTTGGAAAGAAAAAAAGTCTTAAAACAAACAAATTAACACCACTTCCTATCAAAAAACCAGTATTTTTTGAATCTGATAATTAAAAGATATAATGATAATTATTGATTATTTAATTCTTATAAATAAAATGAATTCTATAGCTCCAGAAGAAAATAAACCAATTTTAAGAATGTTTTTAGCTGGAATAGCTTCGATAGTTGCAGGTGGATCTACTTATCCACTTGACACAGTTAAAGTGAGATTGTAGAAGGAAGGTGAAGCAAAATCTGTTGTCAAAAAATATATCAATATCTTAAGAGGATCATAAGTAATATATAAAGAAGAAGGATTACGTGCATTATATAAAGGATTATCAGCATCATTAGTAAGAGAAGCTACTTATTCAACATTGAGACTTGGTTTGTATGAACCATTTAAGCATATGATATCCTAAGATGGAGAAAAGACAACCATAGGAGTTAAGTTTTTTGCAGGTTTAATGTCTGGATCAACTGGAGCTATTGTTGCAAATCCATGTGATGTGTAAAAATTAATAATATTATTTATTAGTTTAAAAATTAGATTGTAAACTATATCTAGCCATCATTAATCAGTATTTGCTGAAATTACACATATATTAAATCATGAAGGAATTTTAGGTTTTTATAAGGGCACTATGCCTAATTTAATTAGAGGAGCAATTCTTACAGGAACTAAAATGGCCACATATGATTAAACTAAATAATGGTTAAAGGACCATTTTTAATTTAAGGAAGGATTCAGTCTTTAGTTTGTATGCTCATTTGCTACAGGTATTCAAATATTATATATATATATAGGATTAATCATATCTATTACAACTGCACCTATGGATTTAATTAAAACAAGAATCATGTCTTAAGATTCTGGACATAAAGTTTATAATGGATTGATGGATTGTGCAATCAAGACATTTAAATAAGAAGGCTTACGTGCATTTTATAAAGGTTTCTATCCTTAATGGTTAAGATTTGGACCGTTTAATATTATATAACTTATTGTTTGGGAATAATTGCGTACAATATGTGGAATTAAAAATATATGATTAATTTTATGTATATGATATTCTCATGGTAAATTTGTTAATTTATTTGTATTATAATAATCCCAAAAGTTTAGTCTAATAGGTTCTAGAGCATTCACAAATTTTTTTATTGCTGTATATGCTACTTCATCAGTCTGATTAGGTCCTACAAAAGTTTCAAAAACTTTAGTTCTATTTGGAGCAGCCAACCATGCAGCTTTGGCAGCATTCCTTACCATAAATCTAGAAAGATATATGGATTAATTACGTATGGTAAGGTGCCAAAGCTTCATTGTATGCATCAGAACAAATATCTGAAAACTTTTTATTTTTATTTGTATCAACATCAATAAACATAATCTTTAAATAATTAAAGAATCTAATTATTCTCAACATTGTTCTAGCCATAGATTAATAATTAGCTAAAGTCTATTTATAATTTAATAGATTTATTTTACTTTATTTTTTAAGATCTCTTTATTATTTTCTCCATTTAATTCCATTAATCCTTTCTATTTCTCTATTTATATAATTCCAAAGATTCCTTTAGTTTATTCATTATATTCATTTCCTCTATCTTTAATGACTTATGCTTTTTCAATAACATCTGAAAATGCAAAATATAATAATTTTCCTAATTGTTTGAATAATTTGCAAAATTCAATTAAAAATTCACCTATTTAATGAGGAGGATAATCTCTATTCTATTCAAAAAATTGATTAGCTTCTGTTAACAATTTTATAATTCTCTCATTATCATATCTATCGTTTTAATCCATGATTATTTAATAAACTAATTATTTAATTTTGAATTAATGGATTATCGAATTGGTTCAGCAAGTATGAGTGATTTAGAAAGTGCCAAATTAGTAGCAAAGAAATTGTTTGAGACATATGATAGAGATAGAAATGGAGTCATTGATACAACTGAGACTATACCTATGATAGTTGATGCATATAAATCATTTAACAGAAGTTTTTAACCAACAAGAGGAGATATTGATAGTTATTCAAAAGTAATGGATAGAAATGGAGATGGCAAAGTTACATATTAAGACATAGAAGAATTATGCATAAAATATTTATGTCCTTAATTTTCATAATAATAAAGATAATAAATTAATAAACCATAAGATCCTAGAATAGATGTTGCTAGAAGAGTATTTAGAAAATATGATACTGATAATTCTGGCTTCTTGAATGTTTAGGAAATACAAAAAATGGTAGCAGAAGCATACAGATCTATGGGATTAGCTTAACCAACATATAAAGATATTTAAACTTGGTTAGATGCAGCTGATACTAATAAAGATGGTTTTATATCTCTTTAAGAATTTGAATAATTTGTCTTAAAAAGCTTATGAAAAATATTAGTTTAAAATAACAATTTATAATTATTTTATAAAGTTCTTTATAATAATATTTAAATTAATATTAGAATAATTAAGTTTATTAAATTGTCAGTTATGAATTAAATTTCATAATCAATTTTAATTTGTATTTATCTATTTAACTATCATTATATAGTATTTATTTACAAAAATATTTAATACATATATAATAGTATAAAATATTTGAAATGTTTACAAATCTAGATTAATGAAAGAGTTAATGATTATCTAAACATAATTACAATCATAATAATTATGAGATTAAAAATAGTAAAATAATGATAATTTGCAAATAATAATTAATTCTTAATATTAATTTAATTTTTTCACTAAAGTAAAAAATTCTTGCTTTAAGAATGGGATTAAAAAATATATAAAATTATTATTTTTCATAGTTAAGAAATGAACTCGTAGTCATTTTATTTAATAAATATAGATTCGTATTCCTTCATTGAATAATCTAACAAAATTAGGATAGAAATAATAGTTTCTAGGAGATTAGAATGTCCGATCATGATAATCATGTATTAAGTAATTAAAAGCCAACAATGTTATTAATGAAAACATTGTTAGATTCTTTGATTACAACAATAAAATAATAAAAATAATATAAGAACTAAATAGATTACTAAGATTCATTCAGCAAGTAGAAAAAATGACAAAAATTTTAGGCTGTTAATTCAGCATTTGATTTATTTATATAAATGGTTATGAAGAGAAGATAGATAACTATAACAATTATACCAAAAATAATTAAGATCTGATGAGAGGAACAAAAGTTATACAATATAGTATAAAATATAGATTGAACTGAGTTTTTGTATTAGTATTGTGAATATTGAGATTAATATTATAGACATTTGAAATAAAATGGGATAGATTGAGATTATTAAATAACAATAATACTGAATCTTAACAATTTATTAGGAAATTCTAAAAGAAAAAATAAATAAATAAAATTTACAGACAGAAAAGCTAATCATTTCTGCATGAAATTGTTATCAATCGAATAAAGTGAATCAGAATCACATTAAAGTTAGACAGAGAGTCAAATATCAGAGGAAGAATCATTATCTAACAATATTGATTAATAGATAGTGAAGGATGAATAGAATTTAAACAAGTTGAAATTCTTTGATCCATAAAATTAAGGATGGAATGAGATAATCCAATTAATTGGACTTATCAAAGGTTAAAGTTCCATAAATAAAATCACAAAAGTCAAGGTATTAATTAAATCATAATGTTATCAGAATATAAAAAAAATTTAACCGAAATTAAATTGTTAAAAAAGAGAAAGATAAGAAAAGATGAATTAAAAAAAAATGCTTAAACAAATAGCCATAGATGATATTGAAGAACTACTATAAAACTTATGATTAATTGTTTATGATTATTCTTAATATACTATTAATTTTATGTATTTATTGATTTGTTAAATTAACAGAATATTTAAAAAAAAAATGTGATGGTTAATTAAAATTATTATAAAGAGACAATTAAAATAATGTAAAATTTTAGTACTCTTTTGTATCTATTCTATAATAATGAGGATTTCATAAAAGATGATATATAATCAAACACATCAAATAAAAAAGACAATAAATAAATCAAATTCTATATGTTTGATCAATATTTAAAGAACTTTAATGAGTTATTAAATAAATAGGTTTTAATGGAGAGACAAAAATAATGAATTTGTAAAAACATTTTGGAATAGAAATAGAAATAGAGAATAAAAGAATTAATCAATTCATTTCATATAAAATGATACTAATACATCTATAACAGAATCATTATTTAATTTATTGTAACTTTGGATAAAAAAAGCTGTTGTTCAAATTAAATAGTAAAATATGGTTCATAAAAAGAGTGAGAGACATTATTTTTATTTAAGAGATGATAAGATGATAAATAATATAATCAATACTAATTAATCAAATCTAAACAAATAATAATTAAAATAATAATGATTATAATTTTATTATTCTTGGCCAATTTAATTAATGCAGATTCTCTGGCTTCATAAAAAACAAATGAATTAAGAGAAATGTAATTGAGAGATGGAATAATTGAATTAAATTCAACTGGATATTTGTAATTATATTATATTCATATTCAAGTTACTACACCATGGAATTTCCACGTCCATATGATATTGTTATATACTTTGTTGCTCCCAGCTGCAAACTTTGCAATGATCTTAATGAACATTATCAAAAAGTAGCCAAATTTTATGCTGATTCAGGAGCATTATATAAAAGTGAATCCAAAAGGGCTGTCTTCTTTGCCACAATGACATTCAATGATAAAAATAAGCAAGTCTTCGAATAACTTGGATTTATTTCAGCTCCAAATTTATTTGTCTCATAACCTCATATAGTATTTGTCCCCTAAGATGAAAGAGAAAGATATTTAAGAGACATGAAATGGACTATTTCCTATACTGATGGTACAGTAACAGCTCATAAATTCCTCGAATTCATAAACAAGAGGACTGGAAGATAAGTTGATTACAAGGCTTCAACTTCTGAAGCACTTACTGTTATAGGTGTCCTTCTTGGAGCTTTAACATTTGGAGCTCTAGTATTCATTATAGCTAGACCATTATTTCTAAATCCAAAATTGTGGTTTATAGGATCTATAATCATATTCATTATTTGTTTGGCTGGAGTTGTCTATAATATTATTCATAATGTTCCATTCTTTACATAAAATAACAAAGGAGGTTTATAATGGAAGACCAATAGTGGTAGATAATAACTAGGGTTTGAAGGATTGTTCCTGAGTCTTGGAATGACATTTGTTGGATTGACTATGGTTTTAATATTGAAACTTAAAGTATTAGTCAAACATCAATAAATAGACCCGTAATTTATTAATAAATCATTAGATTTGTTGAAAGATTAGTATATCTTACATTATTCATTTGTATATTCTTAATCGTGTAATTCGTTGAAGAAAATTATAGACAAAAGTCACACTACAATCCAATCTATTGGCCACCAAGACATTACATCAAAGGACCATTAAATAAAGACTAAGGAAATTCATTTTGAGTTTATATTAAATAGTAAAATTAGTATTATTATATTAATAATTATTATATGATATAGAATTTAATCATCAATGTATACAATTTTAATTCCCTCAATTTAATTAGGATAAAAGTTTTCATGAATTTCCTAATATTTTTTAAAAAAGATAAAATTTTTTGAAATTAATTCTATTATAATCAATTCTCTTATTAAATGAGTTGAAACGACTAAGATTCAAATATAATTCTTTATTTCGCTTTTTCATTATTTTTATATCTAATCTTCCTCAATTTAGTTTTATTAATTATATTTTTATAATCTATCTGCTTCAAATAATTTCTCATTCTCCATAATTTTAATATATCTTGGATCTGTTCTAAATTAATTAAATATCTCAAATTTAAGTGCATCTTCTGCTGTTAATCTCTAAAATAATACATTATGATAATTTACTTATTTAGGATCTTTGTGAATCATCTATCTCAACAAATCCTTAAATTCATTTGAAATTGCATATTTTTTACCATCCAAATCATATTACTTAGTTAAAATATTCAATTGGATATTTTCTTTGTTTATTCCTTAAAAATATAATTCTCCAAAAAGTATTTCATGTATAACCAATCCTAAGGACCAAACATCTACTTTTTAATCATATGAGTCATCTGTAAAAATTTCAGGAGCCATATATAGTAAAGTTCCTGCCTTAATTTCATACTTTGAATTTTATTCAGCCATTCCAAAACCTCCTAATTTATAAACTCCATCCTTTATAAAAATATTTTGAGGTTTAATATTTCTATGAACAATATTATTTTTAGCCATTAAAACAAGTGCTTATAATAATTAATACATTATGTATAAGGCTTCATTTTCTTAGAGTTATTTTTCTTTTTATATATAATTACTTAAAGAACCTTAATTACAATATTCCATCACTATATATATAAGATTATTTGATAATTCTAAACATTCCTAAATTTTAACGATAAATGGGCAAATATCTATTTTAGAAGCTTCTGCTAATACCATAAGTATTTTCCCTTACTTCTTAGTAAATTAATATATTGCCTCACTTAGTTAATAGAATAACATTTTACTTATAATTAGATTTTTTGATAATTTTAAATGCTAAATCTTCTTGTGTTGATATATTTTTCCCTAAATATATTTCTGTAAATGCTGCTATCACTAATCTCTAATGTTTCCAATATTCATATTTATTTTCAATAACTATTCTCTCTTCCATTTTGAATTGTAGTTTAAATTTATTTATATAAAAAATTGACAATAAAATTTGTTTAAATTATATGAGTATTACAATTTTAATTATTCCATATAATTTATAATTTCCTTAATTCTATATTTAATTGTTAATATTTTGTTTTTAATAATTGTAATAATTAATCAATATAATTTTAGAATTATTTACCTTAGTTATTAGTATTATTTCATTTAAATATTATTATTATTATATACAAACCCATTATTTAAAATAAAAAATCAATTACTTATAATTAATGGTAAGGTTAACATAAAATGAACAAATAGAGAAATAAAATTTTAAATCTTTCTATTTTTATTAGATTTATAATAAAAAGAAGCATTTAATTATTTATAATATTAAATAATAATTATTTTAATGGGAACAGGTGGTGGAGGAATGAAAGCTTAATCATTATAGGATTAGTTAAAGTAATAGCAAATGAAGCAAGTCAAATCAACAAAATACCCTCCTTTTTCTGAGAATGAAGTATTCGTTCTAAACAAAAAATTTACTATTCTTGATAAAAATAATAGACAATCTATTAAAATAGAAGAATTTAAAGAGTTATTAGAAATCAGAATGCATTTCTTTAGAGAAAGAATCTACGCATTGATAGAGGACGATATGAAGAAGTATATCTTCAAATATAGTCTATAGACGAAAAACAGAAACAATGGATTTTGCAACATTTATGAAATATTTAACTATTTTTCATCCATTAGCAGATGTAGAAATGAAGAAAGATTACATGTTTAAAATATATGATTTAGATTAAGATGGTAAAATAACAAAGGAAGATTTAACAGAAGTTTTTAAGATTTTATTTATGAAAAGTTAATCATCAGGAATTTAGAAAAAGTCAATGAGACCTTAAATATTTTAAACTAATTTTATGAATAAAGATTATGTTGAAAAACTAGGAAAAGATATTATGAATATTGTAGATGATGATAAATCAAATTCAATTGAATTAGATGAATTTGTTAAAATGTTTACAGATACAGACTTAAAATTTAGAATGAATATTGTATTTTGATAGTAACAAACTAATTTGAAAAAATGAAGTTCATTTGTTATATATATTTCAAAATTCTTCTTATTGTTATGGTTGCTAAAGAAGTGGTTGTTAATTATCTGGCAACAATTATTATCTGCAATTTGGACAAGTTGATTGGATTTATAACCATGCAGAAATACATGTATTATGAAAATGATGAAGTTTACTACAAGACATTTATAAGATTTCATCATCAGTTTAATAAGGCTACATACAAATTGAACATTCTTATTCTCCTTCAATAATGTTAGGCTTATATAAAATTTTATTTTTCTATAATTCATTTAATGCCTTCAAAGCTTATTATTTCTTTTATCTATCAGTAAAACATCTAATTAATAGATAAACCAAAATAAAAGGTAGCATCACTAATGCCAAAGCAGCTAGTAAATAATACTAAGAATATTATAAGAATAATAAAGATCCATATATATAAATTTGAATAATTGGCCATTTATTACATTCTTAATCATTCTAACCAGGGATAGCTATAATATAATAAATTGTCCAAATAAATATTGCCTAATTTGTTGCATTGCTAAAGATGTTATTGTATTTGCAAAATTTACTTTAATTAACGATCTCTTATCTTATTTACAATTACATTACTTCTGCCTTTTTATCTAATTCCATTGTTGATAAGTTTGCAGTTGGATCAAAAACTATTATAATTAATATTTAATACTTTCTGGAGCTATTGGATGATCTGTCACTTCATTTATTGGAACAAATACTATTTAAACATAATGAAAAGCTAAATGCTATTAAATTTATTGTATATTAGAGAAATGAAATAATTATCCATATAAAACTAAACTAAATATAGCTTGGAGATTGCTAAATAACACCCAATAATGTAAGTCATCCCACCCACAATTTTGTAATGATAATAAAACTAAAATAATTGACATGCTGATTATTAAGTATAATCTCTCAAGGAATAAGAAAAACACTCTCAATCTAAATTAATCCATTGCTCTAGCAAAAAGCTTTGTGAATTTAGGAACAGTGTTTCCTTCATTTTCATTATTTTCCAATTGTTATCCTCCATCGAATTGAATATTCATTTCTATATTATTTTATATATTATTTAATTATAATATACATATCAACTCAATTTCTGACATTCTTATACTATTTTTATTATCATTAACATAAAAAATACATATTTCTATTATTTTCTAACTATCTATTCAAAGGAACTATATCATTAATTCTTTAAAATCAACATAATTATCTTAACTATAAAATTTGTGAACATAATTATATTAGTGAATACTAAATTAATCAATCATTTTGATAAAAATATACTTCCTATATCTCTATTAAATGAATTATTAATGATAATTTAAGAATTAATTTATTGGATAATTAAATAAAAACATTTAAAAGAATTTAGAATAAAAATTGTAGATAAATATAATTATCTAGTTTATAATAGACCATCAGAATTAATTTATATCTATTACTAGATAGAAATAATTAATTTTATCAAATAAATCACAAAATTTAATAATTAATTAAAATAATTATGATAAAAAGATTACTACCTTTATCTAAGTAAATTATATCAACTGTAAAATTATCTACAAAAATGATTTATATTTAGAAAATACAAATACCAAAACAACAAAATATAAATAAGTCATTATATAACTTTTGTTAGAATAATAACATGTAATACAATTAATTATAATAAGTTCAATCAAAGAAATAAATGATCATATAGATTCTATTTAATAATAGATAAAAGCTCATTATGATTCTGAAGAGGTATTTAATAATTAGTTACAAGTTGTATAATATTTGGAAGATAATCTTTATAATTGTTATGATAATTACTTGGATTATTATTATATATAAGAAATTTTGATTTTACATCGTTATCAAATCGCAAATTATGCATTTATAAACCCATAAAATCCTTTAAACAATGAATTAACATAAAAATTAATAAACAACGATTTTAACAAATATATAGATAAAATCAAATAAAATAAATACCTAGAACCAGAAAATTTGGAATATTTGAAGATTAAATTGAAGGCTGCAAGCATTATGTGTAATATGATTAATTATGGTATGGAAGCAGATATTAATTAATTACATGATTGGATGAAGTAATAAAATATTATTGATTATTAGTGATTATTTAGATTAACTTGAAATTCATGATTAAATTTGTTCAGAAATTTTATCTAAATATGACTTTGTTACAACTGATAAAATGAAATTTATAGATTTAAATGATATTCATATAAATTTCTTCTTTTTTATTGCATAGATACATAGAAAGAGAAATTTAATGGATGAATTTGAAAGATTTTTTGATTAAGGAATTTAGGAAGTAGAATCTAGAGCAGACTAAATATTAAAAATGCCTGAAGGCTAATTTGATTTACATTTAATTTTGAATAATTTATTTTAACTTTTTGCAAATTTAAAGTCAGCTGAAGATATTTAAACAGAAATAACAAATAATTTAGTTATGAAACTGATTGATTTATTTTCCATATACTGGAAAGATGATTGTTTTTTAGACTTTATGGTGTCTTTTGCAGACTATTTGGTATCTTAAAATCTTTTTGAAAAAGCAGCTGAATTATTAAAAGAGGCTTATGATTATAAAACTGATATTGTCTCAGAAGTTATGTTATTTTTATTATATGCTAATATCTATTAATGTAAAAAATTGGGGTTTTTGAAAGAAATTGACATGAGCAATTTTTTAGCCCAAATTGAAAAATTAAATAATGTAGATTTTGAAGATATGATAATATATGTATTCTATGTAAGATTAATATAAAAATATTCATAGTTTCATAAGAACATTTTTAATGAAATTTTAGAAACAAAGAACTCGGATAAAATAAAAGAACAATTTGATAAAGTTATATTTTATATTTAAGAAATAAGCAGAGTGATGAAAAATAATAAATTAGAAGTATTTAAAATTATGATTGATAGGCTTAATTACCAATTTTTGATTGGATTGATTTAGTAATGACAAATAATCTATTAAAAAATAATGATTATTATATTTTAGCAATTTATAATACATTGAATCTATTTAAAGACATTGAATTAATTTAAGATCGTTAGAATTTGGAAAGAGATTTTTATTTAATAGTTTTGTCATTTTGTTTGAAAGATTAAATAAATTTAGATTCTTAATTAAAAGTAAATAATGTAAAGGCATTTGTAATTAAATAATTTATAATTCATTCTAGGCTTTGAAATATATTAGTAATTAGGAAATGTAAGATATTGCATTAAATAAATTATTACTTTTGAATTTCAAATTAATAGACGATGGTTATTAAAAAGAATGCATAGAAATTATAGATTAATTAATAATAATGATACCAAAAGAAAATGATAAAATTTATAAATTTGTTTAGTAATTCCAAAATTAGAAAAATTAGATTCTATAAAAAAAATTATGATATAATTTTATATTAAAATGTATTAAATAATTATTTAAAATAAAGTTAAAATTTCAGCTCAATTATTTTTTTAATTTGTAATATTATTAAATTATCAATTACATTTCTGCTTCATCAGGTAATGAATATAATTTGATTTCTTATCTTTATACTGAAAAACTCTATTTTTTAATTGATTATAAATGATTACTTTTTTAAATACTGACAAAACATTTATGGCTCTTCGAGAATCAATCCATCTATGTTTTATCTTTGCTGAATATTCTTCAAATAATTTAGTAATAATATGTCTAAAATAATAAAGTAAAATTACTATTCAATATTAATTCTAGGTTTTTAATCACTTCCTCTTCCTTAATATAAGATCTAAAGTTTTTCTTTAAAAGCTTTTATAAATTTATCTTTGAAATTCTTCCTAACTAATCGAAGTTTTCTATAATTTCTTTAAATGCATTTTACTAATTTACTTATTGGATATAAATACTTTTAGAAATCAATTAAATATGTTTATTTATGAAAGTTTAATAAAGTATGATATCAACCAAGAATTAACTTATTATTCTTTCTGATTTTGTAATACATTTCTCTTAGATGTAAGATGTAAAAGTAGATAAAACAATAGATGATTTACTAAGAGATCTTATAAATGGGTTATCACCATATTTCTTTACTTCAATTAAAGCCTTTGTATGCAATTACCATACTAATAAATTAGCTCTTGCTGCTATTTTATTCTTACGTCTTACTTTCTAACATAAATAATAATTTTACTTCTAATTTTCTATAAATTTATCTACATATATTAAATATTGTTGTTATCAATATCCAATTCTTTTTAACAAATATTTATAATTATAATTCTTTCTAATGAACTTTTTCTACTTCTCTAAATTATATTATTTAATCTTTGACTAATAGTTTAATTAATCTTGTTTATCTCACTTCTTTTTAGATCAATTTTGATCTCTAAATAGTCTCTTAAGATTTAGTATTTCTATCTAATATATACTTTATTATATTACGTTTTGCTTTTAGCATTTCATCTAATTTTGAAAACATTTTAGTTTTAGCCATTTCAATATTTTATAGAATCTTATCTTTAGGATGAATTGTTCTTCTTTCAGGAAATGTATCAAAATTTATCATAGATTATACTAATTTTTATCCATTTGATGCTGTTTATTATTCTCCAAATGTAATTTACATACCTATTATGGCATCAAATTCACTATAAAATGTTAAGTAAACATATTCATCAAAAAATAATTTCGAATTCTGTTTAGAGTTAATCTTTACAAATCTACTCTAAACAGATTGATCTGCATTAAATTTATTTGGAAATTCTATTGTAGTCGAAACGAATAACTTGTATTAAGTACTTGTTATTTTGGATGGGAAATTTAATAAGATCTGTAAAGGAGCTAAAAATTAATAATATTTGATTATTACATTATTTTCCTTTAATTTTTATTCTAAAGTAATAAAATCTAAATCTGACAATTTATATCCTATTAATATATTCAATTTCAAGATCAGATTATTATAATCCATCAAAAGTTTTCAATAACTTTTTCTGTTATTATATTATTTTAGGTTTCTCAATAATCTTTTGTTTTGTTTCAATTTTAGTATTAGTTTTGTCTATTTCTTATATGGTATTGTAATTCTTCTCAAATTCATCATATATTTCGAGAATATCATTATCTAATTATAGAAATTGAGATTCAGGATGAGAAGATGTATAAATTTTAGATCGAGTCATTTGAGATTGGCTCATTGAAAGATGTCTCATAGAACCTTACACTGTACTAACAATATTTTCTTAATTACTGATAAGAAGGACTTGTTATTTTTGATAAACTTCTCTCTATTTGACTAAGCTAGGTAATCATAATAATTATTGTTATAAATTATTATTATTGATTATGTTTATTTTATTAGTTTAAATCAATAGAAAATGTACAATGTTTTATTTTAGAAATTAAACTATGTTAGATTCAATATAATTTTTTTATTTTAGCATATTAATCAATTAATTAAGTTAATTCGTATTCATTTGGCATGTCATATAATTTTGGTTCCGTAAAATTTAATGCAACATTTTAAATTTTCTAATTTAATATAATAAATAACATACTTTTGCCCTATTCTTTTCTTTGAATGTTCTATTAATATAATTCATCCATCTGGCTCTAGCTTTTTCACAATAATCATCAATAAGACTTTACATTACAGGTCTAAATGAATATTTATTATTTACACATCTATTAATATTGTAGGTTTCTTTCCATCACTAAATAAATTTCGAACATCTTTTTATCTTCTTAATTAATAAACAATATTGCATATATTTTCTTTTATTTATTTCCAAAACTTATCTCTAAACATTCTTTTTTTTTGTTTCAAACTTCTAAACTTTCTTTGAATTGTTTTAACTTAAATCAATTATTTTTTCTATACCTTTTTTTATAAGACTTTATTATTTATTTAAAGTTGTTAAATAGAGTAACATCTTCTTAATAAACCTAGTAATAACTTCTTCAGCTAATAATTTTGTTTTCTTTTTTATCAATAAAGCATAAGATTATAAAATTAATTTTGATTTAAATATTGTTCTTTCTTTTGGAGTTGATCCATATATTTAAACCTTCATTAATGCCATTGTTTTTAATTGCCAAACTAATAACTTTCCTTTTGCTTAGGCCTTTTTATGTCTTTTAATATCCTTTTATAAATTTTCAAATTACTTCTAATTTTGTCTTAACTTCCTTACAAAAATCAAACAAACTCACTATTTAACACCAAGAATTTTAAAATATTTTTATTTGTTCTCTCCTTTATTTCATAATTTTTTCTATTTCTCTATATTAATTTATCGATTCTCTAGCTAAAACTTTACATACTTTATCAACTTGTTTTTCTTCTTAAATAACTTTCTTATTTATAAGTACTAATTATTGCTTCTACTCTCTTTCTAACTTTCATTAATTCATAAATTTACTTTATTTTATTCAAGATTTTTCATTTTTTGTAAATATTATTTCATATCCAAATTATAAATTATTTTATCTCTCTTTATAATCCTTTATGTTTAAGGTCGAATATCTAAAAGGTCTTCTTCTACTTACTATTTTCTAGGAATAATCTTTTAGATTGGATTTCCAAAAATTATGTCTATTGTTACTTCGAAATCTATATCAGAGTAAAGTGTTATATACAAAAATTCTTTAGAGAAATAAGGTTAATTATGATCAGCATACATTTTGGCATTTTTTGCTTAGATGATTTATTCAGAGTTAAATTTAGTTGGAAATTCAGCTTTTGAAGATATAAACATTCTAATATTTGAACTTTGAACTCTATCTGGACAATGTAAAAATATTTGAACAGGAGACATTCTACCTTTTGTTTTAATTCTAAAATAGTAGAATTTAAATCTCTGTATTTTCACTTTATTCATTTTATTTAAATCATTTAATTTTAATTTCTCATCACTTATAGCTAAAAAATCTTAAGAATCAATTCTAGATTGAGGTTAATTTACTTATGAAATTTATATGTCAATAAACTTTTCTACTTTATTTAAAGTGATATAATTCTTTTCATATTCATTATACAACTCAAGAATATCATCAGATATATATTCTTCACTATTGAATAAAGTCACTTATTTTCTGCTTTTAATTTTTCCAAATTTATTTGCTCTAATTTAATGTTATGCACTCTCCATTTAAGTCATAAATGTATGACAAGATGATGTAGCTGAATGACTTTATTTTTCTACATGGAAAGGTTAGAGTTTATTTGAATCCTGTATTTTTTTTAATTCTTTATTGAAGAATCCTCTATGATAATATAGGTTGATTACTATGTTCTTGAGTTACTGGGACTATGAAATGTAGATTAAGTATAAGGAGTATGAGTGGATTTACTTTCTAATAATTTTGTTCTTACTATTCCAGGATTAGTTATCATATTTTTAATTAATTTTAGTATAAATATAAATAGAAAAAATGATTGTTATAATCTGTTACTCTTCCATTTTTATTAAATAGTTAAGTAAATAAATAATTATTTTATCTTGAAATCTTAATATTATTTGATATTGAATTCATACATTATATCAAAATTGATTCATTCTTTATGTTAAAGTAATGCTCTCGTAATTTCAGTAAGTAAGGAGGGTTATAATTCTAGCTTTTCATATTTTGGAGATTCAGATATAATATTGATATTCTTTAGTAAATGATTCATACATGCATTTTTTAGTGAATGAGCAGAACATTTTTATGCAAAGATTAATAAATCACAAACAGTTTCATTACTAATATATTTCTTAATGCTTTTCTGCATTAGATTTTTAAGTCCATCAATTAAATATTAATCAGCCAAACCTAATATAATTATTAAATTTACTTAAAATTTCTCCCATTGATTCAATATCCAACTCGGCCACATTAATAAATCCTGTATAAACAAAAAGTAGAAAAATATAGAAGGATTTATAAGAATAATTTTCTATAATAAATGTCTACTAATCACTTTCTTTTGTATCAGAGAAAAAGAGAGCTTTGAATTATAGAGATTAAGCAGCTAAATAAACTAAAATATATAAATTAATATATGATTACTTTTATGAGCATATATCTTTTAATTACCAATTTCAAATACTATGTCACTTAGCTCTTTATTATTAAATAGACTTTTATGAATATTTGAAATCACTCTTTGATAGTTTTCCTCTTATATTGTACGATTTTCTAATAAACCAACATCCAATACATATAGATCATTCAACCATTTATTGCCATCAAATCCACCAAAAATATAGATAAGATCATTTTCTAAAATTTTCAATAATAATATAAATACCTGTTGCAGTTGCTGAATGCCTCTATCTTGGTTAGGGTATCTAAGATAATGCTACTTCCTCCATTTATAAATAAGTTCCAGTTCCATGATGATTAGGAATAACCCACTATTATGTTAAGAAATTATAAATGAAAAGATCATTTGATCTACCTGAACCATCATACCCACCAAATACATAAATATTATTTTAAATTAAATTAGCTGTATGTCCTCTTAAACCTTTAGGCAAAGTCCCTTTGGTAATAACTTGAGTCCATTCCAACTTATAAGTATTGAATACATGTAAATCCTATAAGTGTTATGCTCCAGAATGGCCACCAAACAAATACAAATTTTCCTTATATCTACTATAATTATTTAGTTACCTGGTCATTGTATGCGCATTTCTAGCTGTTGGTATTGTTCCACTCACAGTTGGTTATATCCATCGATTTTCTTAAATGTCATATATTTCTATCTCATTAAAGCATTCTTAACCATCATAACCACCAAATAAGTAGAGTTTCTTAGAAACAATATTCAAAGAATGACAAGCCCTAGCAGTAGGTATTTAACCTTGTGGATGTACTTTGTACCAACTAGCCTAACCATGTTATCCATTTGTCTCCAAATAATAAAGATCATCTAGCCATGTATTTCCATTATGACCTCCATGAACATATAATTTTGTTTGACAAACCGCTGTTGTGTGATTATTTCTATATGATGGTAACTCTCCATTTGTTTATAATTCTGACCATTAATTTGAATTTAGATCATAAATATGAATGTCAGCAAGAGCGTTCATTCCATTCCATCCCCCAAATATATATAGTTTTCCCATAATTAAATCACAGGAATGAGCTGCCCTATCTCCTGGCTATTTACCTTATGGATCAATTTTCCTCCAGATCATTCTATTGTTATTTTACATCATTATTATAATAATCACAAATTTCTCTCTAAAAATAAATATCTGAAGAAATCGAATCTCACTATGTCTTCTTTAGGATCAATTTCCTTTACAAATTCTCCTTAAAACAGATTTGCTGCAAATCCAAACTCTTTTAATATTCCTCCTAATGTTGGTTCAACATTATATTTAAATATCTATAAATTATCAATATAATGAATACCTTAATAAAATTACTAAAGTCCTTGATATTCATAGAGCCTTTGCTTTGATCAAATAAGTTCCAATAACCATATGAACAAATTTCTCTAAATAATAGATCTTAACCAAGAGATCTTTCATAAGTAGCTAAAACTTTTGTTTAAACTAAAGTAGCTATTTCTTCAAATGTTAATAATCTATTCATATTCATTGGATAACCCATGCTATAATGTACCATTTATAATACACACCAATTATCTAGTGGTATCGTAAATTAATTAACTCTTGTGTAATCCTGATATAAATTATTAAAAATACATTAAAAACATTGAGCAATTCAGATGGTCTAAGTCCATTCTCTCCTTTAGCAATAAACACTTCATATGATCTTCTCAATTCATTTAATTATTTTCCAGTTACTTAATGTTATTGTGGTAATTCTAGACAACGTTCTTTGATATAATTAGTCCAAGCTTAATATTCTTGTTAGGCTAATTATTTTCTAGTTTCAATTTCTTTTGATTATCTATATTGTTGTCTTGTTTCAGTGAGTCTTTTTATTAGATTCTCATAAAAATTGCAATGATATAAGCCCTATCCAAATGGTTGTCTTCCTTCTATTTCTCTCATTTGTAAATGAACTTATTTTACAAATTTTGGCAATTTATCTAAATAGATAATCTAAATTACATGGATTTACAAATTCAATCAACCCTTTTGTTGCTGCACTCATTTAATTTTTAATTAAAATTTTATACTTTTACATTCTAAATCAAGATGGATGTATTTTTAATAATAATAGTATGTGTCCTGGCATTGTTATTAATGTACGTGAATATATATCTACTTGCTTTATATTGTCATCCTGAAGATGGTGGATTTGGATCATCATTTTTTTGCAAAATTGTTGTTGTTCTAGGATTAACCCTATCATGGTGCTAAACTTTAATGTTAACTTTAGATGTTACAAATGAAAGAAATTAATAGGGCTTGGATATGCATTTATGCTGGATAATTATTTATATTTCAGTATTTGTAATGCTGGTATTTCTCATTCCTATTGCAATTTTTTACTATGAATCAGATGATGAAAAACCTATAGTAAAAATTAAAATTATCTAAGTGTCAAAGAATAACCTTAACATTAGTTTAAGAATTTATGGTCCTAGTATTTGCTTTTTTAACTATTTTCTTAACATATTTTTGGTTGAGAGATGCTTTAGTACCTGTTACTGTTTAAGTATAAGATGCTACACTTCAATTTTAATCAAGTGAAATTGATCTTAACATTGATACCTTTACAATTACTGAAGAAAAATAAGATCACATAGCCACAACAATCGATCCCATAACATTCACTATAGGATTAATGTGTTTCCTTGGATACTTCTTCTTAATTTTATATGGAGGTATAGGAATGGTTGCTTTGCCTTTAGATCTAGTGTGTTCATATGGAACAAGACCAGTTTTTGTATTTATTATTTAATACTTTAGAAAAGTGCTGCTTAAGCAACTGAAAAAAAAAATAGATTAAAAAGAGTAGTGGCCTAAATGATTGGTTATGCTAAAAAATTAAGAGACATGGAAAAAGATGTAAAATGTGCTAGTGGATGGTGGTCAAAAAGGAAATAAAATGCAAAAGTAGAAAAAAAATATTAGAAATTGGTTGCTGCAGTTAGTGAATTGGAAGAAGAATGCGAAATATTTTTACTAGAATTAGATATTGGTAATGCTAATCCATTAGTTTACATATTTAAATTGTTATTAGGAATTATATTATTTATTATTACTTTGACTTGGTTATTACACATATTATTGTATGTAATTATAACTATTGATGGAATCCCATTCTCCCCTTGGTTAAATAAGCTTTTTATACAATTAGATGCTTATAATGTTGCATTTCTTTCAGTTTTTTTCTTTGGATTATTTACACTTTATTTATTATGGTGCGTAACTAAAGGCAATTTAGTATTTTCTATGCCTTGGATATTTAAATTTCACCCAATGAAGTATTTATTCAATTTCTTATATTTTTAGAATTAATGAAACTTGGATGAATTCATTCTTATTTAATATTGTTTTGATTTTAATAAGTTCGGTTGCTTTATGTCACTTTAGCACTTGTGTCTTCTCATAATATACTAGATTAACAACTGTAGATTTACTATTTGGAACTTAAATCAAATATCTAAAAATATTTAGTTGGGCATTTGAAAATAAAGTACCCGAATATTCTTTATTTTCATGGACTATATTTGCAGGAATTATTCAAATGATATTAAAATGTAGAAAACCAAAATTACTTGATTAAATAGATCAAAGGAAGAAAAATTTAAAAGGAAATTACGAAATTGAATTAAAGGAACTGTTTCTTAAATGAAAAATTTTATTATTATTATTAATTTTAAAAATAAATAAATTCCACTTAGAATTCAATTTTCTATTCATTTTAAAATTATTTTTAATCATTTCTTAATCAAATTTTTATCAACTAATAATTATAAACATCATTATATATTTCATCAAATCTTTTACTAAATTGTATTCAATTTAATTATTCTAATTATATTCAAATTTTAAATTCTTCAAATACACTAAATAAATATGTTTCAGAGTTTTGAACAAAAAAAAATTCTTTTGACATAACCTAAAATACCCAATTTTAAAAGATCAGATTGTAACAACTCTTAGATTCTTATGATGCAATATCAGATTTAAGAATTTAGTGATTCTTTTTAGGATATAAAAGTTTAACTTTAAATAAAGCAATAATAAATGGTTCAATCTTGTCATCGCAAGCTTGAATCAATTTAATTCAATCCTGACTTATTGCTTTTCAACTTATATACTTTAATTCTATTGTAGAGTCTGTAAATCCATCCTAATTTGATAGTGTCAAATTTTTACAATATATGTTTTCTTAATTTTTTCAATCTCAAGATAATATGCTTAAAATATTTTTAATTATATATGGTATAGTTCTTCATTTATTTAATATTATTTTCTTTACTTTTTTCAAAATTTAGATTTAAGCTTTGAACAATAATAAAAATTTTAGCTATGTTAATTCTTCATTCTAATAAAATTAAAAAAAATTAACAGATTTTCTCGTGAATTTATTACTTTGATTTAAAAATATATATTAGACCCAATTTAGCCAAAATTTAAATATTATATATAATTTATAGAATAATTAGAATATTTTATAAAGCTGAAAGAGTCTTAGATCTTTTAGATTGATAAGATTAGATTTATTTAAGTTAATTGCTTAACAACATTAAGAATGGATTATATTCATTAAAATAATAATTGATTTTCTTAACAATTCTATATTGTCAATAATTCAGTCATCATCAATATTCCCTTAATTTATTGATTTATGGTAACATGAAGTGCCCATTACAGCACAACCACCTAAAAATAAAAATGAAGGGATAAAATTCAGATATGCTATCTCAATAACAATGAATATCAAAAATAGGAATAGTGACAATACAAAAATTGTAAGCCCTATAAGAAATTGCATCCAACAGCAAGTAGGTTCATTTTTATTTCTGAAACATAATTAGCAAGTTTCATTTGATAGCAACATCAAATTATTATTTTAAATATTAGCATTTATTTTGTAAATCATTTCTTTTTAAATATTTATATTTAGTATTTCTCGATCTTAATCTTATATTATTCCTAAAAAGAGCTTTTAAACCAATATCAAATAGTTTAGATTTTATAATTATAATATTATTCTATAAATCCGTTCAATTCATGGAAATTATATTTTTTAATTTATAATACCCCTATTATTCTTTTATGTGAGCAATTAATTGAAATTTAATTGTATAAATTTGTTTCTAAATTTACAATATTATTATATTTTTTTAAATTAAACAAATATAACTATTTAAAGATAAATAATTCTTAAATTAAATATTTTATTAACAAATTATATTCGTATTAATATATATATATATATATTAAATATTGTATTCCAGAAACTTACTTACCAAAATTTGACAATTACTATTTTCATTTTATTCAATTTATAAAACCTTCAATTAAACATTTTGATATTCAAAAAAATCATCTTACTTTTATCCTACTATCATTTTGTGCGATTAGTTTTTAAACTAGATCAATTTTATGTTAACGTGCTCTTAAAACATAATACAATTGATTAACATAAATATTCTAGTTAAAAATTACCATTAAGTAATTGATTTTTAACGAAAAATTTTTCATTGCTTTCAAAATATTATTATTTTGATTGTTCAATAGAACACTAATTTATTCAAAGCATATGTGTTTTAAGATAAAATATTTTACTGTTGTTTTTCTTAATCTATTATAGACTCCTTAATTCTTATATAATAATTTATATCTTTTATTTGAAAATTATTAAAAAGTACCAAATTTTGAGATGATTAAAGCATGTTATTTTATGGTTGTTTCATTTATTTATTTAACTAACACACCATAATATTTTTTAAACCATTAAGATAATTAACGTTATGTATATTGATATGAACTGATAAATCAAATATAAAATAGGACTTTTTATTTAACAAGGTCTGGTAGCGGTAGAAACTTTACTTGATCTCTATCATCATAATTATCTCCTATAAAGTTGCAAAGACAGTGAGCATATCTGACAGGTGCAGGGATTTTAATAGAGCCTGTAAAGTTATAGAATAACCAACACAATTTAAATGTCAAGACTTTTATATCATCATCAAGACCTAGAATAAAATAAATAATTTACCTGCTTGATCTGAATGAATTATCTTATATAAAGAAGGAGTGACAGTTCCTTATCTGGTTATTTATGAAATTAAATAAAAGTTAGGGTTGGATTATTCTACAACTTTTGGATTATCAACACATGTTCCTGGTTAAGGATTATCAGGTCTTGCATTTCCACCAGTATAAAATTTAGCCGAGACTCTTTTATTACAGACAACAAGTGAAATTTTAGTATCCGTAATTTATAATTCTTCTAAGGCTTATTTATATTATGGTAATTCATTAGCAAGCACTACAGCTTATTACCCATCACCAACGCCATCTCTATAAATAATAACCAATTTTGGAAATATTCCATTTTATTCTTTGAAAGCGAGGAGTGATGCTTTGAATACCTGTTATAGATGCTAGCTAAATTCTCCTGAAGTAACAACTTGAGAATAATATCTACTTAAATTTCTATCTACAGTGCTACAGAAAGCTAATTAATTTTTTCTTCCACTTTTAACAAAGCAATCAGTTCCACAAATCATAGTAGGCTGATTTTAAAATGTAATTGGTAAGCTATCAATTGCCCAAGGAGTACCTCCAACTTTAGCGTTAAGTTGAATTAATATTTTATTAACAATTGATCTAGTATTTTTGGCTAGAGTTTTTTCTACAACAACTTAAGATGCACAACCAAATTTTTGCATTGATATTTTCTTAGCAGTTTTATATAATCTTGCTTTCTTTTTTTATCCAGGTAAAAGGAATAATAAGAATCCAACTTTGGCTTTATTAGCCTCGGCTTATTTCTAAAAGCCATCAAGAACCCTTTCTAAATCCTCATCTCTGTCCTATTCAATAGGAAATACTTTAGGAGCCATGAATGCTTAAAACTTAAAGTCATTGCATGCAGCTTAAAAGTTTTGCATCAAAGAATCCATAGTTTATTACCCAGTTTTTTTGTTGTATATGATTCCCAAAATAAGTTATTGAGGAGGAGTTGAAAACATCTAGGTTTAAGTTTATCTATCTAAATTTGTTTACGGACTTGATAGATCCAATTTTAATCCATTTCCCATTAACATATTTCCTGGATGGATTCTTCTGGCAGGCACATCCATACTTCCTGGGTTAATTTCTACTCCCCATTCTTTAAATATTTATCTCTTAGTTCCGGATTTTTTGTTTATTATTTCAGTATTTGCTAATTAATTAGCAAATTCTTAAGCCATCTTCATTCTTTAATCAGCTCCTGGTTTAGTTACAACAGCTAAATTCTTCATTGCATTAAAATCCTAAAATTTTTACTAAAATTAAATACATTTCTAATTGCGTCTGTTAAACCAGTTAATTAACATAATTGTGGGATCAAATGAATAGTTTTTTCTGTTTTATCTTATTTGCTTCTCACAGTAGCTCTAATTAATGGTTAATTTCCATCAACTTTCACCTTATATCTTTATTCATAATATTAAGCAAAAGAAATGGTTTCTCCTTTCTCATTTGTAAATGTGCTAGTTGGTCTAAGATTAACATCAACAGCTTCAACTTTATAAAACTTTTTGTTATAAGTAGTCATAACAATTTAATCTTAAATACAGGATGGATTTCTAGTTTAATTCAATTCTTCTAAGGCAGATCTATATCTAAGCATTTTAAATGCACAATCAATTACTAAGGTAGGATTTTAAGCTCCTCCTTCTCCTGGTCTAAAAATGCATTCTACACCTGGCCAAATCTATTGTTAAATAACATTTTCTTACTTCTAAATTTTAATCTTTAAATTACTAGGCTCTACTTGACCAAAATAGCTTTTATCCTTTGTTTCCTACAGATACCATTTATAATTAGCTTCTTATAACTTACTTAAAGAGTCTTGATATTATGATATTGAGATCAGCTTTATTTTCTATTTTTCCTACTAGTTTAAGAGTTGCAGTGTCTTGATTAGTGTCATTACCACTCAATGAGCCTAATACTAATCCATTATCAGCTTCTTGGATTAATTTTGGTGAATAAATATTCTAGTTCAAACTCATAAATAAGATCAATTAGGTCTAGAGTTAAGGTCTAAATTTCTTAAGTGCCTCACTAACTTTCTCTGGTGAGGAATCTGTAATTTCTAATTTATATTAATAAACTGGTCTTGAAGGATTCAATCTCATCTCATGGAAATTTGCTTTTAGTTAAATATTTTGGAACATTTTGAATTTTATACATTTATTACTTTGATTGAATTACTTCATATATTCATTTTATAAAAATGAAGCTAAACTCTTTAGTGTGAGTCATAAGTTTAGTACAATTTATATTTGAAATTAAATTTAATTAATTTATAATTAATTCACTTCAAATATTAAATGATTGATCTAAACTATTAGCTTAAAACTTTTGTGTGATGATTTGTATGGTAAAAATTTGGTATTGTTTAATTGAATTTGATTAAAATGATATTTATATGTTATAAATGAGCATTATTTTTGAAAAAATATTGATTTATCATAACAAAAGTTTATTTTATTATTGCAATCTTTATACAAATTATTTATGTATAATATTTATATAAAATCAACAAAATATTATAATATAAGGGTAACATTGCAATTCTATTTAAATATTTTTAATCAGATTTAATCAAGAATCAGAAGTGCT